GTACAGCTAATAATAACAGCTGTAGTCGTTGTTGTTGGTTTGTTGTTTAACGCCAAACCCAGCAATATTCCAGCTATATGACGGCGGTCTGTAAATAATCGAGTCTGGACCAGACAACCCAGTGATTGACATCACGAGCATCGATCCACGCAATTGAGGTACGATGACATCTATCAACCAAGTCAGCGAGCCAGACCACCCGATCCCGTTAGTTGCCTCTGACGACATTCACAATGGATACTAAACCAACTGGCTCACAATTATTTTACGACGCTTCACTAGGTTTGTTAATGTGAAACTTTTTATATGAGTGAAGTTGGTTTTACCGCCGCTTTGGGGAGTATTCCAGTTATATCACAGCGTGTCAGCTTAATGTGGAAGGAAAGCCCGAAGTGAATCAGGTCTCCGACATGTACTACTTTGGTGAAACCCACGAGCACGGGTGTGGTGCTGACAAAAAAAAAACAGGTCGAACAAGCATTCGAACCCATGAGCGTAGGATTCTGGCACACAAAGGGGCGTAACTCTACCCAGTGAATTGCGATGCCTTCGACGACTGGCTCATCCTGTCCGCTAATGTCTTGACGTGACAGACATAAAAATGAAGTCGGCATTTTAATTGACATTTGCAGCTCTGTCTGTAGAGAATAATGGCTGCTGGCTGACACGAACATCGTCTGCAAGTGGAGCTGCTCGTCTTACAAATCAAAAATTCACTCTACACCAGTAACACAACATACAGTTGCCCTCGAGAGAGAGAGTCACATTGCACACCCCACTCCATCGGTTCTCCAACCATAAGGTCAAATTCAGTGGACCTACAGCCTGGTAGCTAAAACCTAAGCAAAAATCACGTTAAAACAATCACTTGGTTTATTTGCCAAGGTGATACATACAAAACACACCTGTCCAAAAAAGGTCAAAACAAAATAGCTATGATACATAGAGGATTCATCACGAGTGTTTTTTTTAATATGGGAAATATCAACCGAATCTTAGTTAATCGGTATTTGCCGAGCCTTTGTTTTGATCTAGGATCACACCATCGATCATGCCGTCCTCAACAGCCACAAATCTTCCTTGGGCATCTTTCGGCTTTGTGTTCGTCGTCTGCTTCGCCGTGCTCGACGATGGCGTTTCGATGATGAAACTTTGGCCACAGGGAAGTTTTGATAATCTGCCTTCATCACAGTCAAATTCAAATTCGGTACCATCAACCTGTAACCTGTAATATCCATTTGTCAACAGGGATATCACTGTAGCACTTCCCCTTTGATCTATTCAAACATTGTCTCCAACATCAAAGGTATCCATGTTGTTTGTAAACACCTACTCACGTGCACCGGCGAAAAAAGTCCCACTTCCGGTTATCTAATTTGCATATCTAATTTGCATACATATGTCATTGGGGTATGACATACATGTTTTTGTCATATGCTTGTGTCAGGGATAAATGCTTCAGTTAAATGATACTTAGTTTAATTATTCCAGCAATGTTCTAATTGGTCATTACAACCATGTGTAAAGATGTTAATGAGTTTTATGTAGATGCTGTGATGGTGTCACAGTCGATGAGGTGGATCAATGCGTACTTGATTGTTCAAACCAATATTTCATTTAAAAGATGGCAGAGCCGCATGAATAGGCAATGTTATTGAAATGTTGAAAGCCCCGAAAATGTGGTAATGCCTTATCTTAAAGCAATATTTAAAGGACTGTTTGTGTCTGGTAATTTTTCTTGATGTTTTGACTACAGCTGCCAACAACGACTAGACTGTTATTGGTTACTGGAGACCTATTCTACCCCGGATCTTCACGGTTAACTACCGGGGTATCTCACTTCTCAGCGTCTCAGGTAAAGTCTACACCACTTTTCCATGTAAACGGACCCGTGAATGTCCGGGGTAGAATAGGTCTTCAGCATACCATGTTTGTCTTTCCGTGAATATCCGGGGTAGAATAGGTCATCAGCAACCCATGCTTGTCGTAAGAGGCGACTAAGGGGATCGGGCGGTCAGGCTCGCTGACTTGGTTGATGCATGTCATCGTATCCTAATTGCGTGGATAGATGCTCATGATGTCAATCACTGGATTTTCTAGTACAGGATCAATTATTTACAGACCGCCGTCATACAGCTGGAATATTGCTTGGTGCGGCTTTGAACAACAAACATACACACTTTGTAAACGACTAACGCTCTGCTCAATCATAACGAATATAGTACCAGAAACTCAAGCCTGCTTAACACAGGTTTATTCAACGACCAACCACCTATTTACATTATATGCTATGGTACAGAAATGTTAAACCAAAAAAAACCAGAGTTTATGTGTGTGTTTTAAGATTTTAAGAAAGCGTATGATTTAGTAAATCGGACAATTTATGGCTTCTTTTAAAAGCTTATGGTCCGAATGGTAAAATGCTGAACGCCTTAAGAAGTATTTATAAAGGTGTTAAATCTTGTGAAAGAGGAACGCTAAATGTAAACGATATTCTGATTGTCCAAATGGTTTGGGCCAAGGATGCACTTTAAGCCCACTACTAATTGTTCATTAGCGAACTGTCAAAGGAAAGGTAAGTCTCATGGCAACGTTGTACCCAGTTACTTCCTGATATATTAGAAATTATTCACTGTTATTCGCTGACGACGTTAGTTTAGTGTCAGCGCCAATGGGTTACAGACGTAATTAATTATACTTGAAACGAATTTCGGTAAGTGGAACGTAAAGCTTAAAATTTGGACCAGACGAAAACTGGTGTATTGAGACGTGGGGGGTACTCTTTCGAAAAAGGATATTTGGCATTATAGAGGAAATTTATACCCAGCTACAAATATCCTGGCTTACTCTTTATTAGTCAGGAAATCAGACTTGTCCATTATGGGGAAAAGATCACTCCTTGAAACGGTTGTGAGTCTACTGTCTAACTCTTTCATTAGGGTACATATATCAACATGGTCTGTTTTTCAAATCTGGCACTCACTGGTTAATTCAAGTTCACGTTTCCATCTATACAAAGAATTTACGAGTCTATTAGAACCAGGATATATTTAGAAACATTCTTTGGAGATTTGAAGCGGATCTTTTAATATTGAAAAACAAGGGAAATATCGGCAATTGATAGATCACTAAAAATATGTCGAATTTGCAACTACGACAGAGAGGGCGAATTCCACTTTCTACTTATTTGTTTATATTATGAAATTGAAGTTCATTATGAGAAATATATCTGCCGGAAGGTTTTGGTGAATACCCTCAAGACAGTTTGGGGCACAAAGAAAATTTTCAAAGATATGGTTGTTTGTTGCACTCAGCAATATTCCAGCTATGTGACGGTGGTCTGTAAATAATTGAGTCTTGACCCGACAATCCAGTGATTGATAACATGCATAAGCATGCCACTTCTAACATTAGGTTGTTCGAGCCACTTGAGGTTGAATATTGGCTCGTGTATCAGCACCGGTAATCTATGCGACAATGTTCGGCTCCTGTTAATTTGCCGTCGATATAGGTGTTGCTTGGTAGTAAAGTTGACTAGGCATAACCCACAATGTGTCTTCAAGGAGGAACCTTCCGCTTGCAAATGGACTATTTCCTGTGGACTCGCGTAAAAGGACACAAGAAAAAGAGTTGTTGACATCTTTGCTTGTTGCCTGGGGAACTATCATTAATATGATCCATTACATACCAGCATACCTGTGGTCGAGTTACACCAGGGACCGCCATTTGCTTCTAAAGAACATTCTCAAGGATTGTAGTTACTTCTGATGGATCAGAAGTAACTACATTCCTTGAGAATGTTCTTTATCCTGGTAAATGGCGGTCCCTAGTGTAATTCGAACACAGGTATGCTGGTATATCTATCTGACACCAATGAACTAACTAATATATATATATAGCCATGAAGTGATTTGTGTTTCAGCACCAGAACAGTGCTACAAGCCCTTGTAGTTTCAGGTCCATGGTCTCCTGATAGAACAGGTTAAAAGGTGGTGCGGGTTGTGATGGGGTAGGGTGGGTCCCAAGCAGAGTGACGATTTCCTGCAGTCAGCAGTATTCTAGTCTGGGCCAGACAAGATTACTTCTGATAGCATGCGAGTGGCAGACGGGTAGTCTTGAGGTTAAAGCGTTTGCTCCTCACGCCGAAGACCCGGGTTCGATTCCCGACATGGGTACGTTGTGTAATGCCCATTTCTGGTGTACCCCGCCATGATATTGCTGGAATATTGCCACAACCTGCGTAAAACCATACTCATCCACTCACTGACACCATGAGCATGGACAGCTAACTCCATGTTCTAGTACGCTCGAATGGACAGTCATAGTGCCATACCCTAGGTTGAAGTATGGGAGAACTGACCCGACCATGGCAGGGAGCCGACAGTCTTCAAAGGCAGTAACACAGACAGGTTCATATAAATAGATTTATTTTGCTATAAAAATGGTGTCACAGGGCAGCAACAGGCGAGGACATTAACTTGGACAAATACAAAAGTGAGGGGTTGTCAGTTAGTTTATGTAACAAAGGCGAGGCACAAACCAGCCTAACAGAAATCTATTTGCCATTTATTCTGAATTACTTGCATTAGCCATATGTCCCTCTCACTTGATTATTTGGCACAAAGCGTTGCTTGTTTGATGTGGAGAATATTTGTAATAAGTGTTTAGAAATTAGCATGCATCATGAACCTCAATGCTCACTTTCCCACTCACTGACAGGAACAAGCTATGATATTTCATCAACAATACATGCTGCATTCAACAACCAAAACTTCAACAACCTCCGGAACTAATTCTTCACAACAACAAAAATGATCATAAAAATGCCTATTGTATATCGAACGTACACTAAACAGAAATTCTTAAATAACAAACAAAGAGACTCAATTGTAAATAATAAATGCCCTTTCTCAAACTGGATAGAACACTAGGTAGGTAATTGTATTGCCTCTGGCGGTATTCTTCACAAACTATGCATCATATGTGACAAAGGTTTACATTCAGTTGTAGCCTCCTCCACCCCTACCTCTACCCCTCCCTCCCCCTCCCCCTCTGCCCCGCCCCCTTCCTCCTCCTCTACCACCTCCCCCTTGATAACCACCTCCTCCTCCCCCACCACCCCCTTGATAACCACCTCCTCCTCCCCCACCACCCCCTTGATAACCACCCCCTCCTCCCCCACCACCCCCTTGATAACCACCCCCTCCTCCCCCTTGATAACTACCCCCTCCACCGCCTTGATAACCACCTCCACCCCCTTGATAAACTCCCCCTCCTCCCCCGTGATATCCACCCCCACCCCCACCCCCGCCCCCTCCATATCCACCACCCCCACCCTGATTATACCCTCCCTTTGACCCTCCATATCCTCCTCCACCCTGGGCCCAGCTCCCTCCTTGGTTCTGACTGTGGGACTCGCCCCACCCACCCTGGACACGCCCACCTCCTCCTCCTCCTCTTCCCCCCCTCTGGCCACCACCTCTGCCACGCCCTGAAACAATCAACAGAAACATGTAACTACTATATACAAATCTAGAAATGCTTAAGAGACTATTTTTTACATTTGCGTCTATTTTAGTTTTTGGAATCAAATGTCTGAGGCTTCTTCAGCCAGTATGCTGGGAATCGGAAGAATCGCAAAACAGCAAAACTGGAATGGCAGAGAAATATTGACTAACGACAGGGATTTACGTAGGCCTGCTCCCTGGCTGATACTGACCCTTAATCTGCAGCCAAAGCCAGTACAAATTCCCCAAGTCATACAGTTATATACTCACTGCCAGAAGAAATGTGAATATCATACATGTTGGTCAATATATGAATACTTACTCCTATTCAAGAGATATTAGATTGGTTCGACATACAAATGAACATACTGGTATGTTGTGGGAACCGAGGCTCATGAACACATCACATGTGACGTCATAGATCCATGATTCGAGATGCACCATTTGTCTCATGCAGGATTAGCATGTAAAGTTTGGAAATCATGGCAGCATATCATGATAAGAATAAAGACACGCTGTGTGTTTCTAACAAAATGGAGCCGCCCAGGCAAGACGATCTGATCGACAATCAAGATCTGTATCAAATCACGTGAGCACCTTGACTAAAAACATGTACAGATTTGCAAAATATCTATGGATGCCCAGTTGACAGAACACATATTTTGCAATGCCTGCAGTCGACCACTCGGTGAGTGAGTGAGTGAGTGGGTGGGTGGGTGGTGGGTGGGTGAGTGAGTGAGTCCCTTAATAAAATGTGATTATTGTCATCATGGTCATACGTAAATGTTTCCAAAAGTTACATGGAAGTTCTCGATATATGAAAATACAGATGGAGGGGTCCTGAGCATTTTTCCCTGGTGAATGTTACAGTGCTGTGCATGCCCATCAGAACAGCAATGTGTTATGTCAGGTAAAAGGCTGGGAACAATACTTCAACATTCATGTCTTCGCGATAATTATGATAACTATTTCTCTAGCACACATTAGCAGGCTTACCTTGAGGCGCTGCTGACCGCTGCATGAACGCTGGCATCTCTGGAGGCGGTGGTTCTAGTTCAGTGGTTCGACCTCCACGGTCGGGGACCTGGACAATCAACAAAAGCTTTTACAGACTCAGTATAGCCTCCAATCTGCTTCAAAGGCTTCAGGCAGTGATTCCGCACACACACCCACCCCCCAACAGACAGACAGACAGACAGACAGACACAGACAGACAGACAGACACAGACACACACACACACACACACACACACACACACACACACACACACACACACACACACACACACACACACACACACACACACACACACACACACAAGAAATCGGAACACCATCGAATGCCAATTTCGAATAAAAAAAAAACATCAATTAGGAATCATGACAGACTACTCCACAAGTCAATTAAGACATCCTAGCTTCTTCAAATGAATTGATTTAAGCTACATGTAGAATGCCAAGGCAATCAGATAAAAGGATTTAAGGGAGACACACACACAGACACATACACACCCCAACAGACAGACAGACACACACACACACAGACACACACACCCCAACAGACAGACACACACAGACAGACAGACAGACAGACACACCGACAGACAGACAGACACAGACACACACAGACACAAATGAAGGAAAATGACTTCGACTTTTTTCTTGGTACTTGACTGAATTGATGCACCACAAGCCCCCCGGAACGTCCACTGCTCACCCTTCCTATCATGACTCTATTGATTGCACACTTTGTCTTTTCCCGGGCCTCCCCGCTGCTCGTCTTCTGAATCCGGGTTAAATCTGTGGTGGAGAAACATGTGATAGGTAATCACATAACAGGCAAGGATATACAATGTAGACTGATAGATCAAGGACATACAAAGTAGATTGATAGATCAAGGACATACAATGTAGACTGATAGATCAAGGACATACAAAGTAGATTGATAGATCAAGGATATAAAATGTTAGATTGATAGATTAATCACATCCAGATCGTAAATGCAAAAATTGATACAAATGGCATAAAACTCTGGAAAGATTTAAATGCCACATGTTGAAGGCTTCCACAATTGTTTCTACAAAAATGCCATCGTAAAATAGAAACACTAAGAAATATCACAACACAACAGTCAACTTATTCACAAGCATATATTTGAGGACTACTTTGAAATCTCTTTGGCCTAATTAATTGATAGCACCAGACCCCGATTGGGATACAGCAACTCATCTTTCCCCTCACTGTACATATACAGGAACACCTTTGTTTAACTCATCATGGATGCACGTTTGCAGTGGAGAAAGTGAGTGAGTGAGTGAGTGAGTATGGTTTTACTCCAGTTTTAGCAATATTCCAGCAATATCACGGCGGGGGACACCAGAAATGGGCTTCACACATTATTCATGATGAGTTGATTAAACAAGTCCTATCAATAATCTGTCCCGCTATGAAGACCTCCAGCTGCCCTCCAGCTGCCCTCCCCTGGAGAAACGTACCATCTCTTGCAGCCAGGATCTGGGGGACTCCTATATTGGTTTTCGACACAAGTTGTTTCCTTATAGGTTGATATACTTTGGCTATTTTGTCCTCATTATGCTGCAATGAATAAGTGATAAATGTTAATAAAAGTCACAAAAAACATTTCTGTAATCATAAGAAATCTCCACTGACAGCAGAGTCCATTGTACGATACTGGCCATATCACCAACTTGCGTTTATGAATCAGCAGAACGACAAGATGGAGGCAGGACGTGCTTCACATTAAATGCTTTGCAGCCAGACAACAGCTACAGAAAATAAATTATGGAAATGGCTTAAGATGACCCTTAATGACCCTTGATGACCCTTGATAACATTAGATGACCCTTGATAACACTAGATGACCCTAGATGACCCTTGATGACACTAGATGACCCTTGATGACACTAGATGACCCTAGATGACCCTTGATAACACTAGATTACCTTGATGACCCTTGATAACACTAGATGACCCTTGATAACACTAGATGACCCTTGATGACCCTTGATAACACTAGATGAACCTTGATAACTCTTGATGACCCTAGATGACCCTAGATGAACCTTGATAACTCTAGATGACCCATGATGACCCCTGATGACCCTTGATAACACTAGATGAACCTTGATAACTCTTGATGACCCTAGATGAACCTTGATAACTCTTGATGACCCTAGATGAACCTTGATAACTCTTGATGACCCTAGATAACCCTAGATGAACCTTGATAACTCTTGATGACCCTAGATGAACCTTGATAACTCTTGATGACCCTAGATAACCCTAGATGAACCTTGATAACTCTTGATGACCCTAGATGACCCTTGATAACTCTTTGTTGTTTCACATCACACTCAGCAATGATTGCATTCTGTAAATGACTGAATCTGAACCAGACACTCCAATGAACAATATTATGAGCAACAATCCACACCATCAAAGTACTAAGACAAGCAACGAAGCCTGACCACCCACTCAATTCTGTCGCCTCATACGGCCAGGTTGCTTGGCACCAATTCTAACCTAGAGTTGCCACAGATTACCCTGAAACTAACAAGATATATAGGCTTGAATGAGAGTATACCTTTGCTTTGTCAGACCACTTGAAGGACTGGATGGTGACGTCGAGCCGCTTGATCAACATGTCCCTCCTCAGCTTGTACTCCTCACACAGCGCCATGTTCACCTTCAGCACCTGCTCCCACTGCTTGTCCGACAGCCGTGCCTTCAGCAGCGGCTTGCCGAGCAGACTCGGGTGCTTTGCCACCAACTCTTTAACCTGTTTACAAAGGTTACCTTGCAGGACATCTTTGTTGTGTCAGTATTATTGGAATCAATATTCAGCATAACTTCCGTAACAGATTGAAGTGTTCAGTGACCATCAATGGATAGATAAAGTGTTCAGTGACCATCAATGGATAGATAAAGTGTTCAGTGACCATCAATGGATAGATAAAGTGTTCAGTGACCATCAATGGATAGATAAAAGTGTTCAGTGACCATCAATGGATGGATAAAAGTGTTCAGTGACCATCAATGGATAGATAAAAGTGTTCAGTGACCATCAATGGATGGATAAAAGTGTTCAGTGACCATCGATGGATAGATAAAAGTGTTCAGTGACCATCAATGGATAGATAAAAGTGTTCAGTGACCATCAATGGATAGATAAAGTGTTCAGTGACCATCAATGGATAGATAAAAGTGTTCAGTGACCATCAATGGATAGATAAAAGTGTTCAGTGACCATCAATGGATGGATAAAAGTGTTCAGTGACCATCAATGGATAGATAAAGTGTTCAGTGACCATCAATGGATAGATAAAAGTGTTCAGTGACCATCAATGGATAGATAAAAGTGTTCAGTGACCATCAATGGATAGATAAAAGTGTTCAGTGACCATCAATGGATAGATAAAAGTGTTCAGTGACCATCAATGGATGGATAAAAGTGTTCAGTGACCTTCAATGGATAGATAAAGTGTTCAGTGACCATCAATGGATAGATAAAAGTGTTCAGTGACAAATTATGAAAGGCAATTGGCTAAAAGTTTTACTAATTTTTCATTAAAACTTGTCGATACATATGCTCAGCATTTTCAAAAGATCAAATCACATGACGTAAATATATTCATAAATGATTACGAGTGCAACAAAACACAAGTTTCAATGTGGATACTATAGTTTGGAGTGAGTGAGTTAGTATGGTTTTACACCGTTTTTAGCAATATTTCGGCAATATCACGGCGGGGCAGACCAGAAATGGGCCTCACACATTGTACCCATGTGGGGAATTAAACACAGGTCTTGGGCGTGAAGAGCGAACGATTTAACCACTAGGCTACCCATCCACCCCAACAATGGTTGGAAGATCTGCTGGACTTCTTTGAGCTACGTTTAATGATTTCACTGCAAGGATCATCCTTCATGTTTCATCTCACAGACATAAAGATGAAAGCATGAAAAAGATAGATGTCAAATATCAAAATATGCTCAGAACCCAGTGGGCACATACTTGTGTTACAACTGCAGGATCACGTGGGCTTCAGTTTCCCAGACCATTTGTGTTTACAGATGTGACTAACATGAAAAACATTCTGACTGTCAGGAGTTAACGAGTTACAGAAAACGAGTTACAGAAAAACATTCGTCACCTTGGACTCCACCTTGCTGAACAGCTGGAATGGTGTGATGTTTGTGGGTGGTTTGGGGAAGCCCAGAGCCATCAGCATCTGTCTCAGGTACGTGGCCAAGTCGCTCTCAGCCTGCAGCAGCAACAACAGCAGCCTCAACATAACGCAGATACAGCAGCAACAACATAATGCAGACACAGCAGCAACAACAGCCTCAACATAACGCAGGCACAGCAACAGCATCAACATAACGCAGACACAGCAGCAACAACAGCCTCAACATAACACAGACACAGCAGCAACAGCCTCAACATAATGCAGTAACAACAGCAACAGCCTCAACATAATGCAGACACAGCAACAGCCTCAACATAACACAGACACAGCAGCAACAACAGCCTCAACATAACACAGACACAGCAGCAACAGCCTCAACATAACGCAGGCACAGCAACAGCATCAACATAACGCAGACACAGCAGCAACAACAGCCTCAACATAACGCAGTAACAACAGCAACAGCCTCAACATAACAGAGACACAGCAACAGCCTCAACATAACACAGACACAGCAGCAACAACAGCCTCAACATAACACAGACACAGCAGCAACAGCCTCAACATAATGCAGTAACAACAGCAACAGCCTCAACATAATGCAGACACAGCAACAGCCTCAACATAACGCAGACACAGCAGCAACAGCCTCAACAGAATGCAGTAACAACAGCAACAGCCTCAACATAACAGAGACACAGCAACAGCCTCAACATAACAGACACAGCAACTTCATCAACATAACGCAGACACAGCAGCAACAGCCTCAACAGAATGCAGTAACAACAGCAACAGCCTCAACATAACAGAGACACAGCAACAGCCTCAACATAACACAGACACAGCAGCAACAACAGCCTCAACATAATGCAGTAACAACAGCAGCAACAACAGCCTCAACATAATGCAGACACAGCAACAGCCTCAACATAACACAGACACAGCAGCAACAACAGCCTCAACATAACACAGACACAACAACAGCCTCAACATAACGCAGACACAGCAACAGCCTCAACATAACACAGACACAGCAGCAACAACAGCCTCAACATAACACAGACACAACAACAGCCTCAACATAATGCAGACACAGCAGCAACAACAGCCTCAACATAACACAGACACAACAACAGCCTCAACATAACACAGACACAGCAACAGCCTCAACATAACACAGACACAGCAACAGCCTCAACATAACACAGACACAGCAACAGCCTCAACATAACACAGACACAGCAACAGCCTCAACATAACACAGACACAGCAGCAACAACAGCCTCAACATAATGCAGTAACAATAGCAACAGCCTCAACATAACAGACACAGCAACAGCCTCAACATAACACAGACAAAGCAGCAACAACAGCCTCAACATAATGCAGTAACAACAGCAACAGCCTCAACATAACACAGACACAGCAACAGCCCCAACATAACACAGACACAGCAGCAACAACGGCCTCAACATACTGCAGTAACAACAGCAGCAACAATAGCCTCAACATACTGCAGTAACAACCAGGGATGTGAGCAGGTTTTCCCGGAAAAAAGAGGAAATTTCTAGGGGGGTCCCCCCTCAAAAGAAATGTTTTAAACATTTGATAGCATTTTAAGCAATTTTGCACAATTTGGACAAACATTCACACCAAGTAATGTAAATGGCAAAAGTCAATAAGTCAAATAAACAAATGATGGCTGATGCAGCAAAATTCCGAGTTAAATCAGTACTTTTAAAAAATCGGGCATAGCTCTGTAATCCCTTGGGGGACTCCTCCACACAAGTACCTGAGCGGACACACCATCAGGGGTGGTGGTGGGGGTCTTCAACAAGCCAGGCTTCCCTGCCGCCAGGATCCTCACACTGGCCATCTCGGTACACAGGTAGTCTGCAGGAGAGGAAGTTCCCAGTCAGTTATGGCAGCACTTACAGCTTAACAAGGCACTCTTACACCAGAATATTGGTCTTCCAATACCATGAAAGATAAATACAGGGACCTACATTGGCACTCGGCTGGTCCAATGTCGTCAGGCAGTTATAGTTATCCCCAGGCCTACTGGAATTTTTTCGGCATTTTTGGAGGACCTTATATGTCATAACTATTCAGACTTGGTTCATGTTAAGTTGGGAAAATCCAGTACTGTGCTTTCAACTGTTTTATGAAACAGTGGAGAAGTTAACAATGTGATGCATGAAATGTTCACCATTTGTCACATAAAGGACTTATACCATGAAAAGGAAGGACAACGGACCCACAAACAATTCCCTAAACTATCAATTATCCAAATCACTTGAGAACCCTTGTACACTTGTATTCATTTTCCGACCACCTAATATGTCCTTGTATATCCATGTAACGTTTAGTATCGACACATGACCTCTCAATACAATACTTGTATCATGGCATCAATGAGTGAGTGAGTTCGATTTAACACCGCTTTGATCATTTATCCAGCTATATCACGGTGTGTCATTGTAATGTGGGAGGAAAGCACAAAGTGATACAGTGATACGTTTACAATGGCATCAATATTCAGGAATTCTACTACCCCAGCTGTGACTTGATGTTGTCTTATACCAGTCAGCAATATTCCAGCTATATCACAGCAGCCAGGAAATCAAGTCTGGAAGGTGACATTGGAAGGTGACATTGGAAGGTGACCTTGAAATGTGACCATGGAATGTGACCTTACAAAGTGAAAATGGAAAGTGACATTGGCAAGGGAAATTGGAAGGCGACATTAGAGGACGACATTGGCAGGTGGCACTGGCAGGGGACAGAGGAAGGTGACATTGTAAGGTGAGGGTCAAAGACATGTCAGAGATCTACCCAGAAGTTGAAGTTTGCTCTCTCTGGTGGTGAGCCGCTGACTGATGGGACCATCGCTGAGTGAAGGATAGGGACACCCTGCAATTGAATCATGTAACTTGTGAATAACAGTCAATGTACAGCAAATATTGTTGATGTTCATAACACCAAACATGCCAACAATGTGCAGCTACTTGTAGATTTCACATATTTCTTTCCAGTCTTTTCCTTTATGATTGGAGGGGCAGCTTTTATTTAAAGGCTAACAGTCCAAAACAGAGTTAATTTTAACACAGATATTTGCACATTTGTCATTGTACATTGTATAATCAAAGACTCAATCCACTTTCTACATTTGGACAAACGATTTCTAACAGGAAAGACAACAATTAGCATGACCTACCATATTCTCGGAGGAAGCCACTCAACTCAAGTTCAAAGTTTGACCAGTCATCAGCATCTGCAACATATTTTGTTCTGTTCAGTTACTTCACATTTTGAAAAGTTCAACACATTCGGAGCAAGGATAAACACATTTTCTAGTCCTTGTCCCGTAACAAGTTGTAGCGAGCAGTCGTATTCTCCAAAATATTTGTATGTTGTTTATGCTGTAGCCAGCAATATTCCAGCTATATGACAGCAATCTGAAAATAATTGAGTCTGGACATGACAATCCAGTGACTGACCTCATGAGCATTGTTCTATGCAAATAGGCACGAAGACATGCATCAACCAAATCAGCAAGCCTGACCATCTGATCCTGTAGTCGCCCCTTTATGACAAGCATAGTCACCTCTTAAGAAGTATTGGTTGTTAAAAACCAATTCTAACCCAGATCTTAAACCAAAATGTATTATTGTCGCACCGTGCTGGAAAGTAAGGTATATCCTGGGCTCCTGGAGCATATCAATCATTTTAACTCATATAAGGCCTCGGACCTATGAATAAGTATATATTAAAGTTTATGACAATTTGAGGCAGTGGCAATAATACATGCATTACATATACGAAGAGCGTAATGTCAGTGCTTCTCTTACACAGTTTGAACAATTTGTCGTGAATGACATACTTTCCCATAGCAGGGTATATGAATAAAAAAGAAGTAATATCTATCGATGTACTAAGGTCATAATTGGCGGGACATTCAAATAGAAGATGAGAATTCATCTTCAATAGAATTTACATCACATAATGCATAATCGACATTGCCTGGACACTCCATCACATCTACAGTAGTTTTACACAAGGTTAATGCACAAATCCTTCACAAGCTTTTTCTGTGCCCTGTATATTGAGCATGTTTAGGTCAAGGAGGATTCCTGCAAAAGTATCAATCTAGGGACCGCCTAACTCTTTACCTTTTTTACATTACTGGAATATGGCTAAGAGCAGCGTAAGAGCAGCGTAAAACCATACTCCCTCACTTCTTGTATGTGCAATTCAAACAAAGTAGTGTGGGTCAACTATACACACTATTAACTTTTCTTCCATTTTCAGACTTTACATTATCCCTGTATTCCTTATGCACAAGTGACAACCAGCAGTCTGTGTACTAGAAGTGAAACGATATAGCAAGGTCACGATAAGATACGTATCAGGATATAAATACAGACCATAAATATTTCAGAGCAGGTTCAAAAGAAAAGCTAGCTGTAGACATGTTCCTTGCGGCTATTTTTAGTTGTGAACTTAATTACAACACATTTTGCGATTTTTGACTGACAATAACGCCTGAGGGGGCGGGAGGGGGCATTAAACAAAAAGTAATGTATTTTAACAGGTGTAACAACTTGTATCGATGAAGAAAAAAATGTATTGTGTATCATATCGGCGCATGAAAACTCAATTTTTAGCAGGTGTATCAACTTGTATCGATGAAGAAAAAAATGTATCATGTATCATATCGGCGCATGAAAACTCACTCTTTAGCAGGTGTATCAACTTGTGTCGAAGAAAAAAATGTATTGTGTATCATATCGGCGCATGAAAACTCAATTTTTAGCAGGTGTATCAACTTGTATCGATGAAGAAAAAAATGTATCATGTATCATATCGGCGCATGAAAACTCACTCTTTAGCAGGTGTATCAACTTGTGTCAATGAAGAAAAAAACGTATTGTGTATCATATCGGCGCATGAAAACTCAATTTTTAGCAGGTGTATCAACTTGTATCGATGAAGAAAAAAATGTATCATGTATCATATCGGCGCATGAAAACTCACTCTTTAGCAGGTGTATCAACTTGTGTCGATGAAGAAAAAAATGTATTGTGTATCATATCGGCGCATGAAAACTCACTCTTTAGCAGGTGTATCAACTTGTATCGACGAAGAAAAAAATGTATTGTGTATCATATCGGCGCATGAAAACTCACTTTTTAGCAGGTGTATCAACTTGTATCGATGAAGAAAAAAATGTATCATGTATCATATCGGCGCATGAAAACTCACTTTTTAGCAGGTGTATCAACTTGTATCGATGAAGAAAAAAAATGTATTGTGTGTCATATCGGCGCATGAAAACTCACTTTTTAGCAGGTGTATCAACTTGTATCGATGAAGAAAAAAATGTATCATGTATCATATCGGCGCATGAAAACTCACTTTTTAGCAGGTGTATCAACTTGTATCGATGAAGAAAAAAATGTATTGTGTATCATATCGGCACACAAAAACTCACTTTTATAGCAGGTGTATCAACTTGTATCGATGAAGAAAAAAATGTATTGTGTATCATATCGGCGCACGAAAACTCACTTTTATAGCAGGTGTATCAACCTGTATCGATGAAGAAAAAAATGTATTGTGTATCATATCGGCGCATGAAAACTCACTCTTTAGCAGGTGTATCAACTTGTGTCGATGAAGAAAAAAATGTATTGTGTATCATATCGGCGCATGAAAACTCAATTTTTAGCAGGTGTATCAACTTGTATCGATGAAGAAAAAAATGTATTGTGTATCATATCGGCGCATGAAAACTCACTTTTTAGCAGGTGTATCAACTTGTATCGATGAAGAAAAAAATGTATCATGTATCATATCGGCGCATGAAAACTCACTTTTTAGCAGGTGTATCAACTTGTATCGATGAAGAAAAAAATGTATTGTGTGTCATATCGGCGCATGAAAACTCACTTTTTAGCAGGTGTATCAACTTGTATCGATGAAGAAAAAAATGTATCATGTATCATATCGGCGCATGAAAACTCACTTTTTAGCAGGTGTATCAACTTGTATCGATGAAGAAAAAAATGTATTGTGTATCATATCGGCACACAAAAACTCACTTTTATAGCAGGTGTATCAACTTGTATCGATGAAGAAAAAAATGTATTGTGTATCATATCGGCGCACGAAAACTCACTTTTATAGCAGGTGTATCAACCTGTATCGATGAAGAAAAAAATGTATCATGTCTCACATCGGCGCATGAAAACTCACTCTTTAGCAGGTGTATCAACTTGTGTCGATGAAGAAAAAAATGTATTGTGTATCATATCGGCGCATGAAAACTCACTTTTTAGCAGGTGTATCAACTTGTATCGATGAAGAAAAAAATGTATTGTGTATCATATCGGCGCATGAAAACTCACTTTTTAGCAGGTGTATCAACTTGTATCGATGAAGAAAAAAAATGTATTGTGTGTCATATCGGCGCATGAAAACTCACTTTTTAGCAGGTGTATCAACTTGTATCGATGAAGAAAAAAATGTATCATGTATCATGTCGGCGCATGAAAACTCACTTTTTAGCAGGTGTATCAACTTGTATCGATGAAGAAAAAAATGTATTGTGTATCATATCGGCACACAAAAACTCACTTTTATAGCAGGTGTATCAACTTGTATCGATGAAGAAAAAAATGTATTGTGTATCATATCGGCGCACGAAAACTCACTTTTATAGCAGGTGTATCAACCTGTATCGATGAAGAAAAAAATGTATCGTGTATCATATCGGTGCATGAAAACTCACGATGCACCGTGCACCGATGTATCATTTCACCTCTAGTGTGTACAAATACTGTGTGCAACCTCTCGATAATCAGTTCCTTGATTATCATTGCCGTGATTACCACTCTGACACTGATCATCACTGTTGCTTTCTTGCTCATGTTTCTACTACAACACTTTGAAGGAACTAACTTGTGATGGCGTTGACATGTTCCTCTAATCCACAGAACTGTTTAAGTTGTTTGGTGAGCCACTCAACAAGTTGAGTGTATTCCACGGATTTGTTGCTAGGATCAACTGATGAGGAAAGTACAGATTCATCCAGGAGAGACCCTGAGAACCTGTGTGAGAAGGAAAAGTACACGTCAAATTTGAACAATGCTGATTGTGATGAATATTGCAATATCATTTTCCTACAGCATTGGATGCAAATCAGTTTATCATAATAAATAATTTACAAGACATATTAAATTGTCATTTTGTCTATATTAATCTATATATAAAACTAAAGTATATAGATATTTATAAACATGGTAACTTACACAATAATGTCACAATATTATCTTTTGAAATAAACAGTACTTAGATGGCATCATGCCACCTGTGGCACATGGTCATTATGGCTGCATTCAAGATATCATTGATTCTGCGAACACTGTGGACACACTGCAATACACAGAGTAGCCCATTAAAACACAACTTAATACAAGCAGTTGAACCCTGAACCTACACACCACCCTAAATTCCTGTGATGGCAAACATAATTGACTTCTTGTAGCAGTGTTCGAAATACCTGCCTGCCCGACCGGGTTGATTTCAACTCGGGCTGCCAGATTTTCAAATCCCCCTGCCCGACGGTCGGGTTATATTTCATATGTGAAAATATTCAAAATATTTCCCGATGATAAGCATTAATTCACATGTAAAGATGAATGATAAAATGTAACCAAAAAGAAACCCCGTTAGCTTATCCTGAGAAACATATGATTATAGTGGGCAGGCAGGTTTTGGTCAGGGCTGGCAAGTATTTCAGCTAGCCAGTCCTGTGGTCTGGCTGAAGTTTTTGGGAGTTTCATACCCTGCTTGTAGTGACATAAATCCCTACAACATATGAAGATAAGATCTAATCAAGTGTATTCTACTCAAGTGTTTCACCTCTTTTTCATAATCATGACATTTTTATGTAAACTATAAGGGCATTACACTTAAGATAAGAATGGACACCATAAAGTAACACTTGCAATACATTATGAATAATAAACCTGGCGCATCTGATAAAAAATATGTTGCTCGATACTCAATACAGTGCATGGTTTTTTTCTGTGACAACAGTGTACTTAGTTTTACTTCGGTTTATGTACTTTGGTGATATTACACATACATCACTATCAAAGAAAAACAAATTTGTCCATTTAGAATTAATCAAATATTTCGGTTGTGCTGACAAAGCAAGTATGCTGTAAACGTCAGTGACGTATTGCAATGCGTTTGACAATCAGTTTTGTAGCACTGCACCGGTGGAGCTGCGCTTCTCCGACACAAAATATAATGAGACGTTATCAAATAATATTGACAGTGAATTGAAAGAAGTACCCTAGATCTTCTAGAGAATCTAGAATGTCGTTTTCCATCACAAAATAGCCGTTGTCTGTCAAATTATCATAGACAAATGCCGGTCTATACTCCGCATGTGCTTGAGTTTACGAAATGCAGAATACTTGTTTCCACAAAACATATGTTATTGTAAGATAACATGTCGGTGGTCATCTAGTGACAGTGATGAAACGAAATAATTTTGAGTGGAGGGGGAAATGAGAACACTCCCCATGGGTAAATTGAGACTAGCAAAATCATACTACACTGTTATCGATGCTTTCAACGTGATTTAAATAGTTTTCATCTGAGAAACTAGATTCCAAGACAGTATGACATTTTCCAGTTTGCTTTGACCAGAGAGCTCGTGCAGTGTGAATATGGTCTGTTCTAAACATTGAAATTATTTTTGTGGGATGAAATTCTGTAGCTGTTACAATTATTATATCTATATGATTATATTATATCTCATTATATCCAATTTTCGTTTAAACGTCTTGTTGATTGATTGAACTCAGGTTCTAAGATGTTGTATGGCATTCTAACTGCAGAAATGAGGTGAAATTGGGTTAAACGTCGCGTCAAAGATTATCGTACTTATGTAGCGACGTGCATACACGTACATATATATATGTGTGTATAGTATATGGTGCGTGCGCGCGTGCGTGTGTGTGTGCGTGCGTGTCCACGTAATGCCGAGCGCCAGACAGGGTAACAACAAGTACCATATATTAACGTCTTTTGGTATTGGGACCCATTCACCAACCTTCCGCTCTCTGGACAGACGCTCCAGAGACGCCACGTAGACGGTCTTTGTCAAGTTGACACACCCATATATGTAACGCACATGAAATGTTTTAGAAGTGAACTGGATTTATTTACTGTACCGGTTACCGGGTACAGGGTAGAACGGCACCCAGTTACCTAGTCTCTGGTACAAGAGGTGTCAAATGCAGTGTATACAACAGTGTTTATTTATTTTTTATTCATACTTATTCGTAAACACTTGCAATCAACCTGAAAGCGCAAAAGCAGCAGACGAGATTTGCATTCCAGGTCAGCTTGTGTTATTTTTACGCCATGTAAAACTGTACTCTCAACAGTGCGAATGTGAAAGTGAAATGATTGTTATCCAAGCACTGTAATCATTGAGACCAGTTTATTTTGATTTTCATGAGGTTCAACCTTTTTTTGCTTCTTGTTTGTTGTTTAACGCCGCACAATATTCCAGCTATATGGCGACGGCCTGTACATAATTGAGTCTGGACCAGACAATCCTGTGATTGACATCATTGGCATGGCTATGCAACTTAAAAACAATGACATGCATCAACCAAGTCAGCGAGCCTGACCACCCGATCCCCTTAGTCGCCTCTTACAAGGTTGTTTAAGACCGGATCTCACCCGGATCTTCACGGATTGGTTTCAACCTAATTCCTCATATAAACTCGACTTCTGATCACGGATTTATAGTAATTGGTTGAACTAAAGAACAACAAGAAACCATCATGCAATCAGTCAAGTTCATTTAACCAAGTGCGCAGACCAATACACCATTTACGATGGAATTTATCTGATTTATACTCCATTGGATGGTTTTGAATTGATATGCCGAAGGAATAATCAGAGGTGTTTTAAGACACAACATATACTGATGCAATGTATTATTATTGTGTTAACCTAATCATGTATTCAATGATAAGGTAAAAATTAATACATTTAATGTAATTGTATATAAAAGTCTCTAGCAGACGACAATCATAAAGAAAAATAGTTGTCCAGGGAAGGTGATTCCTATTTTCATCCAATCAGATTCATTTCCAAACTGAAGCACGTTCCTGCAAACACGACAAACATGTCTTCCTTGAAGGAAATCGTTGGAATGTATCAGAATTTGAAGCGTGAATTTGATCGCAAACCACCAAATCTTGATAGATGTGGCGAATTTTTAGCAAAGCTGAAGGTATCGTCTTTCGATTTTCCCATCGACATTTAGTCAAAGCTGTTTCGTTGTCTCTATATCAGTCCCCAAACAAGACCGATTCAACCACTGATTTGCTTTGTCATTTCCATTTTGTTAACGTATTAGTAAGTGATACATGGTAGACTTTCATACAAAAACATCTAGATCTAGTAGAAGTCAGAATAAGTTTTACTATTGAAACATTGGCCAATTTTCTCCTCTCTTTTGGGTTTAAGAAGAATTCGGTTTGCAGTGATAGCAGTATGCACACGCCATGTTTATGCCACAGGAACTCGTTATTGGTCAGTAAATATAATACTTTAATAGGGATATAATATGTATCCCCTGTGTTCTCTGCTTACATATATGGGGTACGTGTTTTATGTGAAACCAGAGTGTAGATTTGCGTAGCAATATTGAACAACACAATCTTCATATCCCTTTTGACCTTAAGCCAAGAAAGTCAGTATATCCTAGAAAAGTTCCGAAAATTAAGATTTACTCAAGTGAGTAATAGATTAGCTGGCAGGTGACAACCCCTGAACACCCGTCTATCATGCCTATTATATATACTGATATAGCATGCTAACGACTGCACCTAATTTTATGTTCGCTCATTTTAATTAGAAGGTAATACTAATTTCCCATTTTTCATTTATTTTATTAAATATAAACAATATGCCAGATATGAACCATGTGACCTGTAAGGAGATATACATGTAATGGGTGTGTGGCATTTTGATCTTCACTAGTTACAAAGTTATTCCAATAAAAAATGTTTTTCTTGTTGCTTTTGTATGTATTGATATATGCTTGAATAAACATTGACATTGTTAATTTTCAGATTGCACTCACTAGTGTGACGTTTTTGCCTACAGATGAATCAAATCCATCAAAACAAGAACTTCTTATTGCTCGTAAGTTAATAATCCTCCACACTGTCATGTATAAATGAAACCTCAAAAGAAAATGAGTGGTGGAAACTATTGCATTCATTATATGAATTATGTTACCAGTTTCTTCTCAATTCTAAAGTCGCAATTGAGATTTGTTTTTAGATGAGATGAATTAAAGCTGAATTAATGACTTTATTTGTTCAGATAACAGTGTTGATGCTTATTTGTAGTTTCTTGAGTTTTTTAGTTGGTCTATGGTGATGGAGCTAAAATAGAAATAGTTGGAAATAGTTCCACACATAACCCCTGTTTCAACATTACCCTTTATAAATAATATTTTAATACTTCTAGCCAGGGGTTAACATGGTTAATGACTTTTGAACATTTTGAGGCAGGAGTTACGGGCAGAATCCCTACCAATTTGTTTTTTCTTCCAACATTTTCAACATATTACAAACTGGATGAGGCTATGGTAGTTAGGCTCAACAACAATATACAACAATATTGTTTATTGAGTAGCATGTGTAAATTACAGTAATGCAGGTTTTCATAAAGGACAAGTAAACTCAACATAGCAACTTTGCAGATTTGAATACTTTATGGCATACTAAATCACAAATGCTTGACCAAAGTAAATTTCGAAAAAAACAGAAATGTGGTAAAACAAACAATGAAAAATGACGGGCAAAATCACCCACCTAACGAAAATCTAGGGGAGTTCCCCTGGCCGAGGTGAAAAGGAGATCCCGGTGTTCGATGCCCTGCATAATTTCAACCATCAGGCAGGTACATAGTCTGCCTGCTTCTGCCTCATATTTTTTAATTGCATTACAGAACTTTTTCTGTCTGATCATCTGTTTAATTGCCATGTCCACAACTTAGGTCCACTTATGTGTTATTAGTAACAACACTGAAAATGCCAGACAGGCATTCATTGTGTGGAATAGGTCCAAGGGCTTGCAGATGATTTCTTTTACCTAAACAGGATGCTAGTCATAAGAAGCTAGTTACAAATTTATTAAAAGTTAAAGGGTATGTTTCACACATTCAGCAATGTATGCAATGTTGCTTTTGTTATAGAATTACTAGAAATGGCAGAAACAGAATACTTGTTATTTGTATAGCTGCCAAGAATAACAAGATATTGGTGCCAGAAGTGTCACTAGTCCTGTAGTCTTTGCAAAACTGCCCAATACCAAGGTATTTTAAGGATTAGTAGAAATTTTAACATGTCCAAGTGACAGTGCTGAAATCCCATGCTCTTTTATCAACCTCCAAAACCTATTGGGGGATGTGGCCTGAATTTTCTGGCGCAGCACATGTTTTCATTGGCTGATATGCAGACTTGTTTCCCGTGCTTACCTATTATATAATATATCCAGCGGTAGAAACTAACATGTTTTGTCCACTAGTCCTTATAATGATAACATATAACAATACCCTTAAAATGGCATACTTTCTTCAAGAGATGTACCATGCATTTTACTCCCTTGGAAATTGATTAAATGCATCGAAGAAAACTGATGTTTGCAACAAAATGGCATTTGTTTTTTGAGTCCTTCACTTCCTCTTTAAGCTACTCTGTAGCAATATGTTGACATGTACTTCATATGCAATTGGTCTACATGGTATTTCAGGTGATATTCTTGAAATTGGTGCACAATGGGCGATCGCTAAAAGAGACATTCCATCGTTCGAGCGCTACATGGCACAGCTGAAGTGTTACTACATGGATTACAAGTGAGTCCTCCAAATACAACACCAATGAACCAGTGATGTTGGACAAACTTTCAACTCCTTAAGTTTAAGGCGTTTGTAACATATTGATATGAATTGAGTGAGTGAGTGAGTGAATATGGTTTTACGCCGCTTTTAGCAATATTCCAGCAATATCACGGCGGGGGACACCAGAAATGGGCTTCACACATTGTACCCATGTCGGGAATCGAACCTGGGTCTTCGGCGTGACGAGTGAACGCTTTAACCACTAGGCTACCCGATATGAATTGAAATCCCTTTGCAAGTTCAGCTTTGTTTTTCTCAGAATAAGTTGCTGAATTAAGTTCTGGTGAGTGTTAATGTGTTAAGTTGATAGCGTATGCTAATGCTGTCATCTTCTGTTCCAGAGACAATTTGCCAGAGTCTACTTACAAATACCAGTTGCTGGGCCTCAACCTGCTCTGTCTACTTTCTCAAAACAGATTAGCAGAATTTCACACAGTAAGCGTCAGTTATATTAGTTTGACTTTGTGTGCATTTCTTTCTTTCTGCAATCACTTGTTTAGAGACAATTAGAGCAGATATCTAGGATCCAGGACCGGAAGTAAGCTATTATGAAGTTGTTTATATGGTTTAGTTCATAAATAATTTACTTATTACAAGCGACGTAACATTTCTTCATTATACAGTACATCATGAGTGATTATACTCTCTACTAGGTGTGTTAATTGTTTCTGTTGTCTATAATGAGAGTTATGTAAACCACAAATACCATATATACGTATGGATGTTCTTCATTTTTGCAGGAACTTGAGTTATTACCAGTGAAGGAAATCCAGACAAATATATACATCAAACACCCGGTGTCCATGGAGCAGTACCTCATGGAAGGCAGTTATAACAAGGTGGGTCATGTACCTTCTGGTGGGGGGGCACGGGTGGCCCAGTCGTCTAAGGCGACGCGATTCGCTGTGCAGAGTTGCGTCCCTTTGGCACGCCAGAAACCTATGATTGTGGGTTCGAATCCTGGTTCGCCCTGATTATGTTTCTAGGTTTGTCAGCACCATACCCGTGCTCGTGGGTTTCACCAAAGTGGTAAACGTCTGAGACCTGCATCACTCGGGGCTTTCCTCCCACATTAAGCTGACACGCCGTGATATAACTGGAATACTGTTTAAAGCGGCATTAAACCCAACCCACTCACTCACCTTCTGGTGGGGCTCCGGCCCCTGGGAATCTATGCTTGTCATAAGAGGCTGCTACTTAATAAGTTGGGCGATGCTCATAATATCAGTCACTGGTTTGTCTGGCCACTGTCATATAGCTGTATTGTTACTGACCGTGGTGTAAGTGACTAACTATATTTGAACCTTTCAATCAGCTGTTAGAATGATAATTGCAGGGAATTTATGGGGTTATATCCCAACTTATATGTCTTTGTTTTGGGCTATTTGTGGTCCATGCACAATTGTCAAATAGAAATGCCATTGTATATCAATTATAGTTCCTATTGCACGTGGACCGCCTCTGTGGTCTTGTGTATAGAGCATGTCCCTGGAGAGCAGAAAGTTGGTGGTTCGATCCCCAGACGCGTCATACCAAAAGACGTTAAAAGACGGTACTTGTTGTTACCCTGCCTGGTGCTTGGGATTTAGGGCATTAAACAAGGACTGGCTGGCTCGAAGTCAGTATACTGTGTCTGAGTGGGATATCTATGTTAAACTGCAGCATGATATCTCAGTGGGCTAGCACTATAAAACTACATTCGTCTGGCCTAGCACAAGCAGCCACACACACACGTGCATGCCTGACGCTGTATGAGTGCAGTAATTTTGAACACAATGTTAATTTCACCTCATTTCTTATTGCATGTTTTCACTGTGAAGTATACTACCCTTTGTTTGTGTTGTTTATTGAACTATGATTGTATCTTTTCCCCCAGGTATTCTTAGCAAGAGGAAATGTTCCAGCTGAAAACTACAACTTCTTCATAGATATATTACTGAATACAATTAGGTGTGTACCAGCTATGTGTAGTTCTCATGTTTGTCTTCTACTACTCCAGAGAAGTTAAGGACCGCCCAATCCTTTCATGTTGTTGTAGTTAATATGGCATGACACATTAACTATAGCAATATAAATGAATCGCGTGGTCCTCAACTTCTTTTGTGTAGTATACTTTTTGTAAAGTTGTACACAGAGATTAGATTTGCTTGTGAGATACCACAATCGACACACTATTTCAATACCATTTCAATCTGTGCCCAAAGGGGCGGTCGGGTAGCCTAATGGTTAAAGCGTTCGCTCGTCACGCCGAAGACCCGGGTTCGATTCCCGACATGGGTACAATGTGTGAAGCCCATTTCGGGTGTCCCCCGTCGTGATATTGCTGGAATATTGCTAAAAGCAGCGTAAAACCAAACTCACTCACTCTGTGCCCAAAAAGTTTAGTCTCAAACCTGACACTTTACGTCATTTTCAATGTATGGAGTTCTGTAAGCAAACCTTCCCAGACCTAAAGACTTTTTGCTAGACTCAGACTTCAGCGGACTAGTGGCCAAAGTCACAGACTGCCATTTATGACTGTAATGATGTGTTTTGATGAAAGAAAGATGAGATCAACCATTACGTGGTGTTAAAATTTGAGTAGTTGATGTTTATTATTACCATTGAAGTAAATGAGTGACTTTTTCAAGGAAAGCTGTTATATGAGTGATTGTTGTTCAACTTTCAGGGATGAAATCGCTGGATGCATTGAGAAGGCATATGAGAGGATTGCACTGACTGAGGCTGGTCGCATGTTGTTCTTTGAGTCACAAAAACCCATGAAGGAGTATGCCACACAGGTAATTGTACCTCATTACTTTGTCTCCTCAACACAGGTAGATGTACGTCATTACATTGTCTCCCCCCATACAGGTAGATGTACCTCCTTATGTTATCTCCCCCGATACAGGTAGATGTACCTCATGACATTGTCTCTCCCTCCCTCTCTCTCCCCTTCCTCCCCCCCCCCCCCCCTTTCCAGTATAGGGACAATTAGGATTGATGTTTTAGTGGAGATAACGCTATTCTAAAAAAATGACAAGGAGTAAATGATAAGGAAAGAGATGAAACCTTTATATATATTGTAACACATTTTCTCCTGTTGTTAGTGTTTATTTATTCACATTTCATATTTGTTTCAGCGTAAGTGGACTGTTGGACCAGACAACTTTTTCAGTTTTACTCATGACACGAAAGACACAGATGAAGTTATTCCTGCAAAATTACTAGCTGAACAGACGATAGAATATGCCAGGGAGTTAGAAATGATTGTCTAATGAAAGCACCAACATCTATATCTTGATCTGACTTTGTGTGCAAGTGCCAGGTTCACCACTCATCAGCTTGTCACGGAGTTACCTCCACTTTGATGCAGGAGTGATCTCCCTTGCCAGCTGGGCCATCCAAGTAGACATTCAGTTGCTGCATATCATCATGTACAGAAGTGCTGCTTGAGGCAGAGTACCTGCTCAACATGCCCCAGCACTGTTCAATTTCATGTTATGGACTAAGCCACAATGGTTTGTTTTCAAGTCAGTGCTAATCAACTGACATTTTAAAAGAATTAACGTCTTTGGTCTGTTATAGTACTGGATTCATAATTCATCCAGATAAAGGAAAAGGAAATGTTTTTTTATCACGGTGAAGAAGCTATGTTTATCTTTTGCTAAATGATACTATGTAATATTTTGTTTGTAATGGAAATGGATAATAAACCCATTGAAACTGTTTTTTACTGTGATTCATTGAGGAGTGACTCAGATCAGGCTTTGATGCAGCACCGATGTTCTGGGAAGTCATCCCTCCTCCAACCATCTGCTCTTGTCCAGCCTAAATTTTGTTGAAACACTACATTATGTGTTTTGATATGATTGTCCTTATCAATAACCTACAGCACCAACTAGTGGAGTTTGCATAAATCATATCCTACAACATCAATTTGGAGTACAGGGATCAGTCCGGAATTGACTTAACTAGCTGTATAAGAAAGTTTGGCATATGAAAAGTTTGGATGTATTTTTATTTAATTCTGCAATAAAAATTATTTTTTAAATGTATACAAAATATGATTTGTCATACACTTTTTCCGCAAGTGGTTAGTGGTCTATATTAATGTCATGATTACCAACACTACTAAATACTGAAATTTGTCAGGGGAGATGGTAGCCTTATGATAAGGTGATGGCTCATGCTAAATGTTAAGTCATTTAAGGTGCTTCTGTTCCCTGGGGAGTTACTCCTTTAGACTTGAAGGGTCATTGAATCTAAGATTTTTCCTGATGAGAATTGATGGATTGTTATTATTTCGAACTTCCCTCCCACATTAAGCTGACCCTGTTTGAGACGACTGAAATAGTGTTGGGAAGAAGGCTGCATTAGAGCCAACTCATTCCCTCAGCTGTCACATTAAACACTCAGGTCCAATTTAAAATTCACATGGCTACAATTGGTGAAACCTGTTCTTGAAGTGTGCCAACAGTGACATTAGATCATACTCAATCAGTATATGTGAGGACATGCATACTTGAGTTTCAGTAAACAACATATGCTAACAAAAGGACGTACCATAGTAAAAGAAACAACTGGTTAATGTGACAAACTGAATGGGCCCATCTACTTATTACAACCTACAATTTATAACCTTGCAATTTTTATTTGTAAGAGATGAAAGAAAGTTTCGCATGTTCTTGTGGATAGTGCTCTTTTTCTTAAAACATACAGCTGTGTAAAGAGCACTGTGCATAATAAGTTTTGTTTTTTTAAAATGGCTCTCTTAGTTAGGAATTTCAACTGTTTAGCGCCAAAGAAGAAAAAAAATAGTACATAAGCGTAGCAAACAATTCTTTTTCCAAACTTGGAGTTAAAGGCTGATTTACAAGAGCAATGTTGAGCATTCATGCTTTCCATTTTCTGGTGATACTTAGGGAAGCTGAATTATCAAACGGGTCCAGAACATCTTCCCGAGGCAAGGGCGCTAACTGACAGCAAAAGTCCAGTTTCCACTCATGCCGATCTAGGCTGGAATTCCGTTTTTACATTTTGGCTGGATTAACGAGCCTATTCATAGTCAAATCAAATCATCCTGTTCGCAAACACCATGGTTTTCAACGTGCAGATTTCGGTTGACTGCAGGATTTGCAAAGCTTATGTACCATCATCTGGGCGTCGACAGATATTTTCCTGATCGTTTCATATTTTTTATCAAGGTGATCAAATGATTTGATGTACTTCGCGAGGTAAGACCCGTTTTATGACAATAAAGACTCTGATTATCGTTCAGATCGTCTTGACTGGCCGCCGTCCTTTTTGTTTGAAGCAAATGCAAGTGATGTTAGTGATGGAATCGGGTTGGTCAATAGAAGGGACATAACTCATAGAAGCCACTGGTGGCACTACGACCGATCCACAAAATTCCAGCGTAGTTCGGCAAGGGTGGAAACTGGACTTTTGTAGTCATAACTCCCCTGTCTCTGGATCATGGGTGGATATTGGAATGGGCCTATGTGTGTGCATATTTCCGTCCGTCTCATTTCCATTGTTTCCGGCGTAATCATTCATGATGAAACGTCGCACTTTTTTTTGGTTGCCGTTTTCCAATCAATCGACCATTTCATGGACATAGTAGAACGGTGGTCAGGCTCGGTGACTTGGTTGACGGTGTGTCAGCGTACCTCAATGATGTGGAACGTTCATATCAATCACTGGTTAGTCTGGTCTATAGTCGATTATTTACAGGTCTCATTCGTGCAGTTGGAAAAGTGATGAAAGCGACAATAAACAACACAGAATCCTGTAACCTGTAGGTGTAGTTCCAAGTAGCCCAAACGCGGGCTGGTTCTCTCTGAGACGATAAATAGCATCAGGTGCAAACTTTTGTAAGAATCCACTACGCGCATTCATACAGTTTACACATCGGTTTTTCGATCTATACCTCAATGAACCGAAAATAATCCACAGTTAATCCTTAAATTAAATTGTGTATATGAGTTGTTAATAATGGGATTCAATGCAGATAGCCATGCTCGTTAATTCTCTCAAAATTTCCTCGCACTTTAGACATTATTTCCATAGAAACCGCTGTACCAATGAAGCTGTACTTCCTGTTCACTTGATGACATCTGAAATTGTTCATTTGGCAGCCATATTGAAAAAAGCAATTTGGTACTGAACGTAATGAAATTTGGTAATTGTTTAGTTTATTGTGGGATTCAAGGCACAGTTTGTTTTTTCTTTAGAAAAATACATTTTTTAACCTGTTCTGACCATGCAATTGCGTTCTCTCAAAATACATGTTCATTTCTGTAAATATGATTAACTTCTTCCATGAAATTGACCGAGAGCTGAACTTGGCATGTGTGTTTCTCCGTATGATGACATTTCTTGTTCAAATCATTACATTTTTTATATTTTTACCTTACTATTTATGCAGAAAGTACTTGAATATCAATGCTCGCAGCAACTTCCACCAAGAAAATGATAAACGATAAAAGCCAGCTGTTCAATTGGTTCATTCACGAGGGGATATTCATTTCAATGAGGCAGGTGGCAAGATCAAAGGCGCTGGTGGTGTATTGTTAATCGACAATGAACACTTATTCGACACGAAATACAACCGGTGGGGATTATAACATCTAAGCACGCGAGCATAAACCCATGTGCATGAGTGAGTAAATATTGTTTAATCCCCAGGGATTCTGAGACAGGTTCCCGGTGGCCCATGCTTACCGACTATTCATGTTTGACCCAGAATCTGTTCCATAAAAAAACCCTTAGCTCTGCGATAAATGAGTAAGTATTTGTTGAAAGACAGGATATGGACCCATTCGCCTAGTATCTTCGTTTCGGAAATGACGTCACCAGCCCCAACACTCCTACCCTAACACAGCACAGAATTACTCTCGTTCATGAGTACTATATATTTTCAGCGTCGTCCCATTTCGAATTGGGCACAGTATGGTAACGAATGGATCTTGCAAAAGAGGTGATGTGAGTTGAAATGGGGTTTAACGTCGCGTCCAAGATTATTGCACTTATATAGCGACGTGCATGTACGTGTGTGTGTTTGTGTGTACTAGTCCGGACTGATGCCGATTTATAGTGCTAGCACACTGAGATACCATGCCGCAGTTTAACATGAATACCCCACTCAGACACCGTATACTGACTCCGAGCCGACCAGTCCTTGTTTTAGCCCCTTCATGCCGAGCGCCAGACAGGGTAACAACAAGTACCATCTTTTAACGTCTTTTGGTATGATGCGGTCGGGGATCGAACCTTGGACCTTCCGCTCTCCGGGCGGACGCTCTACCACTAGACCACGGAGGCGGTCTCTGGCAAAGGAAAATATACACCCATGTTTGATGGTGACTAAAAATGAAACAAACAAGAAAAGGTTATTGATGGTGATATACGGGTATGCCTCAAGATCTGGGTATCTCAGTTTTTTGGGCCTGTGTCCAGTGTCTCGCCGACTGTTTTCAGCCTAGTAACGTTTTGATAACTTTTGTAATTTTTTGGTTAAAACTAATTTTCAAGTGTATACTTTCCTTTGCCTGGGAGTTTGTATATATTAATATCCTGGATTACCGATGGTGTGTTAAAGAATGAACGTTACCAAAGTCTTTGCACTTACATTACTTACAGAGACCTGGCTGCGTGGCATCGTGCACCGACAGCGTTGGTAGTTGCTCAGGAAGACCCCGCCGCCTTCCGGCCCACACTCCACCCACGGACCGCCTTTATACACGTGGATTACTGTTGACTGCGGCGTTAAATAACATTCACTCACTCAGGGAAGAGTCACCGGAATAAACACCGACAAGAAACAGTCAAGGTGATCTCTTGTTTATGCGACTTTTCGAAGGGTCAGTTTCCATTACTCGCGATGGAATTCAATTAGAGCATTTCAGACCTGTCTTTTAACATTGCATGCCCTTTTTAAACCGCCGTCATATATTTGGAATATTGCTGAGTGCATTGCTGAGTGCGGCGTGTCGAATAAATGCAAACACACTTTAAGAAAGACATACGTAGTTATGTATATTTGTAGTTATTCTGTTTTTTTCATTTTGAAAAAAAACACGGGACAGTAAAGAAGTCATGCGAAGTCATTTACTGTGCACTTCAGGGTGTAGTTGGATTTAAAAGTCTACATTTTCAAGGGCCACCCTGACTGTTCAACTAGCTCAAACTATTTTTGGAACGCCAACACTATTCCAATCATTTGACAGAGATCTGTAATCGAGATATGGCAAACCAGTGATTGATATTATGAGCAACAATCCACGCTGTCGGGGCACACTGACATGCAATCAGCTTATCACAAATCGAGCCTGACCACCCGATCCTGGAGTCTACAAGCACGTGTTGCTCGGGACTATAGTTCTAACCCGTAATCCCCACCGGGATCCACCATGAGTAAGTGAGTGAGTATAGTTTTACGCCGCTTTTAGCGAACGCTTTAACCACTAGGCTACCCCACCGTCCCTATCCACTATGACAAAACACAATGTATGACGTGAGGATATATGTAATTAAAACAGTCAGATCAGTCAGTTTATCACAAGAGCACATCCACAGCTCACAGATCAGCTACAGTCGCAATGTATCGTCGAATGGCTGGGTGGAGAAAGGTTTCTGTTCAGTTTCTGCTGCGCCTCTGTGACCAAGCTGTTAAAAACCCTACAGTAGGTCTCCGCATTGTTTAACAACACACTTCGAATGGATGCAGTGTTCCTTTGTGGAATTCTTATTGTCGAGCTGTCCATGAAATAGCACCTGTGGTGTACCCCGCCTAGATGTAACATACTTCACCTCCCCCATCCCTGCCATGTTCACGAGAGAGATGTCAAGGAGACCGCACCACATTTCCTTATATACAACAATATCATTACGACCCTATTACTTTGTGATTTCCCAACCTAAATGAGTAAACTCAATAAAGTTTCTGTTAACTTCTTGTCTTCACTCAGTATAATACTACGGTTATAACGACCTCAAAAGGACCACTAACTTTAGTTTGTTATAACCGTAGTTCGTTATAAGCATATATACAGCTTCACTTTTGCAAATAGTCGGGACATAAAAATCAGTTCGTTATATACGTCAGTTCGTTATAAGCGTGTTCGCTATAAACGTATTTTACTGTACTTAACTCCTTTGCTTTTAAAAAAAAAAAAATATTTTAACAACAAAGCAATTTATTTAAAATCGTTAGGTATGATTTTAAAACTCCTTGTCTTTATTGAAATATTAATTGGCTTATTCAAACTCAAATTCTGTCAAACAGTGTGCGCATCGTGTGGATTAAGGGTATGGGTTTAATGGGCCTTACCTGTCTTTCAAAACAGTGGACTAATCCATTCAGCTTCTAAGGGTATTCTCAGACGTTTGTTTTAAGTCAGCTCCACTTTGCTGTACACCAAATGTAAGTAGGACAAATGGGTATGACCCAACTGATGGCTGTACCACCTGTTCGTGCACACGGTGGCTCCCCATTTGTCAGAGAGGTTATCTCCCAAAACCCCTACATCCCATTTCCCCTACAATTAGTTAAAACAACACGCGGCATTTACCTGTCTGGCATTATGAACTCACCTAAAGGAGAGATTAAGGTCTGGAGTAGAGGTAGTAGAAATGAAAGGGGTAGAGCTTTAGGGGATTAGGGGACTTAAAGGAAAGTTTTTAAAAAAAAAGAATTAATGTAAATGTAATGAAAGATGCCTGTTTTGTTATAATGTATTATGAATTTTGAAAAATGAACATTTTATTATAATGTTTTATGAATTTTGAAAAATGAACATTTTATTATAATGTATTATGAATTTTGAATAATATCGTAATTAAATATTTATCTCAATCTATTCGTGTTTCTTGGGTTGTTCCATTATATGAAATAGGTAACAGACTAGGGATTAGCAGTGCCATGGACGGTGAACTTTGTTGTCTTAAGCTGTAGGGGAAATGGGATGTAGGGGTTTTGGGAGGTTACCGTCAGAGACCCCACTAGACCCCACACCCCACAGCTTACAATCACATAGGTCACGGTTGAGTGGATTACTAATCCACAGGCTGACACCTTTCCAATGCAACAGACCATGTAGAAGACTAAACACAAAAAATACAATTACATAAAAACAATTGCTTTATTTTCATGACATATAGTTACATCCTCAAATTGTGTATATCAACAGAGCATGTTCTCTATTTTCATTCATTTTCATTCATGATGTTTACAACATGCTCTAAAAGCAAAGAGTCTTTTAACAAAATAGTACAAAATGTACGCTTGTCAGAGTTGTCGGTATTCCCATCTCGTGGAAGCCTTGGTGGCTGAGTGGGTTAAACAGGTTTAAAAAATATTTTTAAATGACAGTTATATCACAACAGCCCTTCCAATGATAGTATGCTTTGTACTTACCATGTTCATCAACAGTGCGTGCGTGCGTGCGTGTTGTCAAACGAAATTAACGAATCCACGTTAAATTAAAAGTGCAGGACCATATTTAAAAAGGAGACAATCTGTGGCATATATTACTTGGCGCTGTGCAAATAGATCCGGCACAGGAACGGATCCGTGATTTTGAAAATGGAGAGTGCACAACCAGAAATTGCTTAGAGAAAAATACATAAGATAAATACAGCTAGGATAACATGTAGGCGATCTTTCCTCTGTGGTTTTCTCTCGTTTATTCAAACTTTCGAGCTTTCTATTCATTCTTTTTCTGTCGTTTTGGCGATTTGAGTATTGACTTTCCTTTTCATCCCAAAACACATTAAAATGTCATCACAATGTCCTAGTTGAAAAGCAGTTTTTTTTCTGAATATTGGCCTATATGTCATGTCATTATAATCAATATTAAATTTCAGTTACCATTAAATGTATATAATCCCAGTGTAATTTTCCTTTGAATTTATAACGAATAAATTTGCTGAGAAAAAAAATAATTTCAAGGCAGTAAAAACTGGATACAATGTTGAAGATACGTTCTGAATTTTAAATTTCGCGCTCAGCATACTCGCGTGTGGTCGACAATCTAAAAAGTTATCTCCCTTAGAAAGACTCGCGCTAGTACCGTTACAAGGAAAATGGCGTAGTTTTGTTTTGGTTCGTGAGACTGTACTTTGTTTTCATCATAACTGTACAGCGCTTGCCAGGGAATCAAGATGCCTTGGTACAAATTAATTCCCGAGTCTTGGAAAAAGAGAGCATGTAGATATCTTCTCCAAAGATATGTTGGCCATTTCTTGAAAGAAAAGCTGTCTTTGGATCAGCTGAGCGTTGATTTGTACAGTGGAAAAGGTGTCATCAAAGAGCTAAATTTAGATGTCGAGGTAAGATAATGAGAAAACTATCAAGGGCAGTTTTGCTTATTTTATGTCAAGTCATATCACATTTTTTGTCACTCGTACAACCAATGTAGATGACAGTAATCACAAGAATCGTCCCACACCGTACTCGACCTTTAGCTTCGTTTGTTTACTTTTGTGTCATGGCTCTTGCGGAGAACTGTATAATATATTCTCTTTGTTTCCACGATTATTCGCCAAACACGAGTTTTGTACTCAACGTGATTATAATTAATCATCATTCGAAAATGTGATTTATGTTCTTGTTTCAAAGTTATGCAGTGTCAGGAAGATAAGAAAATAGTGTTATGGCACAGATACTGACATATTGTCAATATGTCATGATTTTTTTGTTGATAGACATGGTAAATAATGTAATTATCAATACCAAGTTGATAGATGGAATATATACTGTTATTTTCATATAAGAAAAGCAGCATATGTCTTAATTTTGTCTTGTATTTTGGTTGCCTCTTGCCAGCAGTTATGTCCATACTGTTAATTGCATAAATTCACACTTCGTCAAATTTAGATTGGTTTATATAACTGTTTATGTTCAATATACTTTTTACGTGTAAAGGGGTAAAAATGATAAATATATGAAAGCAGACAAGCTGGTTGATATCTCGATATAAATGCTAAGTGTATTTTAATTTGCATAAAGGCCAGTATACATCATTGCATGGTATATGAAGAGATTTATGAGGATGTATATGAACCTAAGTGCAATAGGTTTGTCATAAGTGACCATGCTGACACAGATGACTGATTTTGTGAACAAAGAAAACTCAGAAATCCCTAAAGAACTGTTCTGCTGAGTAATGTGGACAGTTTGTTTTATGTGCTTACCTTTCATCATGTTCATCAGATGCTATTTCATAAATAATTATATATGAATACATGGCAAGTAAACATGTGAAATACTTTATTCATTTTGTTTGTGGCTTAAATTAATTTATACAATTCACCAGAGCGATTTATTGTGCCTTCTAATATATACATCTACATGCTATTCCGTGTCATTATGTAAATAGAGAATAATTGAGTAATGTAATATGAAGATGATCTTACAAAGATGTCTTCTTTCACAAACTCTCACTATGACTAACCAGCTGACTGTACAAGGTGTATGTCAGTCTGACCCAGTCATGCTAGAGTCATGAATCTCTAGTGTCATCAGAACTACTTTCTTAATGTTCATTGCTGTCATGGACAATTGATATACTGATAATGCTGATGGAAAACTACAACATGCAGTCGTAAATGTATAGGACTTTGGCATGTTGGTTTAATCCCCGAAGAGAGGCACAATTCCCTATGCTTCTAACAATAGCAGATTTGGAACAGGGATTATGTGGTCTCGGAACAATGTGTCACATGCATGATCTGGCTGATTGTGTCATGCACTTACTACATGGCTAGTTGTTTATACTATCAACCACTGGTTTATCTGGAAGTTTTGACATTCACTAAGTAAACACAATGTCGTAACAAAGTTATAATACTGCTGGATTTAAGACATTCATTCACTCACTCACTCACTCACACTCATTTCATAATTAAGTCTTTTGGACTAACAATTCTTTTGGAGAAACAATGGTGTCTGTTTTGACAGAAGGGCATGTGTGAACAACAATCCAATCTTTCCGAGGCAAGGGAGTTAACTGACTTTAAAAGTCCAGTTTCCACCCTTGCTGAACTAGGCTGGAATTCCTGGGCTCTATCATAGCGCCACCAGTGGCTATTACGAGTTATGTCCCTTCTGAGCCTCTCCTTTGGACCAATCAGATTCCACCTCTTGTATCACTTGCATTTGCTTGAAACAAAACAGTGGCGCCTAGTCAAGAAGATCTGATTGATTATCAAGGTCAATGTCGCGCAATGCATGAGCACCTTGATTAAAAATATGAAAAGATTTGGAAAATATCTGTTGACAACAAGTTGGCGGTGCACATGATTTGCAAATCCTGCAATCGACCGAAATTTACAGGACAGTTTGCAAACCGGATTTTGATTTCGATGAACGATTTTGATTGGACTATGCATAGACTCGTTAGTCCAGCCAAAATGTAACTCCATAATACCAGCCTAGTTCGGCAAGGGTTGAAACTGGACTTTTTTAGTCAGTTAACTCCCTTGCCTTGGGAAGATGCAACAATGCAGGCCTTAATTACTGAGTGTTTTGACTAACAAAGAAATTCTCATTTATTATGATATGCTATTTCATGCATGTTTTATAAAAGGGCTTGCTTGATTTTCAACTGAATTTCTTTTGGAAACTATTTTGACGAAGTAACATATGTAAGACATTGAATGAATGTCTTGATGAAAGCAATGAAATGTGTAAAAACTATTAACTTGTTTAACATGTTTAGCCATAAATACACTGAACCCTTTTTATATACGAAATAGTGTAATCATGGCCATATCAGGACTAACTGGCGTACTTCATCACATGGCTTTACAACAATGAATGTTAATATGTAGAGACATTCCCTATTAGAAAACAGAACACAAACTAAAGTATTACACAGCATTACTGATGTAGATTTACTAGAAATGCTCATCAGACATTAAAGATATTGCTTTGTTGAACATGCCAGTGTTAAGAATACAAACCAAACAAATCATCATAATGGGACATGAAATATTGTTAAAAACATTATATATAATGTCTGTGACCTTAGCCTCTGGTTTGAAGCCTGGTTCAGTTAATATTAGTCTATTTACTATTATAATGTACAGAAAATGTTATCAGAGCCAGGTTTTAGCTAGTAAAGTCAAAAGTTTTGTCATGGACTTGCACACATTTATTGTTGTGTGCATGGAATTTGATTGAAATAATTATGTGTGCGTCAAGAGGTTGCAAATTGATCTCCGATCACCCGCTCCTTCCTTTTATACCTATATGGATTCAGGTATACCAGGATACTTTGTGTCTGCCAGTAGCTAAGTGTAAAGGCATCATTCCAAAATTTAATGGATCATCCATCACAAAATGCCCACTTCAAGAAGTAGTTACGTTTGAGAGTGTGCTCCCTGCCGTATGCACTTAAGTAATGAACATTGCTGGTATGGCTAAGTAGCAGTCTGTGTTGGAAGCAGCTGTTGCTAATAGTTTCTATGCTGTTTATAAGAGATTTATGACATTAGTACTCTCCAGGTAATACTATACTGTCACATGTCCATGTTGTAAAGCAGGTGACAGATTGAAAGCCATGATGATAGTAATTTCCCTCAAATGGTTTGGTCTCCAATAATGGCCCATCTCCATCCCTGTTCTGTTGGCTTTTGAATTACTATAAATGTATCTATCAGTCACCCATCCTTATTGCTGTATTGAATCATTACACCTGCATTTCATATACCTGTATGTAAACATGCAACAATAGCGATTAGCCCTGAGAAGATGCGGGTTAGAATTGGTCCTCAGCAACCCATGCATGTCGTAAGAGGTGACTAGAGGGATTGGGAGATCAGGCTTATGGACTTGGTTGATGCATGTCATCGTTTCCCAATTGCGTAGATTGATGCTCATGATGTCAGTGGTTGTCTGGTCCAGATTCAATATTTTTCAGGTCTCTGTCATATTGCTGTAATATTGCTGAGTGTGGCGTTAAAGAGCAAACAAACAAACAATAGTGATTGACATGATTAGGGTTATTAAGGGTGTCCTCTGATCTGTACAGGGTATTTAACTTTTTCTGAGGTACATTTTTGAAAAAGCTATAAAGCTCAATCTAACTTTTAATTGAAAAAAGGGTTAGTGTGCATTCTGCTGAGCTAGGAACAATTATTAACTACTGCCTCAAATTCCTACTTTACTGTAGAGGCATGTAGGGAAATCACTTACAGATTTTAAGTAGAATTAATCACAGCTTCCTTTCCTTACTATTTTGCCACATGTGGATAATATGTCCACACCAGTTAGAAGACATAGTTTCTGAATGTTAGTGTGCTTATTTTTTAGCAAATGGATTAAAACATGTACATATACATACTGTACTTCCCTCAATTTCTAATATGCAGCAACATTACATGTTGTCATGCAGTGTTATGACATCACAAAACAAGGTTACAATACAGTGACATCATAATTTAAAGAACATTGCAGCGCTACTTTCTTTCACTTTTACTGTAAGCAAAATGGGAATGAAATCACATATTGTTTGATGTATGACACCCAATCTTTGACGATTACTTTGATTCTATGGTTCTTGCCTGTATTGCTTCATTTTGGCAAAACATTGTCTTAGAATATGTTGTTATGCCGATAGATAACAGTTTGAGTGGACACAAGTACATACCAGTGAATAGTGTTAAGACACACTGCCAAGGTTGTTATTTGGAATGCTAGTTGAAGTTTTCAACTCATCTTCTCACTTATCACATCTTCCTGAGGCAAGGGTGTAAACTGACTTGAAAAGTCCAGTATCCAACCTTGCTAAACAAGGCTGGAATTTCTGGGCTCGATCGTAGCGCCACCAGTGGCTATTATGAGTTCTGTCCCTCCTATTGATCAATCAGATTTCACCTCTCATATCACTTGCATTTGCATCAAACAAAATTGCGGCGTCCAGTCAAGATGATCTGATTGATAATCAAGTTCTTTATTGTAATTAAACTGGTCTTACTTTGTGAAGTGCATCAAATCACATTAGACTCTATATATGTTGACGATAAATTGACAGTACACCTACTTTGCAAATCCTGCAATCGACCGAAGTCTGCACGGCAGTTTACGAATGTCGATTTTGATTAGACTATGCATAGACTTATTAGTCACAATATAATATAAGCCACAATATAACTACATAATTCCAGCCCTTTTCGGCAAGGGTGGAAACTGGACTTTTATTGTCAGTTAACTCCATTGCCTCGGAAAGATGCACTTATCATGGCTTTGTTTGGTTGTGTATATTTTATCCATAAAACACACGTTTGTAAAATAATGTGAACATTGGCACCCAGCTTGTGTGTGTCACACTCAGTTTATCCTACCTCCATGAGAATAAATCACTTATACCCCGCTTCAAAGCAAAAAGCTGCAAGCTTTATCCGAGTCAATAAAAGTCACGTGACATAGCACAAGTTAACCTCAGCTCAATCGAACAATTTTGAATTTGTTTCAATTTTTTCACAATAGCAGATTAAAACATGTCGGTAAGATAAATTGATTGTAGCAGTATCACTCAGGGTACATGGGGTTTTATGCATCCCTCCTTAGGTTTTATATCTCTCGCCTCCTGTTACAACCTATATTATTTTAAGGTAAGCAAAGACAAGGTAATAGCGATGTCTCATGGTACTTAAATGTATGTATAAATAATGACAGTTGACATGATTGAGGTGAAAAGTGTTTGCTGACAATGCTGTTTTTTATGCAATCTCATTAAAATCAGATCTTAGTTCTCGCTATCGCTAAACAAAGATCTGAGGACATCCCATTACAGGTTACGTCAGAATGATCTTTCATCCAACCAATCAGAGCGTCGCTTACCAGATCATGAAAGTGACAGTCGGAATGTTTTTTCTAATCATGCAACCACGATATATTTAACACGGGGTATTCCGAACGACAGTAACGGGTGTTATGATTATATCCATACAATCTAGGCCATCTATAAGCCATTCCAGAATGTTCTTATCAGTTTTAAAATTTTTAGTCGAGAATACGTCAAAATATGTTTCGAAGCTTAGTCGCCAGTTTGAAACTAGTGTCGTAAAGCTCGAGAAAGCTGCCATCTGATTGGCCAATGTTGATTTCTTGTCAGTCATTTCATTGGTCGGTCAAACGTCGTTCTGGCGTGACCCGTAATGGGATGTCCTCAGATCTTTGTTTAGCGGTAGCGAAAACTAAGATCTGATTTTAATGAGATTGCTTTTTATGGGAACTTTAGCATGTCCAGTTATTTTTAGTAATAATCATGATAATTATTTGTGTTTTCTTTATGACAGGCTCTCAATGAGGCATTGGAGAGTGTTAACATCCCCCTTGAGATCGTGGATGGTTTCATCGGCAGTATCTCCGTCTCCATCCCATGGACCTCGCTGCTGACGGACAGCACAACAGTAGAGGTCACTGGCCTCGAGCTGACAATACAACCCAAACAATGGGATGACAGTGGTAGATACCTTGCTTATTGAGAGTTTTATTGGTTACTGTTCTGATGCCAGCTGCTCAAACTTACCATATTTCCTCTATTAGATGTAGGGCCTCCAATACACACCAGCCTCTAATTGATGCCAGTCATCGTTTGATGAAATTAATGATCCCTATCATATTAACTTGCGTCATGTAATGATGCCGCCCTTGTACTTCCAGCATCTTTCATTTCTGATATAATTGCTTGTGCTTGTCCATTCATACTGAGTCAGATTTACACTGGAAGCTACCATCGCCACCATGGCTCAAAGCTTTTCTCTGTAGATTTAAAGCCGCAAGGTGTGAAGCCAAAAGAGGACACTTGGTTCATTAATGTCAATTTTACTTTTAACTTGTTTAAAGAAGAGTAACTCACAAAAGAATTACAATTGGATTCTCCCTCCTTGCCCCGTCAGTTTTAAAAAAAGTCATAAGAAACAAGATTGTATTTTTAAGTTGCTGAAACAATGTTTAAAGAATCAGATGGTCCAGTCCTGTCCAGTTGGCCCATTACCAGTCAGTGATAATTTAAGTCCTGGCTTCTAGTTGTCCATCTCTAACAACTATCAGCACTAATTTACTGTCAAGTTTGGCTTCCACTTGTCCATTGCTAATCACCTATCAGCGCCAATCATCTGTTGGCTTCTCTTGTTAAGTTTCCGCCTTTATTATGTTACCACTTTTGTTGTTCTTACAGGTACATATATATATGTTCTTTTCCTCATAGCAATTATTCACCTGATGAGTAAGTATATACCCCAAAACGTTGTGTTCCTCATAGTAAAGAAGTTGACATCCATAAATTCTCTTCCTTAAATAATATGAGTCACCAAGTGGAAATTTCCGTCGCCATGGCAACTAAAGTAGTTGCAACTTTGAGGCCTGTGAACCCAGTTTTGTTTCAGGTTAAGTCCTGTATTAATGCTTCTAGATGAGGATTTGGGTGTCAAAGTCTGGCCCAGATTCAGTTGGTTACATTTTGCCATAATAACATTAAGATATTGGTGAGTATGTCAACCCTCACTGGTTCACTGTCATGTGTTTGTAGGAGACAGTCTGGACACCCTCTCCATGTTGAACAGCATGCACATGACATCCAGCATGCAGCTGGCGCAGGAAGTCCTCAAATCTGAGAAACTCACAGAAGAAGCAGCCGAAGAAACCACAGGCTTCGAGGGAGTCCAGATGTTTGCCCAGACCATTGATGCAGGTTAGTAGACTTTTCTGGAGGGTCAGGGTGAAAACTGGTCCCCATGTGTCCCCCTTTGCTGTTCCTAATTACCGGGTAAGAAGCAATTGAAGATTTGTTGGTCAGGCTCATCTTCCTTAGGTAAGGGAGTTAACCGACTGTAAAAGTCCAGTTTCCACCCTTGCCGAACTTGGCTGGAAATTCTTGGCTCGATCGTAGCGCCACCAGTGGTTATTACGAGTTATATCCCTTCTATGTCCCTCCTATTGACCAATCAGATTCCACCTCTCATATCGCTTGCATTTACTTTAAACGAAATGGTAGTGCCCAGTCAAGATGATCTGATCGATAATCAAGATCTATATTGTCATAATACGGGCCTTACTTTGCAACGTGCATCAAAACATGTGCATGACGAACCAGAACCACAGCAGTTGACGAACCAGATGTTCATTTCGCTACGCAATTTTGATTGGACTATGCATTGGACACATTAATCCAATCCATAATTCAAGTGTAGTTTCAGCAAGGGAGGAAACTGGACTTTTTACAGTCAGTTAACTCCTTTGCCTCGGGAGAATGTGTCAGGCTTGGCGACTCGGGTAATATTATTGATGGCTGATTGAGAATCTCATGCTACAAACTGCTAATTACGATCTTTGTTGTTCATGTAGATGATTTGATGTTCCAGTTCTGTCCAGGATAAAGATGTCCTTTGTAGACACCACGATCAGACTGGAGCATCTTCACAAGGGGGCAGACCGAGGTGTGGCCCTGGAGCTCAAGGTTGAAAGGTATGCTGTATTTAGTTCATGAAAACCAGAGATATGTTTCCAACCATCCAGCCTTTACACTACATGATCCTAGCTATAACTGAATGTATGGCTACTCATGATATGAACACATCACATTCTGGTCATTGTCAATACTTCAGGGGTGTGTGGACACTACATTCCTCAATCACTCGTGAGACATATAGCTGCTTTGTGGTGCAAAAATGATGCATGTAATTTTTTAAAGCTAATATACTTGATACAGTTGACACACAGAAGTCAAAAGAAGCCCTACTCTCTGTATGAACTTTGGGTGAATGCTACAGTTCACTGATGTTCTAATAATGTGTTGAGAAGATGGCAGCATGGCTATTGCATAGGAATGCTATGGCATAGGAAATATTGCTTATGCAGTCTGTGCCAAAAACTTTTGAGTCCACCTACCTAAACTTGGCTCCTAACATTATTTTTTTTACAATTTATATTATCATGTGTCTTTTGTTTGCTGAACTTACTGAACCGAACAGAATAATACTACAGTCAGGCTTAAATTGAAGACTGTTTATGTAATCTGAGGGCTCATTGTTCTGGGTACTTGCTGGTTTCCTCTCCTGAAACTATGCGGCTTGATTCATTGGGTTAAAATAACCACAAGGCATGTATTCATGGACAATGGACAAACGTAGTGTCTACAAATCCATGAAGTGTTGACAGTGAATTCTGGTATGAGATGATTATGCTACTTTATTAAATTCCCAGAAATACATCCTGGGTTCCATTCCACAAAACTATCGTAGAGCTAAGGTTATCGTAACTACCATACTTTAACACAGACTTACAACTGTCGTTGCGCTACGATCACCTTGTGGAATGGGGCCCTGTATGGCAGATCTAATATATGAAGGCCGATCAGAAGGTTACTGTCCTTGGCATGACTGTTGCATCAACTGTGGGAGTGTATGCTGGCCTTCATTTTGTCTCCCTCCACTGTTTACAGAATGGAATATTTTGTTATGTTAGATCTAACATATAAAGACCGATCAGAAGGTAACTGTCCTTGGCATGACTGTTGCATCAACTGTGGGAGTGTATGCTGGCCTTCATTTTGTCTTCCTCCACTGTTTACAGGATGGAATATTTTGATGACATTGCCACCGAGCAGGATGGTAGTCCTGTGGACAATCCTTTGGGAGGTTTGTCTGAGCCGGCTGGTATTGCTCACAAGAACATCCATGTGATGGGGGTGTCGCTGTTCTTTGATGAGTTCTTCAGAGATCCGAGCCAGCACCAAGGACCTGATTCCCCGGAGCTGTCACCAAGAGTAAGTCAAGGCATGAGTGGTGTGAGCCCTTAGTCAGCAAAATCACAAAATTCAATAAAGAGCAATTTTACCATGAAGTTGGAAAACACTTGATTCAAAGATTTCAAGCAATGATAACTGGTTTGACAACTGCATCAACTGCAACTGCTAGTGCAACATCAATGGTCTGAGGACATCCCATCACATGTCACATCAGAATAACCTTTTGCAAACTGGACATGAGAAAATTCAGGAATGTCTAATAAATGTCTGAAAATGGACTATGGAAAGTTTTTTTCAGTTCAATATTTATCCCTTTGAAGTGAGAAATAATCAGTTTCTAGCACTGGAATCAGTCATACAACTCGTAACTGTTGTTAGGAATGCCCAGTAATCTCCTTTTCAAGGTTGCATGATTAAATCTCATAAGCGATGCCCTCATTGGTTGGGTGAATTGTTGTTAAAAAAGACATGACCTGTCAAGGAATGTCCTGAAGATCTTTGGGGAGCAGTGGCTAGCACTAAGATCTGATTATAATGACAATGCAGCAGCATACAATCTATTCTTTATTGGAAAGCACTTCTTTTTTAACATTAGTATATATAGGTTATAAAATGCCATGTTGCAGTGGCTAGAATATGTACATAATTGTACAGAAAAATGTATTTTGGTACAATGTCATACTAACAAATGTTTAAAATATAATAAATCGCTTGACTTTCAATTGTTTATTTGGTAATTTTCAATATTATTTCATATTTCAGCTGTATGACTCAACAGCAAGTTCAATGTACAAGAGCACAGCCGAGAATTTGATCAACCAAAGCATCACCACACAGCCTAAGTCACTTGGAACCTGCCTTGTGTCTGGATCTCAGCCCATTCAGGTGGCAGTCTTCTCCGGCAGGCAGGAACTCAAGGCCAAACTCAAACAAGTGGACACACTGCCTGGACCAAAGGTAGGAGTACTGAAGAGAAGCATCTGTTATGTTCTGCATATACACAGAGACCTTGACAGCCAGGACTTCGTTAAGCAGGATTTCCTAATATTTCTGCTGAACAAATTACTCTGTACCATGATTTGTTAATCCTTCTGATTTCATGAGGAATGCTACCGTTATCATTAACAGGGTCTCACTGTAGCAGTATCAACTTTAGGGAACTGATCTCATTCTGGGGAAATTTTGGCTCCTCAGGATTAACAGGATCCCACTGTAGTAGTGTGGACTTCAGGAACTGATCACATTCTGGGAATATTTTAGCTCCTCGGGATTAACAGGATCCCACTGTAGTAGTGTGGACTTCAGGAACTGATCACAATCTGGAAATATTTTAGCTCCTCGGGATTAACAGGGTCCCACTGTAGTAGTGTGGACTTCAGGAACTGATCACATTCTGGGAATATTTTAGCTCCTCAGGATTAACAGGATCCCACTGTAGTAGTGTGGGCTTCAGGAACTGATCACAATCTGGGGAAATTTATAGCTATGTTTTTGCTGCATCATGTTTAATATAATGAACAGCCTTTTAATTCTCTTTAAACCATCTTGTGTCACATTAATTTTTCAGCTGAATTTCTGATTGTTATTTCAGCTTGAACTTGACTGTCAGCTTGGAGCATTCCATTTGCTATTATCACCCAGACAACTTCATGGGATTCTAGAGATATTCAGTGGTCTTGCCTCCCCAGGTGAGTGAAGATGATACTCTGGGATATTTGGTCCAACTCTGTGTGTCTAGTGTTATAGAGCATGTGTTCGCAGAGCGCAAGGTATGGGATTCGATCCCTGGCCACATCATACAAAAATTTAAAAATTTAAAAATGGTACTTGTTGCTTCCCTGCCTTGCTTTTGGCATTCCGGGGATAAAATGAGGACTGGTCAGCTTGGAATCAGTGTACTGTGCTGAGTGGAGTATCCATTTTAAATTGTGACATGGTCTCTCAGTGGGCTAGCATTATAAAAGTGGCATTAGTCATCACTAGTACAAGCCGATGCGTGCGCGCGCGCACGCACACACGCACGCATGCATAAGATATTGCTGAGTGCGGCGTTAAACAACAAACAAACAGACATAGATACTTGTCAAGTCATGCAGGTACACTCTGTCCGATGAACCTGAGCGAAGACATGTCTTTATCTTACACCAAGGCTGTCTGTGCAACTGTATTCAAACATTGTAATGAGATACATATTGTACTGTCTGTATCCTTGTAGCCTTATTGTCACAATCTCATTAAAATAAGATCTTTTACTCTGGTATGATATCTCTCAGAAGGTTTTACTAGGTGAAACCTGGATGAACTTTGACCTGGGTTCTTGATCTAATCAGATGTCAGCTTTTTTATACAATTCAACTTCATTTTCTTTACCACTTGATTCGGAAATTTTGATTTTAACACACAGAAACAGAAATATTCCTTTGATGGTACTCCTGTTGGACATGTTGCTGTCAGAAATAACAAGGTGTATAACATATCCATAGCATTATATGGCCCAGTCTTTATTATTTACATTCCGAACTGTCCTTGTGTATGTTTGTTGTTAACCTTGAGGTGGATGTCCCTGTGTATGTTTCAGCTAACAGTGATGATTCCAGTGGCAAGAAGCGGTCCAGTAAAGACAAGCCGATGAAGGCTGCCGACTTCCAGCGAGTGGAGTATGAGCTACAGCGCCATCTACAGACTGGGAGGATGGAGCACCACATGGCGCACATGTCCCCGCAAACTGCGATGTTCATGCAGGAAGACATCATGATGGAGTCTATAGGTCAGGGTCATGCAGTGATCTGTAATCACACAGGCAGTTGTCATTTAATGATACGATTTTCAACCCGTTTTACTCTCAATTAAAAGCCCATATTCACTTGTTTCTTCAAGCCAATATGGCAATGTGCCCATTTCTGTAACCTGTAAAATAGCTTGATCTGGACCATCCTTACGTTTGATACAAATCGAATTCCTCTTATTCCTTATGAAACACTATTGGTTTGAACTGTATGTGCACGTGGTTGAAAGCTTGTAGTTCACCCTGAGTGTTGATGCAGATGAGCTGAGAGATGAAGACCTGTACTTCTCCATGCATGGTGGGGTGCGAGATTCGGCGCAGTCTGAGATGGAGTCCTCCTTCTCCAGCAACTACAGTGGAAGCACCACCAAGACGGCCAGCACTGCCACATGTAAGCCTTTACCTGGTGTTTATACAGAGAGTGTGTCCAATTAACCCTAATAGATAAGGAGTGACAGTTCTCAACGGGACATAAAAGTACACTTGCCAGAACATTGAGCGAGGCGGAGGTACATGCAGCTAGACTTGTTCTGCTGTATGATGTGTATTTGTTGGACTAGGAGTACACATATAATGTTTGTGAAGTATCAACCAGGCAAGCTAGTTTGATAATGTTTTACTAATACTAGCCAGTGTCAGATTTGTTTGAGCCAGTCATTTTTTACTCGACCAAATATTTCAAGTTTCGACAGTCAGCTGCAGAATTAGTGACAAGGGACCATGACAAGCATGAGTGAGTGAGTGAGTGAGTGAGTGAGCGAGCGAGCGAGTATGGTTTTAGGATGCTTTTAGCAATATTCCAGAAATATCATGACAGGGACACCAGAAATGGGCTTCACACATTTTGCACTTCTGATGAATCAAACCTGGGTCTTCAGCGTGACGAGCGAACACTTTAACAACTACGCTACCTGACCGCCCCATTACAAATATGACAAATGTTTAGTACATCCCACATGTCAAAAATCAGACATTTCAAACCTATTCACCATTTAGCAGGAATTTCCTTAATGGTTTCGAACTTTCGTATTTGACAACTGAACAGCAATATTATATCTCACTAGTCGGACAACCTAGATTTAATTTTCAATAGCCACAGAAGAAGAAACATTTCCATGAGGTACTGAGCAGGCACTTGTTTCGCACACTGAGTTCATTATTGGCATATCATTGTACTACACATGATCCAGTGTCAACATCGATTAGTTCATGGCCTTAGATGTGCTCTGTATTAGAGATAAGTATATCTTGGTAGCCATGGTTACTGGAACCTATGTGTCTATTGGTGTTATTGCAATAAACACCTACAGAAACAAGGATAACAGTGTTTAGCTTTGTCTTGTTATGGCTGTCTCAAACAAACAAATATCATGGTTATTGAAAAAATACTGGTGTATGATGTATTCTGAAGTAGCATAAAAATATAATTTGGAGTTGGTTTTATGCTAAATTCTCCCTAAAACTCCCCTTTGCTAAACTGTGGTATTTGAATTAATGCTTGTACTGAGTTACCATCAGTTGATGAGAGCAGGAAGGAAAGCATTTTTGAACATTTGTTGATTTTAATATTTGAATCAGTTCTATGCTAGAGTGTCATTTGTTACTTTTCAGCATTCCCCAGAAGTGAATCTACAGATTACCGAAGACCAGCATCCTCATCAGCACCAAAGTCACCTAAAGGTACCAGCTGTTCACAGGGGAAACAATCAGGGGAGATAACTCCTCACTCCATGGGAGACAACTACTACTCCATACTATGACAAACTCCAAAAATTACACCAGCAATTTCTCTTTGATTCCTGAATCTAGTGATTACATGGGTATTCATTTGTGTAAAGAGTGTGTATCATATCACTGAAAATGACACTATGATATGACTCGTTTCAGCCTTTCGTGACATATATTTATGTGAAAGTAAGTTGACACTGTCACATCCACTATGCAGAATGAACTTCATGTTGGTTAATCCTAATCATCGGGGTGGTTGGGTAGCCCAGTGGGTAATCTATCTGCTTGTCATGCTGTAGACCCTGGTTCCATTCCCACGATGTCTACAATTTCAAAAGCCTATTCTTGGTTTTCTTTGCCTTGTCTAATACTGGAATATTGCGAAAAGCAGCATGAAAACTAACTCAACATCTATTTCCATACTGAGGAGGCCAAAGGCCTATAGTACATACCGTATTCAACGTAATAAGCGCCCCGCTCTAATAAGTGCCCACGGCTATGTTTGCTAATATACTGGCTAGTGAACAATTCCAATTAGCACCCCTTCTGATTGATAAATGTACACAAGACTATTTATTCGTGCATAATGCGTTTGTTATATGCACCCTTTATGGGCAATTAAATTCTGGAAAAATATATCTGTCGTATATAAACATTTCAGGTTGTCAGCATAAACCACGAAATTTATGATCTTTCAACTCTTGTTTTTCAACAAAATAATATTCTAATAAGAGCCCCCTATTTCTAATTTTGGGAGTGCCCTGGGCGCTTATTATGTCGAATACGGTAATACAATACATTCTGACGAGTAGAGTTTTGTTATTAAATAAGATTTCTCTTGTATATCAATGTATTATAAAAATAAATAGACAATTTGGGCAATAGTACAATCTTAGAGCTATTTAACCAAATCTAATAATTTAAAGATGCTAGGATGAACATGGTAATATTCTTTAAGATTCTTATTTCAATGGTATTTAAGTTACACTGCTGGCAGATTCTATCTTCTCTTTCAATATAGGTATATAATCCAATTTCCATAAAAAGATTGTGTGATGAACATCCGAACCTTGTTAAAGCAATACAAATTTCTTTGCATTGAAAACAGATAAGTTATGTTCCTTTAAAAAGTATGGTTTCAGAATTATGTAACAGAAACATTTGCTTGATAAAGAAACCTAACTCACTGTTCATTATCAACTCCCCCCATCTACAGATCACATACAGAAACTGTTGGACGACCCTTCAGCAGAACTGAGTAGATACCGCCTCAAACTGAGTTTTATCTCCATCAACCTCCTACACGAGAACCCCACCTCCACTCCTGGTGATCACTTCTCCCCCGAGGTGCCGGCCTCGGAGAAACTGAAGACTATCTCTGACACCTACTTCAATAAGGCAAAGTTAATTGCCTTCAGTGGAATGACGTCCTCACTGAAAGACCTGAGGGAGAAGTTCTCTACAGCACTGCCATATGATCATATTGGGTGAGTAGTTAGCATGTCTTTCGAGATGATTTTCAAATTGAAACGCAGAAGTTAACCCGCACTGTTTATGCAGACCTGAATTGTGAAATCAGTAAAAGACCACGCAAGATCAATGAAAATCAGACTATTTAATATTTTTAAGGCTTAAAACATTGAAAGAATTGGTTCTCAGGCAATGACTCTTGCAAACACGAGATGCGCAGTAAAGCAGTGCACATGTAAAGGGAAGCTACTGTGTGCTATAGTGGATCGCATTATATTTAAGTATTAGGATTTTTTTTTAAATTTTAAAATGGAAATAAAAACCAAACGTGCAGCGGACTTTATGATGATGCGGGCGGTGCCTGAGAACCAAGACTATTATTTTTTAGTCAAATGCATAGTTTTAGGTTTACTTTCAAAGAGACAATACAGTGGGTCAAATAAATGGCAGCAGCAAGTAGTAACAGGCCCTTGAATTAATGGAAGTGCACTTATGAATGTTCAGAACATTGTCACTTTTGAATGTCTTGAAGGAGGCCCTGTCTCCGGTCTTGTATCTAGAATAGTTTTGGAAGCTGGAAGAAATTCAGTGTTTCCAAATAGGTATTCAAACTATACTTAGATAAGTATAAGTAGATTGGATGAGGCCAAAAAGGCCTCACATCACCATGATCACCTGCTAGTTGCTTTCATATACAGTCAGCCATCTTGAAACTGTCCCATCCTCTAACTTCCAATCTGTCAAGCCTGCCATGTTCATGTAACAAGGGGCAGATAACTCTAACTGGATATAATTCCCATCTGGAAAGCTTTGTTGCTGTTGAATGCTGTTTGAATCCAAGCTTTATTTTATCAATGAGAACTGAATTTTTACTTGTCATCAACTCAATTTAGTAGTCTTGTGTTAGTAGACATGTATGAATTTCGAAGGCTGGGTGTGATCTTTGTGGTCTCTTATTATGAGGCCAGAGTCCTTGGATTCAGACTCTATTACAGGTTCAGAGATGTAGTTAATTTGAGTTGGTTTACAAGCCGACATGTTTCTTCATTATTGTTTCATGCCCCAGTTGCGTTCAGTTGTGAACATCTCACCATGATGTGCTGTATTCTGACTTCAGGATCCTGGGGAAGCCCCTGACTCTGGAGTGTGCCCAGAAGACGTCCCAGCATGTCCAGAGTCTGTCACTAGATGTCACCATCGGGATGTTCGAGGCCACCGAGTGTCTGTTTGACCGGCGCAACTTCACCTCCTCCATGATGGGCTTCAGTCTACCCATCGACAACAAGCTGCCGGAGTACAGCCAGGTAAGGCGTCAAACTTATACATTGTTGTCATTGGTGCATGATTCGTCCTGTTTGTTGTTTAACATAACATTTAGCAATATTCCAGCCATATGACGGCCGTCTGTAAATTATTAAGTCTGGACCAGACAATCCAGTGATTGATATGATCGATCCAGAGATCCATTGGGATACAATGTGATGCAATCATCCAAATCACCGAGCCTGACCATCTGATCTTACTCAGTATCTCCACAGGTAGATTTGCAGTGAATATCTGTTTTCTTCATTATCATTACTAGTACTAATCTTTGCACTTTTGATCTAGAAAATGCTCTCTCCCATGTTGGTTAAACTATGTTAAGTTTGACATTAGTTAAATCTGGCTTCCATGACAACCATATTGACAACACTCAATCTCATTAAAATCAGATCTTAGTTCCCACTATCGCTAAACAAAGATCTGAGGACATCGCATTACGGGTCACGTCAGGACGACCTTTCATCCGACTAATCAAAGCGTTGCTTACCAGATCGTGAAAGCGTAGTCTGAAATGGAAGTCGCCAGGTTGAAACGAGTGCCATGAAGTTTGAGAAAGCTGCCTTCTAATTGGCTGATGTCAACTTCTTGTAAGTTATTTCTGTAGTCAGTCAAAGTTCACAAAAGGTTGTTCTGACGTGACCCATAATAGGATGTCCTCAGATCTTTGTTTATCGGCAACGATAACCTTGATCTGATTTTAATGAGATTGGACAACACCATATCTTTATTAAGGTGGTACCATATATAGATAGTTAGCAGTGGGGTATGTGTGTGAATGTTTATTTTATCTTGTGAACTTATCAGGGATATTGAACATTGTGAGTTACAATACAGTCTCAATGTTGGGTCGGCGATATGAACAGCATGGCGGCCAGTTCCATTGATTACAATAGAGTTTGAGAGAAATTCAACTTTTAAAAAATGGACTGACACACATAAGAAGGCCCTAAAACATCTTTCTGCTGGAAAGGATGTTTCATGTCCATTAATACTTGTGGTGACTTTGGTTTCTAGGCAATACGAATTACAGTAGAACACGGATATAACGAACAAACAGATACAACGAACTGTTAAAAAAATCCCTGATTTATCTCCTATATATTATCATATTTGATGCACGTACATAACAAACTCTCTAGGGCGAACTAACGTATATAGCGAACTGATATCTGATCCCCGACAAGCCCAAATCAGCGGTGAATCAACACAATCACTGGTAACGATTCAACCTTGTTAAACTTGCATTATGTTAATCTTACCTGTCCATGTGATTGGAATAATCCCGTCTGTTAAACAAACCATTGCTAATACAAGTCAATGCAGCAATTACAGTGTTGCCTCGCTATTGTGGTCTTAAATATAGCGCTTACTCGGTTATAACTTGGTTAAGTTTTCCAATGACACGATGTCTTCCCCATTTCAAAAAACATTATTAGCTAATCATTCAATAATGTTTACATTATTTTCGGTGAAATCGTGCAGGAAGTGATCGGGAGATCGCACAACTCATCGTTATTTACAGCAACTGCGGTCAGTTTACTGCTTTTGACGCCTTGAAACGAACTTTAGTTGAAAGAGAATGGCTACTTATATCACAAAAACGTGTAAACGAACAACATATATAATGAACTGATTTCTCCGGTCCCTTTAGTTAGTTATATCCATGTTCTATTGTACCTCACTTATCCATTTTCTTTTTCCTTATCTCAACGTTTGATTGGTCGGTAAAATGTTAATGAAAATCAAGCGTAGGCAATTTTTGATCTTTAAGATTTTTAAAACCTCACAAATGGATCCAGGGGTTGGAGTAAGTTTACTGAAATGCAAGCCCTGGCGATACAGAGGATGGGACTTAACAACAACCTCCTGATCAGTAATCACGCACTCTAACCACTACACCACAGAACTGGTTGAAGGTGTGTTTTTTTAATGCTGGCTCGATATATTTTATGAGTGTTTCTTTGGACTGACATAACACACTTTTAAACATAGTATTAAACAAATATTAATAAGTGTTGATGGTTAATACACACACAGCACTATAAATGACCAGTCCCTAACAATATTTGATGATACCTTACACATGTTACACACCAACTATTGTAAAACCTGTGTTCCTGGCAAGGCACATGTATAACATGTGTCACCTTGTTACTGCAGGTACTTTGATGAGTGAGTTAGTAACTACTGAGATAAATTTGCTATGTGCTGAAAATTGTGAGGTAACAAGTGAACATGTTAGACTTAGGTTTCAAATCAATGATTAATTACTTCATAATCATAATTCCTAACATATTGTTTTACCATGACAATTTTAATAATTTGGTGCTAGTAATGAGTGATAGGCACCAGGTGAAATGTTTCTCAAAATGTCCTCCGTTGATATGTTATCAAGTCAGCCCTATAAATGTTTTATTGTCAAAACTGTTGAAAGCAGCGTTAAAAAACCAACTCACTTTATTGCTGGGTTAGGGACCAGTTAAAAGTTTGATTTCAGATAAAAAAAACCTTAATTCCTTAAGTTTTGAGACATACCACCTACCCCAAAAAATTAATTCTGAAAATGTTGAATTTCTGAGTTTAGTGGCCTCTTTTGGAACGCATTCTTGTGTTTTGCTGTTTGTTTTTTTAAGGTTTATCAAATGAAGTTTATTGGGTAGGTTTATATGGATCAAGTCTGTCGTCATATGTTACACACTGCACTAGATAGACTATTGCTGGTGATGATAAAACCCTACCTTGTGGAAAAGCTGGATGTATTTAAACAACTCCTAACAACATATGAATGGAAATAGGATGGGTTTAGTTCAGTTACTATATAAAACATTGAGAAATCAGCAAAGTTGATTTAGTTGGATGGAAAACTTGCAGAGCCATTAACACACACACACACGCCACGCCACCCCACCCCACCCCCACCCCACCCCACCCCACCTCTAAACTTCAGGAATTAAGATTTTTACTTGACATTGAACTTTTGAACTGGTCCCTGATCAAAATTAACAATAACACATTAGTGTGAGGTGCTAGTCATGGCCTTCCTGCTGACCTATCCTAATACAGGTGTGTTACCTGGCAGTGTGACCTCACCTGTAATCAACAGGGCATGGCTGTCACACACAATGGAAGGATGGTTGCTTCCACACAGCTGACTTTCACAAAATGGAATTTCCAATAAAGTGTTGATTTCAATAGCAGGTATAAACATGATAGTGAATGAGAAGAATTTCATGTCCATTAACTGTCACAATATTGCTGTTTCATGTATTCACCATGATAATAACTTCTGTTCATACTCTGCAATAGGAAAATAAAAATAAACGTATAATCCATACGCAACGTTTTTAAGTTTCATGTCATAGATGGGGAAGGGGAAAATAAACTTTGAAGTAAACATTGATGTGACATTTGCCATAACATGTTGCTACTGCCAGACAAGTTTAAAATGTGTATTAGACATTATCATGACAACATAATTGACATATAACATGCTGACATCCAACAGACATATTGTGTCGACATGTTCAAATTACCTTAGTCAGTATTTTCATATTGAAATTTCATTTGGGCTAATTTGAGTATTATTGCATTGAAAATTACATCATTATTACACAAAAACTCTTCAACTGATAACAAATAAAATCTCAGAAAGCAGCTAACAATCAAACAAAGCAAGAAAAAAGCAAGAAAATTAATTTGTGAATTGTCTTAAATTATTGTACAACAAAATATCTCAATATATTAAAAACTGATTTGAAAATATGAAAGACGGATCATCTTTCATAATGTTTCTCAGCCAGAATAATCACGTATCATGCTTATTAGAAGAAAAAGAAGTATGATCGTAATGATAGCAATGAGTTTTTTGTTCATAATCTTAACATATTCTCAACTCCATATTTCTAAAACTGAAATAAACTAATTGAAATTCTCAAGATTTTTCAAGCAAACTGCTGTCAATTTAAAAGCACACCTGTTCCAACTGTATGTGAGTAATATTGACGAGGGATTGACCAGCCGGAACTGAGGTACTATAAATAGCTATGAATCCGCCTGCTGCAGCTACCACAGCTGAACAATAAACGCAGCTCTCAATAACGTGTGTGAGCGTGTGACTGGTGAAGTAACTGTTATGTTCAATAGTGTAAGCAAGCTGTGAATGTACACTGCCACCACTGTAAAGCCGAGGTGGTAATGGTAGTCTGTGTAACAGGTTGGCAATGACAAAGGTGAATACGACATGGGTTTTCCCTGGAATCGTGTTATCTGCGTGCCCTTAGGGCCAGCTGAGTCACCCCATGATTTGAAGTGACCCCGATAACACAGAGCTGTGTTCAGTGGGGCTTGTGATGTGGAGGTGGAAATAGGACCGCGATAATCTGTATGCATTAGTCGCTGTATTAAGTGCTGATTTTAAGTGGCACAGTTTGAGATTTTATGACAGTCAATATTTTCTTGTGTATACCACATATTATCAAAGAACCAAAACAGTTAGGTAAGGGGGTACATATTTTACATGCATCTGGTGAGTTTTGAGTTTCCCAATGAGAAAACATCACCATGACAGAGTTTCTAGGTTATTGTATGAGAACATTTCACACAATAATATTGAAGGCAATTTGAAAAAGCCCACCACATCATGAAATATAATTGTAGTTATGTACCTGCATATCACGGTGTCAAACCTGATGTCTACTCCTTCAGTGGACATATGGAGACAAAGGTATAAATAGAGGTTTGTCCAGGGGCCCTGGGGTTTATTGCTATAATATTGGATTCAAAGGACCTGTTAGCATTTTCACTTTCAACATTTATTAATGTTCTGGAGACGTTAGGGTTAGGGTTTAATTAGGGTAAGGAACATAAGGATATGAAAAGGACCCCGAGAAAGTTATTCTTATATCCTGTTTCAACAACACTGTGATGATGATGATGATGATGATGATGATGATGATGATGGTGGTGGTGATCTTCATATTTGATTCATTGCAACTTGTTATTTACTTTGGCGAACAGCAATCGTCTCTGTTAGAAGTAAATAGTGGGCCCTTTAGGAGCCTGATGTATAACATGTACCTGCACATCAGCTGTCATTGTTCACAAGGAGGGGATAGGCTGTACACATCCTGACAACACAGCTTACTCACCCCGTGTTCATTCATGTCTGAGTGAGACGAGGGGAATATCAGGAATTCACAAAATGTACATATGATCAAAGTATCAACTGACAGTCATAGTGACCAGGGTCAGATGTTTGATATGAGCTTGTCGTAAGAACTTGACCTTCCAGTGTAAACCCTGTGTCAACACTGGCCACGTACATCCGAGACGTGTTGAGACTGAATCCTGGGCCTGGCCGTGTGCCTTGTGTGTATTTCCTTGTTATTAACACTACAGCTACACACTACACACAAGTGATAAGATTTAAATACTTAGGATTGAGTTTTATTGAGAAACAGACTAATTTATGTGAAATTTAGCCTCCTTAAATTCTCGAAATATGCATGAATGTGTGGATGAATCGTAACTTCAGTCATGTCTTTACCTTTCTAAGAGGATATGGTTTAGTAATCAGGCTTAAAATATAAGCCTGTTGTAAATGTGTCAAATTTCATTATTTGTCATACAAAGCTGGTTGTGTAGCTCATTTGAATCTGGAAGTTGCTGCCTATAATCAACTGTCTGTGGGAAGGGTATCGTGTACATATTACAAAGCATATGATATGTGTTCCCTTATATGGTCATATTGAGAGGGTAGCGGTAGATAAGCTGGCAATGATATATAGAAAGGGAATACTTCAACATCCTTGTATTGCTGGGTGTGCTAGATAGCCGTAAATTCTGGCTTGAGTGCTGACATAAGATTTCCATACATTATGAATGCTGGGATATATATATGTCTGTCAGCACAGTAAGAAATATGTCTGACAAACTTTCAGGACACATACTGCTACACACTAACAATACAAGCTAACCTCCCATGTTTTCGGTTCAGGGACTGAAAACAAAGATTGTAGAAATGTTAGAATAAGTTTTCAAATATTGATGAGATATTCTAGTACAACTTTGTTTGAATATTTTCCCTTTCATATACCGGTACCCATACCAGAATTGTTACCTGAGTATCAATGTTACTTCCCCCAGGTAATCACTTCTAGTATTGTCAAGCAAAGGTACGATGTAAATATTGTCTAAAGGAACAATCTTTGAGAAAATGCAACAACCCTTGAATCTGAATTTTTTTGTTGCCATTTATTAGAAGTTGACAGGTGACAAAATAGACACAATTTACACCGTTAATCCTTCACCGCCATATGTAATTCTGTACCATGCTCTGATTATTAAGCCTTGATTGACAATACTTTAAGGGTCTGTACTAGGGCTGGGACAGGTAACTCGGGGACCCGGGTCGGGTGGGTACTGAGTAGGACCCTTGTACCCACAGGACTACCCGGACCTGTGGTTAGTCACGTGATACATTGTTTAATGACAAAAAGTATCTAAAACTCTATGTTTAAACTATAAGTCACTAATGTTCGCAGTTCATCCTGACTACTACGCCCATTCCTTCTGACTTTTATGTGTTTGAATAAAAATAAAACCTCAGTCAACTTCTGTGTATACACCAGATCTTTTTATACATGTATCTAAACACATTTTACCAGACCTATGGTCAAACTTTTCCTAATCGGACAGTTTGTACCTACCTCTTGAGACCTAGAGTGGGTACCTGGGTAGGGTCGGGTAATAGGGGGCTGGGTACCCGGTAGTAAATTTGGACTCATCCCAGCCCTAGTCTTGCTATATATTATTTTAAAGACATTATTAACCATAAATTGCGTTTTCTTTGTAACCCTTAAAACATTTAGTTCCAAAAATTATTATATGCATTATTCTGTATTATTAATCTTACTGTCCAAAATACATTATTGCCAGATTGGCTTGAATAACCTAGGAAATGTAGAACAGTGTTTATAACTCTTAACATATGCTTAAGTAAAGTCATTATTTGAAATTACTTGACAGTGTAGTTTCAGACAGTTTTCATGAGGGTGTGGCCGACTTAATCATGGTCTACTCTAGGTTTGACTACTCTCATCAATATTTTGACTGATGGTGATAGTGAGTGTTATTGCTGATTCATCAGAAACTTGGTTTCATTAACTTCATCTGTATATATGACCCAACCGTCTAGACTTCTCATGGTGTACTTTGATGTGAATGTGATTTATAAAGTTTGGAAGTTTTGTCAGATACTAATCTTGATTCTGTATGTTTGGGTGGGTGTTTACAGGCCTGTAAGTTTCCTATTTGACAAAATCAACTTTTCAGTGGTTTCACAGCTCTGGTCATCATATTTTTGCTAAGAATGAACAGCATCACTATTGTAGATATAAAAGGAGATCATGTCCTGTGTGAGAACCTTCCTCACATTCTGATACTAATAATTTGTGTGTTTCTCTTTCTCTGTTTTCTCAATGAACTTTAAGGACTGAGGAGTATTTGTTTCAAAACTTAGGAATTTTGCTTTTTATCCAATATGAAACTGTCGAACTGTTCGCTAACAGGATGTGACATGGCCTTGGCTGAATCAGTTGAGCTGCTGCTGCTAATCAACAACTTTGAATTCTTATCACGATCATGACCCACATGTTACAGTGATCGGCAATCAGAAATCGTGTTCCAGAGCCTAGATGTTTCTATTCTTAGCTCTTGTCCATACATGACAAGCAAGCAATTCCTCTCTTTTGTAAACATAACAAATGTAGTTGAAACGACAGAAAATAATGATTTGTTTTTAAAAATTTATTACCATAAGAATCATGTTTTCAAAACTATGTAGGTCTGTACATAATATCAGATTGCATATATATTCAGCCACACATGGACAGAGGAGAGAGGCTTCAGACAGGCACTCCGGAAGCCTTTTTCTTCTTTAAAGGGAAACACTACTCCACACTTGTGCTAATATCCAGCCCAGGTTGACATTTTTTAATTCATGCCACATGTAAGCATCAACCACAACATTGATATACATCATAATCTAACTTATCACATAGACAAAGGGTTGATTTAAGGCCTTCAATCAAATTGGCTGGACTGCCAATTTGTAGAGTATAGTCCCCCTTTAAAACTATGAATTATTAGTACCCCAGATAACCTGGAGGTGTGTAATGAAGACTGTGGGTAGGCCAGGTTCCACGGTCCATGTGTGGCTGCTGCTGCTGCTGCTGCTGCTGCTTACAGTCATCAAATGTCAGTAATATGTACATTTGTACAATATATACAAGATAAAACATGAAAAATAGAAGTGTATAGTCTGGTATACAAGGTATATAAAAACAAAAATCAACTGGAATGTATATTATATTCTGCTATCTCTGGTCAATACATACACACTAGGACATCCTGCTGGTGTCCTTCGTTCACCAGTGGTCAATACACATTGTATGTACATGTCGGACAGGTCGACTAGCACTTGATTGAGATCTCAGGTGTACATGGTCATTTGAGAATCTGTCATCAACTTGGATCACAGGAACTTTTAGCAAAATTCATGCATATTCATGTACCAAACACCCTGGGGAAGGATGGTTTGGTCCGTGAATCTGCATGAATTTGGCTAAAATGTCATGTGCTTGGAAACACACAGATGATTTAGACCCTTGTGTAATAGCTCTCACAAGAAGTATTGGATCCACTATTATACAATCTGTCAGATACAAATACTGTTTAACCAACATTTACCCATTTATTTCCAGAGTAAATTCACAACTTCCGAATAGGAACTAATTTTCCATGGGCTATGTTTGATTTCAAATAATGAATATTTGTTATCCTGGATATAGTCAAAGGTTTATGAACTGGTACAAAATACAAAATAATTACAAAATGAGCACATAATCATGTTAATTTCAGCATTTATAGGTAAGAAGTGAATTACTGTTTAAAAAATATTCAAATTGAGGTAATGAGATGGTACTTTTGGTATTGATTCATTTTGATTATTCGGTGGCAAAATATGTTTTTAGATTCATCCATCAATACATATCCTGAATACAAGCCCATAGGGACAGTGATTGTAGTGGTTATGTTATAGTCATGACATAGAATTTAACAACATTGAAAATATATTTTGCATATGTGATATGAAGTCAACTGTTACGGGATGTTTGCAGGTTCTGGGTGACGTTGTACAAAACAACCTTAGCGCTACGACTGTCCTGAGTCTGTGTTAAGGTATAGGAGTTACGATCACCTTAGTGCTGAGATCGTTTTGTACAACAGCACCCTGGACAGTTTCCCTGCCTGTAGGAGTCTCCCCAGTAGGCGTATGTCGTCTATGCCTCCTGTGTAATATCACAAGTCATTGCTGTGTCTAAAACTGTCAATGGACGGCACTCACATTGTTCATAGCTGCGGGTAGATTGGGTAGATAGTGTGATACCTGCAGTCTAGTAAATAGTCCAATCAGGAAGGCTCATCCTATGGTAGAACAGACACAAGTGTCTCCGGTGCATGAGACAAGCCCAGTTTGTTAACCTAGTGCTTAGCACCAGTAAGCACCAATAAGCAGCACTTGCAGCAGGAGTGTCATGCTGGAATGTGCTTGAGGAAGTCATCATCTCGCCACACACAAACACACGGGCTTGAATTGCCATGACTCTCAGAGTCAGATATATCATGGAGCCTTAAGTACTGTTGAGTGATACACAGATCTTGTTTCCATGGAATTAATATGGATGTCATTCCACAAATACTTGATTGTTGAGGACTACAGATCTGTCAGTGTCTTTTTCACATTCACAGGTTGATAGCTTGTTATTTGGTCAGCACCAGGGAACACAACACCCTGTAGAACCTTGGAATGGATGTTGAACCAACTTGATATATTTGTACACTGGCCCCATTGATTGTGTATGTAAAGGCACAGGGGAGAAGCACAGTGTACAGGCACACATTGGCGATTATGATGTAGGAATTCTACAAGTGGATCTCCGAGTATGTATGAGGCTGCTGGTCTGGGGTTGTGCTGTGCCGAAAGGCAGGGTTATAATACCCTGGTGAGTCTTGTGGCATCCTCGGTAATGGACGCATGTTCACGTCATTCTCGTATGGGGAGGAATACTGTTTAGCTGCCGCATCGTTAACATATGGAGGAACAGGGTTCGGCTTATTGCTGATTGGTTGCTTCTCCTGTAAGTATTGATAACTTCCGGCTGAAATACGACCTATGTTAGGCTGACCATTTTTACCATCAGTGACTGTTGAAACAGTGACCTGGTTCTTGTTTCCATCTGTGGTATCCTCCTTCTTCTTTTTGCGATATCTTTTGGAATCATATCCCATCTGGGGAAGTTCAGCTCTTGTGAAGGTACGAGGCTGAACTGGATATTTGTCCTTAGGAGACTTCTTACGTAGAAACACGAGATAAATGATTGCAACAAGAATGGCAAGCAGCACTAGCCCCCCAATAACAGAACCGATGATAAGTCCTATTTCTGTTGAGTTGGATGTCTGATCGTCATTATTGGGTGGAAGTGTCGGAGTTGGTTTAGTGTTTTCTTTTATGCATGTTTGTTTTTGTTGGCCAACCTTTGGGTGTCCTTCAACACAAATTTCATATCCGGTATTTTGTTTTAGTCCGTCAATGCTGTATTGCAAATTACCAGGAGTGATCTCCCTTGAGTAAATGGGTGTGGTTCCACCAGGTATTTCTATATGGCTGACTATGATGTAATTCAACAGTTCGGGCAAGTCCAGAGTCCAGGAGATAGTGATGCTGTCAGTAGTGGCACTCATGAAGGTGACACTGATGATGACGCTTGGTTGGGTGGTGGTAGTAGTGGTTGGTGTTGTAGTGGTTGTAGGGCTGTAGTAGTCACTGCACACTGCTGGGTTTGGTGCTGTTGAGCACAAGTCACTTGGATTGAGTGCTGAGAAATCAGAACCATTCCTTTGGGGTGGGTACGTACATGTGTTTGGGAGATATGTTTCTAAGGAGATTTGTCCATCCCTCACAGCCTTACTGAGCCAGTAAAGATGACAGTCGCAATGAAGTGGATTGCCTATTAGATTCAATTTTAATGGAAAGCTATAATTGTGGAAAGTGCAGCTGTCAAAGTGATTTATCAAATTTGAAGATAAGTCAATACTTTTTAAATGATTTTGGGGACCTACAAATGTTTCTTGATAAATGTTTGTGATTTGATTGTTTCCAAGATTAAGGGTATTGAGATTTGTCATTGTGCTGAAGGTCATGTTTGGGATACTGGTGAAGCCAGTCTGCCTCAAGTTCAGTGTTGTCAGTGAACTAGCTTGACGAATGCTGTCCCAACTCTGGCTGGAGAGAGGTGTGAACTCCAGAGTTAGGGTGATCAATGAGGTAAGCTGGGCCAGGGGAGGTAATTTGAGGGAAGTGCCCACCAGACTCTGATGGCCAAGGTCAAGGTACTTCAAGTTTGTCAAGCCACTGAGAGAGTTGTCCCCCATTGTTCCGATCTGGTTTTCAGAAAGATCCAGTTGTACCAGTGATGACAAGTTTGCGAATACATTATGAGATACAGTTGTCAAGCGGTTGCCTCTGAGATCAAGAATCTGTAGATTTGGTTTGTTGTTGAAAAGTGCTGCATTTGTTGGAAGAGTAGTTAATCCAGAGTTTTGTAATTTAAGTGTTCGTAGATTACGCAGGACCTGCAATTGGGACAAACTTGACAACGGAATTGTGTTTAAACTCATGTCCAAAAATTGGAGTTTGTCTTCCAGGCCATTGAAACAATTGTCCTCTAGGTCTGCAATAAGATTTGATGCAAGTACCAAAGTTTTGAGGACCTTCATAGTTTGGAAACTGTAGCTATACAGTTTTATTATTTTAGTGTTTGATATCTCTATCTTCTCAATTGTATCTTGCAGTAGGTTGATAGCTCCAACAGGCAGTGATGTGAGATTTGGTTGCTGCTGAACATACAGCTCTTTTAAGCTTGTCAGACCTGTAAAGGCTGCTGTGGCAATTGACTTCAGGTTCCAGTTCACAAGTGTCAGTTTCTGGAGAGCAGAAAAGGGCTGTAAAAAGATACTGTTTTCCAAGTCTCCACCGGGAATCATGAAATTTTGAAGTGTCAGTTCTTGAAGGGTGGTCAGATTGGACATGGCAGTGAAAGGTGCATTTATGCCTGTGGCACCTCCACTGATCTTCAACACTGTAAGGTCGGCTTCCAATCCACGGAAAGACACATCAGATATGCTGGACAACTTGTTGTTGGTTAAATCCAAGCGTTTGATGCGGAGTCCTTGAAAAGCATCATCCGGGACTGTCTCAATATCGTTATAAGCCAGTGTGAATTCATAGATTATTCCAGTGTAGGATCCATTAATGGTAGGAAAGGTGGTGAGACCTTTGCGGCGACAGTTGATGACTATGTCAGTGGGTTGATCCAGACTCCCCTCACAGGTACAGGTGTGTATAATGGCTTCCAGTTGAGGACAGTCTGCTGGCATGGATGCTACACTACACATTGCTACAGTTACACACAAAACTACAGCAGTCACGTAGAAATGCTTCATGATGCTGTGATGAACTCGTCACTGATCTGAAAAGAATAACATACATTTTATCAAAATATTACAAAATATGAAAATTGTTTCAGGAAATGCACATGTGATTAGTTCAGATTGAAGCACATTTGTGTCATAATTATACAGAATTCATATCCAGGGGTAGACACTTTGAGTTATGTCCAACTTGTCAACTCATTTCAGACAAGTGTTTGATGTAACGTAACTACATGTTTTGAGAAATTATGTTGGTTCTCCCTAGATTCTCGACCAGTGGCTATGTCCAACACAGATATAAGATATATTTGTTTGATTAGAAAGGTTCCGCCCGTATCCCCCCTAAAAAATATATATGATCCAAAGGATTGAGCGGCAATGCATACATATATAACTTTTGGAGGGGGATACGGGTGGAAGTCTTTCCCATGCTTTGATATGTGGTGTAGGTATCTTCAAGTTTATGAATGTTTACAATAAAATATGCAAAAAATCATATTTGATGCTCCCATACCAACACTAATAACTATATCCAGAAAAAAATCCTCTTTACCACCTCCTCAAGACTAAGACATAATCCATGTTACCTTTATCTGCTGATGGGATAAATGAACAGTAACCAATTATGTAGTATTCCTCTTGTACATCTACAACATGTGTAATATCTGTCAATGAAGCTCAAGAGTTGATAAAATTCCCAAGTCTGTCTCACCAACCGCTGGTCACTCCCCACTCCAGCTGCTGTGTTAAATGGGAGGCTTGCATACCACACAGATGCAATCACTCCCACTGATATCAACAACCTGGCCTCTAATTAGGTCAACACTGGACACTGGCTAATTAGTGTGGCAAGGTAATTACCTAACACCTTTGTCCAGCCACCTCACCTGAATTGGCTGTACTTAAAGCCCATTGTTCTGCTCACTGGACATCTGGGTTGTCATGTGGACTGATATTGTTGTAACGTTGTTGATAGTGAGATCATTGTAAATACCTCCTGATGGTAGCCTTGTCACACCTAGTCTTTTGTTTATGAGTGTCAAACAGTGTTTCATATCTGTACAGATTACACAGCCGTAGCCTTGTTATTTGGAGAAACATTCCCTAACATCATAATGTCATGGTAGGAGTCTAGCAAACCACTACCCATATGACCTAGATACACACCTGGGTATGAGATGTACACTTGTTGGTCTCTGCTTCAACACACAGTGGTAGATGTCCTCTCGAGTAACAGCCTGTCCAGCAGGTCGGACTCCAACATTACATACAGTTGTCACAATGTCAAACTCCGTCTGTCCCAGGTCCGACTTCCAAACGAGCGTCTTACCTGTTTACTCAGTCCATTACCTGTAAGCAGGGTCACCCTCGCTATGACTCACTCGCCCACATACCTGTGCAACAAACACGCTCGGTTCAGCCAGTCAGAATGCAGCTCTCTGCTGTTGTCACGCCTTGTCGCAGCAGGACAATTGTGTCTATGAATAGAGTCACATGCTCAGGTAAAGAAATTCTTGGGGAATAGAAAGTTGTTGAGGCAGTTGTAATTAACTATTTTCCATTGCTGAATAGTCCTACTGAAATATTAGTTTACACTCAGTTAATGATTGTGTGTCCTTCATGTTATTGGTTTCATGTTTATTTATTTATTTATTTATTTATTTATTTATTTATTTATTTATTTATTTATTTATTTATTTATTTATTTATTTATTTATTTATTTATCATCCATTCATTTTTTATTTATTTATTTATTTATTTATTCATTCATTCATTCATTCATTCATTCATTCATTCATTCATTCATTCATTCATTCATTCATTCATTCATTCATTCATTCATTTTGCTTACATGATTTGAAAGAAAGTGTTTTGTGTGAAAAGGCTTTGTGTGATGACAGTAGATGTTGAAGTTGATTGTCAAACGAGCGTTGAAGGGATACACTTCAGAACAAACATAATACTAACTCAAAAACGTGGAAGACATGTATGCTCAGATGTTTTTGTCACTTCCCTAATTCCATAAATACAAGGCTCAAAACCATGTAGCAACTGCTAGTGGTTGACCAGCATATTGACAGCCTGCTCTAAACAAACCATGTTGCATCCGAGGTCATTCGTACAGCAGTGACGAGGGGAGCGTTTGTTAGGCTGGAGGGTGTGATTGATTCCTGAACTGTGTGCTTGGGGGACTCATGGTCGGATATGTGCTGGCCATTTCATTTCAATATTTACAGCTTTGTTCTCCAAACAGAACAGGAGCAGAATATGTTGTGTGAGCTTGCTGACTTCTCACTGAGAGGCTGAGAGTTGGTGTGGGTAGTGGGGTTTAGCATCAGTGTGGAATCAATCATCGCCTCCATGTGTAGCCAAGTCATGATGTAACGAGAGAAAAATCCCAAGCAGTTGTTTTTGTTGATTTTGTTGAAGTGTTATTGACAATATATTCAGCCCACTCATTGTTGCGTTAGGATTTGAAGAATTTCTGGAGCTTCACAAGCTTGTGTTAAACTCCATCTTTGTTGGGGATGGGAAACAGTTTATAGGTGACCATTATTTCAATGTAATTGCAAAGTCATATTTGTGGAAGGACATTTACAAAGTGTCAACTGTTGAGTAACTTATGAGTTACTTTATTTGTTTGCATCATTCACAAATAAGACAGATGGAGCTACTTTATTATGTATGATTTTATCCATGTATCAGTCAAACCAGCATGGGAACTCATTCAATACCTGGTTTATTATGACAAACAGTGTACACATATCAAAGGTTTAAAATATTTATTGTTTAATACAAAGCTACTGGTGACAATATGGCGATGAAACACAATTGGCTGACTGTGCAAGGGCTTGCCTTCAGAAATGTCTACCTGTGCATGCATGCCTTGTAACTGAAGGAATGTGTGTGCTTCACTGATAAAACAACATCTGTACATGTGCGTTTGAACATATAGACATTCTCATTAGAATATCCTTCACAATGGTGACAAGAAGAAGTGTTGTATATGTATAAGCAAAGTCGCCAATGAATACAATGGGTGTTTGATGATCATACTGCGAGAGTACCGCCTCCGTGGTCTAGTGGTAGAGCTTCCGCCTGAAGAGCTGAAGGTTTCGTGGATTGATCCCCAGCCGCATCATACCAAAAGACGTTAAGAGATGGTCCTTTTTGTTACCCTGTCTGGGGCTCGGCATTAAGGGGATAAAACAAGGACTGGTCGGCTCGGAGTCAGTATACTGTGTCTGAGTGGGATATTCATGTTAAACTGCGGCATGGTATCTCAGTGAGCTAGCACTATAAATCGGCATCAGTCCGGACTAGTACAAGCAGCCACACAAACACACGTGCATGCACGTCGCTATATGAGTGCCATAATCTTGGACGCGACGTTAAACTCAATTCCACCACCACCTCATACTGTGAGAGATGTCAGTAACTATATTAACTGTGTCTGGTAGCGGAGATAGGCACACAATATGCAATAGGTATATATGTTGTGGCGTGGCAGGCATCGTGATATAGTTGTTGCTGTTATGAACTGTACTTCTTCAGCCTGATGTGCACTGACGTAAAGTATCTCATAAACTCAACCGCAATCAACTTGACATACAAATTGATATCCCAGCAAGTCCCTGACCTCCCTTGTGTATCATTATTTGACCCCACATAATCCACTGTCGGTAATATGTCAGAGATAACAGGTTTTGTTGACCCCTTGAATAACAATATGATTCATTAATTCATTCATACACATCGAAGGATGAAAGTAGATTGATTTCTTGTAGGTTTTGTTGCTGTATATATTGCACATGTGGGGGTAGTTATGTTATCATGTGTAAATGTTTTGGTTATGTAGTTATCTTGCCTTCAGTGTTAATATCAGCGTGCTCAGCACCAACTTGACTCATGCCTCACTCTGATAAGTGTTGTTTGTACATGATTAGAAGCTGTGATAACTCAGTGTACATTCACTTGTCTCACCGCACTCAACAATATTCCAGCTATATGACGACGGTCTATAAATAATCGAGTCTGGACCAGACAATCCAGTGATTGACATCATGAGCATTGATCTACGCAATTGGGATACGATGACATACATCAACCAAGGAGCCTGACCTCCTGATCCTGTTAGTTGCCTCTTATGACCAGCGTAGCCACCTTTTACTGCAAGCATTGGTTGCTGAAGACCTACGCGGTATTCTAACCCGGATCTTCATGGGTCACTTGTCTCAAGTACTGTCACTGGATGATTTCATATGGCTGGAATATTGCTGAGTGTGGCGTTAAACAATAAAGAAACAAACAATTGACTTAAGTACTTTCGCTGAATGTGTTCTTTGTTTTGGTACATAATTAGAAGCCCTGATAACTCAGTATTTGTTCTCTTGTCTCAAGTACTGTCACTAGATTATTTCTTTGTTCTTGTTTTACAATGAAGTTGCCAATATTCCATCTGTATGATGGCAACCAGTAAATAATATATATATGTTACTGCATTTATTGATGATGTTGCATCCTCAGAGCCAACATTGATAGACAAACTAGCACACATGCGCAGGGGTTTTGATGAGAGCATCTCCCGGATACCAGTATACCTGTCTTAGATTATCCAGCATCTTCCTTGCTCCATGCCACTTGATTTCAGACTGGTAGTGATGCTGGTGTCAATCGTGTTGTTGTTGTTGTTTGCAGCTGTTGGTGTTTGACAACAAGGATGGACCCGATGCCTTCCCCAGCAACATGTACAGCAGCATGCACGGCGGCGCACCTGCCTTCAAGCTCAACATCGTCACCGCTGACAGGATTAAGGTCAGACAACCGTTACGAAAATGTATACCAGACATATCTTTGTTTACCAAGGATTATAACCCTTCTTATGTCAGTTATATCACTGTAAATATCTATGGACAAAAAGATCTTTCACGAACATGGTGAACAGTTTAAGATTCTATGAAAGAGATATTTTATGTTACTTTATATGGGAGTGTTTGTGTGTTTAGTGATTCAGTGACATCTCAACATTAAAGCTTGTGTCAAACAGGAAGGTCACGTTTCTAATGTTACATATTCACACTAACCCATGTTTAAATTAAGGAAGAGAATTTATGGATGTCAACTTCTTTATTATGAGGATCACAACGTAAGAACAAAGAAGTTGACATCCATAAATTCTCTTCCTTATGTGTATCACTTCTAAATTCCTTTCAAAGATGAGTTTAAATTGTTTGATAGGCATTACTTTCTTTGCGTGACACAGTGTCAGGATCTATACCGAAACGTCGCCTTTACAGTAAATAAAGAAGTTGTTATCCATAAATTTTCTCTACTTTGTCACCCGTGTTTCCTTTTAAGATTATTTTCTCACTGCACACTTTATGACAGTCATTGGGCAATGAACCGCCACCTCAGGGCAATATTGTTGCAGTAATTAGTTTATTGTGGCTGTCATGTAAGCATATTGGATATACAGTGGGACACGGCCTGAGGCAGTGAGGAGAGGGTTGGAGATAGTCACGGCTGATTGCCTCTACTTGTGCAGTCAGTCGACCTGTGTATTACCTGATTTCTAGGGAGTGGCCTTGGGCAGGGTATTATTGTTATCAGGTCTTCATTATCACTTGATTCCAGCCTACCTGTCAATACGTATTGACACTGGGGATTAGATGGGTAGATAGATCGCCTGTGTTGTCTCGGGAATCATGGACAACAATATTCTTGTCTCATTATCCTAAGTCGATGTTGATTGATTTCTGGACAGTAACAGTCTGTATTGTTGCAAAGTGAAAACATGTTGAACATTCCCGGGTGAAGATATTGTCTTGCTTTTTGTCAAAGGATATCGTGTGTATCTGTGGTTGTATTAATTCTTCTAATCTGAGCACTTCTCATCTGTCAGCAGCAACACAAATTGCAGCGAAGAATTCAAACAGGCAAAAATGCTTATGCCTAAGATCTCAAAACGGCCGCAAAGCAAGCATCTGGTATACAATATACCATTTACTGTGACAGAGTTTGATGATGCGATACAACATAGAAAAGGCACAGCACCTGGTCTTGACACAACCAGCTACGAGATATTGAAAAACCTACCTGATCAAACCAAAGGCTTACTCACTGAGTTGTATAACACGATATGGTCCAAAGGAGAAGTCCCAAAAGCATGGAAACATGCTGCGGTTATCCCGCTGCTAAAGCAAGGGAAAGACGTAGCCCTACCAAACTCTTATCGACCGATCTCACTCACCTCAAACATGTGCAAAGCCATGGAAGCCATGGTTACAAAAAGGCTCATGCATCATCTTGAAACTGGCAACCACATAAAACCTGACCAAAGTGGCTTCAGGAAGGGACACTCGTGTCTAGATCATATTCTAAGACTGGAAAATGAAATAAAAAAAGCCCAATTAAACAGACAATACCTAGCCGCAGTATTTCTGGACTTCAGCAAAGCCTTCGACATGGTATGGCATGACGGACTCTTCTCAAAACTATCACAAAATGGAGTTGAAGGGAACATGGCAAACTTCATAGACAGCTTCCTGCAAGACAGGTCGCTTTCAGTTAAAATAGGGAACAATCGATCGGATCCTATGGCACTGGACAATGGCACGCCACAAGGCAGCATTATAAGCCCAACCCTGTTTAATATCATGATCAATGATCTTTTTGACCATGTCAACTCTCCTACCCAAACTTCTAAGTTCGCTGATGACGGAGCAATATGGGTAAAGCACAGAGATATCTCACAAATCAGAAAAAAACTCCAGTCAGCCCTGGACGGAGTAGATCAATGGTGCAATAAATGGGGATTCACCCTTTCAAGTGAAAAAACTGTTGGAGTTCTATTCAAACGCCGGGGGAAAGATGCTATGATACCCCGTGTCTCCATAAAAGGCAAACCTATCAAATTCGAAAAATCTGCAATATTTCTTGGAGTTATCCTTGATCAACACCTCACTTGGCGCAAGCATATCGAATATGTGGAAAACAGATGTCAAAAAGACCTGAACGTATTACGGGCAATTTCAGGCACATCTTGGGGCACATCGAGGGACACTCAGCTGGACCTCTACAAAGCTCTTATCAGATCAAAAATTGACTATGGTTGTGAGGCTTTTCACTCAGCATCAAATACTGTCTTGAGGCGACTAGACAGAATACAATACAAAGCCCTAATACTGGCCACAGGCGCAGCGACAGGCACCTCACTAGAAGCACTACAAGTAGAAACGGGAGAACTCCCATTGAAACTAAGACGAGAGCAGGCAATATTATCGTTCTGGGGACGAACATCAAACCCTTTGGTTAAAAAGATATGGCAAGACAAAAACGCTCGAGATGAGGCCCTAGCTCGAAAAAATCCCTCACTAAAGCCATCTGGGATATTAGTACGTGAACTCATTCGAAGTCACAATTGCGATGACATTCAGCCTCCAGAAAGTCACTACAAATGGTTACACCCTCCCTGGACTTTACAAACTCCCAAAGTTGACACTGCTTTAACATCAGAAGTCACTAAAAGAGAAAACCCAACCCTACTACGTTCAGTAGCTATCACTAAAATTCAAACTACCTGGGACAGCTGGGCCCATATATACACTGATGGATCCAAGAATCCTATCAACAACAGTGCTGGTTACGGGATCCATATCCACAGCTCCAAACCCCAAGCACATTCAGTTCGCTTGCCCGATGGTCAGTCAGTATTCACGGCTGAATTGGAGGCAATTCATCATGCACTCAAACTCATACCGGAACTCCCGGAAGCAAAGGCAGTCGTCCTATCAGACTCGCTAAGTGCACTTCAGGCCATCAGTGGAAGAAACTCAAACTCCAGGCCAAACACAGTCAACAATATTCTATACGAATATACAAAACTATCGGACCAAGGGCAACAGGTGGAGCTGTGTTGGATCCCCTCTCACATAGATATTCATGGAAATGAAAAAGCAGACTCACTGGCGAAGCTAGCTCTAGACAAAGCGGATATACAGCCTATTCCCTTTAGTAAACTAGAGATAAAAAGCAAAATCAAAGCCTTCATAGCAAAAAGATGGCAAACCCAATGGGACGCAAGTAAGATCGGCAGATGGCTATACAAAATTCAACCCAAGGTCCAACAAAAGCCAAACTCATACTCAAATGAAAGGAAAATTGAAACTGCTATCTCACGCCTCAGACTTGGTCACAAAAAGCACTATGACAAGGTTTGTTCATCTTGCAATCAGGCTGAAACCATTGACCACCTGTTACTAGAATGTCAAGACCATGCCCCGGCCCGGGCTAGGTTAAAACAAGAATTGCAGTTAGATCCGCTATCTGTCATAGATCTCCTAAAGCCAAGAGATGCAATAGCGAAGGCCAAACTAACTCTATTTCTGAGAGATGGACAGCTGCTCGAACGTATATAAACAGAGCAGCCAAGGATAAAAATGAAATCATATCAATATAAGAAAATAGAAATCATATCAATGCAAAAACAGAAATTATGTGAACACCGAACTCACAATAGATATGTGAACCCTTCTCACACACAGGAGTCCCAAAGAGGGACAGGTCAGCCGAAATTGCCTAGGCAGAAGGCGACCTCTTAAACACCTAATGCAACAACAACTGTACCATTGGTGAGGGGTTTGATTTTTTGGATGATGTGATTTGGGGTTCAGAATATCTTGTTAACACATTCTTGAAAAGGAATTCTTGGATGTAGGGTTGGGTTGGATAACCTATGTCATTGTATTAGATTAAAACAATATGTTGGATGTCCTGTTTCAGGATCATGTATAAATACAAGTTTAATATTTATGTCTCAATAATCAATTTTAATGGTACATGGTGAGATTTGTTCTGTGCTTGACAATGTTTTCTTTTCTGATAGAAATATTCTTTCCACACACTGCAATTGTTTTAGAAATTTTTATGACCACAACATTCAAAAGTTTTTGATTTTCAATGAGGACCCCTCACTAACAGATAACCTATAACTCTACCGTCACATCTTATAATTACGCTCATGTAGACATGTTTTTAGCTGTATTTTTGCATCACATTAGGATTTGTGGCTATTTTAGTGAATCTGTTCCACCTGACAGCCATGTTTGGACTTCCCTATTGTTAAATGCTCTTGCATGGTGTCAAGCCAGGTTTAATCGCATTTAAATTCATGTGGTCACTGAATTTCCTTTTGGCCCTGACATCAAACATTTGCAAGGATGTTAGTGAGATAACTGATTCATTCCAAATCCTCCTCATGCAAAATAGAATAATGAAACTATATCCAAGTCAATTTAGATAGTTTCATCCACCCGTTCCCATTCATCTTAAAAGAAGATGTTATTTTTTAAAATAATTTAATAGCAAGTGATTCTGTGGCATTGAATTGGCTAACCAAGCAGTTCTTCTTGCATTTATTTACAACAAATAAACATATAATACCACACCAACTAGCAGATAAGTGTTTCCTGAATGGGTTGGGCTTGTGTTGCGTTAATACTGTGGTGTTTTTTTGTGTTTTAATGATTGAATAAGCAGTCCGTGAAGTTTTTGTCTAAATACATTTTTATGTTTTTTTTATTTACACTGTCAGACGATTTTTACCTGTATACCTCCATAATCACAATATGTATGGAAGTCAGTTCTTGAGTATAAAAAATTGAGAGAAAGCTTATTAAAAAAAAATGTCATGAGGTTGACAATCACACTAATTTCTGATGATTCTAAGTAGAAACCACAAGGCAGCTTACTCATATCATGATATTCCGGGGTCAAGGGGGGCCCCTGTCGTCTAAGTTGCCACAAGTAGGTGTGCACAGTTATGTCCCTTGGGCACACCAGAAACCTTAAATTGTGGGTTTAAATTCTGGTTTGAGCTCTATAAATTAACTTACTATTTTTTCAGGTATATTTCGGGATCTGTTGAATGCTTATTTTCTTAGTTAATCTTTCATACTAAACATACTCATTTGTCGTATTGTTACCACTATTTGGCCAGAACAAATTATTTTTGTATTTTAGAGACGAGTCTATCCTAATATTTTGTTTAAAGTGAAAACAAAAAGTAGATATTTGGCATATTGTATTGAAAACAACATCACCTTCATCATCGCACGAGGGGCGGTCAGGTAGCTGGTTAAAGCGTTCACACGTAAAGCCAAAAACCTGGGTTCGATTCCCGACATGGGTACAATGTGTGATGGCGTAAAACCATACTCACTCACTCACTCATCATCGCACTTGTCCTTTTCCAGTCGAGTTCCAAGTCACGCAAGCTGCCTAAAACAAACATCAACTTTGAACTCGGTCAGTTTACATCTGAGATTGATATCACCATTGTGGACCGCATCAGTGCCCTGCTGTCTCCGGAGCCTACCATCCCTACTGACCATGGGGGTGGTGCGAGGTTCAAGACGTCGCAGCAACAGCAGACCAGTGTGGTGAGAGCATACTCCTCTACATCCTGTCAGAACTATAGGCCGGGAGAAATTAATTTCATCCCCTGGCCAATCACACGTGTTCTATTGTCCCTCAGCATCTACAGAAAATAAAAACATGATGTGAATTTGATGTCTGCTGTTTAGTGGGTATTCCTTTATAGCAATGATGGCCATGAAAACAAGCTAAACTATGACCTGGGTAGGAATACATTTTGAATAAAGAGTGCAGAATTTCTGCAAAGCATGTGTAGTTTTCTGGAATAAAATAAATGATCATTCTTACGAATCGTCTACATCTGATTACAACTAAGTGTTGGAGGAGAGCAGCACCTAGTACGTTGTTTGCTCTAGCACACCAGGAAAGAAGTTTGTTCCTGCCTGACTGTTAGGTGCTATTGCGGGTACAACTAATTATTGTTTAGGTGACAGTGAAGAGGACTTCTGTTGAAAATCTGAAAATTTAGTTTAGTGTGATTGCAGCCAAAACACAGGAATTTTGCAATGATGTAATGTTGGTAGTATTCTTAGAATTATTAACAATGATAAGTACTGTTTGATTTTTGTGAACTGTACCGGAGAGTCCACTAGGGTTTTACTGACAACACTGTATGCGGTTTACAAGTTGGTGTGCACTGTTTTGGAAACTCATCCTCACTTATCAATGGGTAGTATTCCACAAAGGATTTAAGGTACCGGTATATCTGTGGTTTGAAATGTAATTTTGTTAGATCCACTATATTGAGTGACAGATTATTCTCATTATTATTATATGATTAAATGAGCCTATGTATGACATATTGTACCCTTTCATGAAGTAAGGGTGGGCGGGAGGGGGGAGGGGGAATCGGTCTTAGGTTGGGACTTGATCATATTTTGCTGACACTCCACCCTCATTATATGTAACATTTGTTCATGGTGCCTCACCCCCACCCCCCTTAATCTCACTCACCCCCACCCCCCTTAATCTCACTCACCCACACACCCCTTAATCTCACTCACCCCCATCCTCTTAATCTCACTCACCCCCACCCCCCTTAATCTCACTCACCCCCATCCTCTTAATCTCACTCACCCACACCCCCCTTAATCTCACTCACCCCCATCCCCCTTTATCTCACTCACCTTCCTTAATCTCACTCACCCCCACCCCCCTCAATCTCACTCACCCCCATCCCCCTTTATCTCATTCACCTTCCTTAATCTCACTCACCCCCACCCCCCTCAATCTCACTCACCGCCACCCCCCTTAATCTCACTCACCCCCACCCTCTTAATCTCACTCACCCACACACCCCTTAATCTCACTCACCCACACACCCCTTAATCTCACTCACCCACACACCCCTTAATCTCACTCACCTCCACTACCCTTAATCTCACTCACCCCCACCCCCTCAATCTCACTCACCCCCACTCCCCTTAATCTCACTCACCCCCACCCCCTTAATCTCACTAACCCCCACACCCCTTAATCTCACTCACCCTCTCCCAGTAATCTCACTCACCCCCAACCCCCTTAATCTCACTCACCCAAACACCCCTTAATCTCACTCACCCACACACCCCTTAATCTCGCTCACCCACACACCCTGTAATCTCACTCACCTCCACCCCCCTTAATCTCACTCACCCCCACCCTCTTAATCTCACTCACCCCCACCCCCTTAATCTCACTAACCCCCAAACCCCTTAATCTCACTCACCCTCTCCCAGTAATCTCACTCACCCCCAACCCCCTTAATCTCACTCACCCAAACACCCCTTAATCTCACTCACCCACACACCCCTTAATCTCACTCACCCACACACCCTGTAATCTCACTCACCTCCACCCCCCTTAATCTCACTCACCCCCACCCTCTTAATCTCACTCACCCCCACACCCCTTAATCTCACTCACCCACACACCCTGTAAACTCACTCACCTCCACCCCTCTTAATCTCACTCACCCCAACCCTCTTAATCTCACTCACCCCCACACCCCTTAATCTCACTCACCCACCCACACACCCCTTAATGTCATTCACCCACACATCCCTATAATAATTTATGAGTCCCCAAATAATGTTCAAATTTATATTTTTTTATTTGAAAAAAACCTGTTGTCATGTTTTCATGGCCCTCCCCAGATATTTGTGATACATTTTGCTGACCCCCCTCACCTTTCACCATGTCATTTTTTATTGACCCTACCCCCTAATCTCACTGGCACACCCACCCCTATAATAAGTGACCAATCCCAAAGGGACATAACGCTTGCATGGCCTCAGACCATTTAGCACCCATGGTCCATATTTGTAATGTGCCAGTGGAATCCATGGATGGTCTTGATTGCAGTTGGGGCGGCAGTGTTTCAGCCAGGCCATGGAGGAGGGGCCGATGATGGAACAGAAGCAGATGGATCTGCACATCTCCAGTAGTGGAGCCACACTCCGAGTCAGGTGAGACGGCACGATCCACTTCTCTCCATATTGCTTTGTTATGCTTTTACGCCTCCCTTAGCACTATTCCCCGCTATATCATGGCGGGCGACACCCAAAATGGTTTCACTCCTTGTACCTATGTGAGAATCGAACCTGGGTCTTTCGCATGACAAGAGAATCTGTACGTTTCATAGCTGTTACATTCCTGTATTTTGGAGGTGGTCAAATTTCTACTGAACACACTTTTGGAATCAAATTTAAATAATTTAATTCATTTTACCGTATTCGACCTAATAAGCACCTCGCTCTAATAAGCACTTGTTTGCTAATATATTGGCTAGTGAACAATCCCAATTGGCACCCCTTCCGACTGATCAATGTACACAATACTTATTTTTTCGCGAATAATACACACTCGTGTGTTATATGCACCCTTGATTATGGGCAATTAAATTCTGGAAAAATATATCTGTCGTATATAAACATTTCAGGCTGTCAGCATAAACCATGAAATTTATCTTTCATCTCTGTTTTGTTTCACCAAAATAATATTCTAATAAGAACCCCCTATTTCTAATTTTGAGAGCGCCGGGGCGCTTTTTACGGCAAATACAGTAGATAAAATTAAAGACAATCTTCTTAGTAGTGAGATTTTTGGCAAAAAGGCCTTTCATAACTTTTAGAATCAAGTGTTTAATATTCTCCAGCAATTATGCTGCTTTAACAGCAGTAAACACAATTAAATCCTTCTAGACCATTATTTATTTTTGGCATGTAACATCACCCAGGGTAGTACATTTTAGTTGAAAACATATCACTTGTCTCTCCGACTAGTCATTGTCTGAAACTTGCTGTAATGCCAGCATATACTCCATAAAGGTATCTATATCTTGGCCAACTATTGTTCATTGCCATGTTTCAGATTCCCGATCATTGACCTGAGGACCGGGCCCCAAGTGATCCGCCAGCCCTGGTGGCAGAGGAACCTCCACAAAGAAGTCCTCATCCTAGAGATGAAGAACTTCACTTTTCAGACAGATCTTGGCAACTCAGGACCACAACAGAAGATGGAGTTCATGTGCAGTGATATATCAGGTCCGACGCCAAACATTTTTCGAAATAATTATACTTGTCACAATCTTCATAGATGCTTTAGTATCATTTTGGTATTTTCATACAGAATTCGATCTTATACAGACAAGTCACAAAATTAACCGTTGGTGTGTTCTTGTTTTATTTATTAGGCTTCTTCCAAGAGGACCCAAACGATGCGCCTGTGTTGCTGGTGTCAGTTTCATCTGATGATGGCTGTGATTCCTCAGAGAAAGGCTTCAACTGGCCACGGTGAGAAAGGAGAGCAGCATGCCCCAGTTGTAATGTTTTCTACTCATGAAATTGTCCTTCTCTGAACATAGGAGAAAATAATAAGTGACTGCAAGTTGCTGTTTTTGATTTGTATTGTAATGATGTTTTTATGCTGTTCACAATTAAAAATCTGTTTTTATACTTGAGCAGACTCGTGATTGCAACCAGCCAGAAGGAGCCATCTGTGTTGGAGGACGACCAGGGAGACACTGATGACTCCTTGCCAATGGATTCTTTGAATGGAGCTTGTCAGTTTGACCGAGCAGAACCGTCACCCTTCTCGGCCCGCAAGTCCATGTATGAACAGGAAGATCTCAGCAGTCTGAGTGACAAGTCAGAGAGCAAGCACACCAGTGAGGAGGTCAGTGTTCTGTCGTATCTTGGTTCAGTCCATCAGGCATATTTTGGTTCAGTCCTTTAGGCATATTTTGCTTCAATCCATCAGGCATATTTTGCTTCAATCCATCAGGCATATTTTGCTTCAATCCATCAGGCATATCCAAGTTCAGTCCATCAGGCATATCCAAGTTCGGTCATCAGGCATATTTTGGTTCAGTCCATCAGGCATATCCAAGTTTGGTCCATCAGGCATATTTTGGTTCAGTCCATTAGGCATATCCAAGTTCAGTCCATTAGGCATATCCAAGTTCAGTCCATTAGGCATATCCAAGTTCAGTCCATCAGGCATATCCAAGTTCGGTCCATCAGGCATATTTTGGTTCAGTCCATCAGGCATATCCAAGTTCAGTCCATTAGGTATATCCAAGTTCAGTCCATCAGGCATATCCAAGTTCAGTCCATCAGCCATATCCAAGTTCAGTCCATTGGGCATTTCCAAGTTCAGTCCATGTATGAAGTGGAACATATAATTCTTGGTGAAATTTCTAAAAGCAGGGAGGTGAGTGAATGTCTTGATCAGTCCACGTATGGACAAAACTACCCCAGACTTGGTAAAGAACAAGCACAGGTGAGGAAAGTTCAGGGATTGTCGCATAGAGGGAGGATTCAGTAGAGAACATATTACGTGTTAAACTTACATGTTGGAACAGAATAAGGTTATCAGGGCAAACAGTTCTGTTTAAATGTCTTCGACTTAGGCAGTGACATATATGTTGTTATGGAGCTACTAATCTTGGAAGGATGTTATTACCCAGATGGTTCTGCCTGGAGACAAGGAGGAGATGAGAGGCTTCCAGGACTACTGTGTCAACAACACAAAGCTCCTGGTAGACATCACACTGCCGATCGTCACCGCCTTCCTCCCCAGCAGGAGTCTGTTTGAAGTGCTCTACAACAGGTCAGTAGAATCAAACTCGTGCGTTGGTCATAACAAGCTGACACCGGAACCATTGGGCCAACACTTATATCTGTCCCTGCCTAGAAGATATAGATATTTATTTAATGGACTTAAAGACAAGGAATGAGTTTCTCTGGTAATTGTCAGGGAAGCCAATTAGAAATTTGTTGTTAATTTGGTAGAATCTGATGAATACACAAAGTAGTCTGAGCACGAAGATGATTGTGACTCTCATACTTTAACGTTGAATGACGACAGTCAAAGCACAAAGATATGTTTCTGGAATCAAACCCTGTAGCTTTGGTTGAGCAATGACAACACATTTCCATAACCTTTAACAGGACCATTCAATGAAGTGAGCAAGATGGTGCTGCAAAAAAAATACATCTATCTTTGTAAAAACAATTTACCTCATTAAGAAAGAAGATTTCAGAGAGTGAATTCATGATGCTATTTTCCACTTGAGTGAAACCCATGAGCACAGGTACAATGCTGAGACACTAAGGAGCAAGCGTTTGTTAGAGCACTACTTATGTCTGCTTGATTTTAACCTCAGGGTGAACAATGACCTCACATTGTGGGAGCCAAGCGCTCCGTCTCCACTGAGAACACAGGAGTCCATGAACCTTGCTCACCCAGCCAACCTGGACATCCTCCATCTCCTGCAGCAGGCTGGAGACCAGGAGAAGTTCCAGTTGACCAAGTCAGCTCTCCAGTATGGTAAGCCTCATCTCAAAGTCAGCCCTCCAGTATGGTAAGCATCATCTCGAAGTCAGTTCTCCAGTATGGTAAGCCTCATCTCAAAGTCAGCTCTCCAGTATGGTAAGCCTCATCTCAAAGTCAGCTCTCCAGTATGGTAAGCATCATCTCAAAGTCAGCTCTCCAGTATGATAAGCCTCATCTCAAAGTCAGCTCTCCAGTATGGTAAGCCTCATCTCAAAGTCAGCTCTCCAGTATGGTAAGCATCATCTCAAAGTCAGCTCTCCAGTATGGTAAGCATCATCTCAAAGTCAGCTCTCCAGTATGGTAAGCCTCATTTCAAAGTCAGCTCTCCAGTATGGTAAGCCTCATCTCAAAGTCAGCTCTCCAGTATGGTAAGCCTCATCTCAAAGTCAGCTCTCCAGTATGGTAAGCCTCATCTCAAAGTCAGCTCTCCAGTATGGTAAGCATCATCTCAAAGTCAGCTCTCCAGTATGGTAAGCACCATCTCAAAGTCAGCTCTCCAGTATGTCAAGCACCATCTCAAAGTCAGCTCTCCAGTATGGTAAGCCTCATTTCAAAGTCAGCTCTCCAGTATGGTAAGCACCATCTCAAAGTCAGCTCTCCAGTATGGTAAGCCTCATTTCAAAGTCAGCTCTCCAGTATGGTAAGCATCATCCATACTGGTGCCACAGTTCTGTTCCAGCAACATCTTTCTGTCATTGATGCTTCAACACTTACACACTGTTACAGACTCTGGTTCAGACTCAGACTCAGAAGACTACCACTACTCCATCCATGATGGCCGCTCTCGCAGCCAACGGACCTCCAAGCAGCAGCTTCCTAGCAAGTTCTGCTTCTCTCTCAGTATCACCAAAGGAAAACTTCTGATGGTCACACCACATAAGGTAAACTCGTCTGGCCAACACCAAGCCTCATCATCATGTCGTGAAATGCTGCAAATTTATTGATACGACTTTAAATAATAATGTCTCCCTCAAACGTCTCATAACTCAATGACCTTTGAAGAAATATTGTTCCCACATGAATAACCTAGTTCTAATTTGATGTTAAATATTGACGTTTTGTGTGAAGTATTTTGAGTGTTGATTTCTCACACCTCCAGGAAGAAGGGAAGCACGGGGAGGTGTGTCTGGAGGTGGATGAAGCTGTCCTCTTCTCCGTCATCAGCTACAATGGAGATCCTGACCTTAGATACCTCTGTTTCCAGTCAAACAAAGCAGCCATGAGTAACAATGGTAGGATATGTTGTGTAGCATCCCCCTACGACAGTAACAATTGAGTGAGTGAGTTGGGTTTAACGCCGCTTTTAACAGTATTCCAGTTATATCACAGCGTGTCAGCTTAATGTTGGAGGAAAGCCTGAATTGATGCAGGTCTCAGACATTTACCACTTCAGTGAAACCCACGAGTAAGGGTATGGTGCTGACAAACCTAGAAACATAATCGTGATGAACCTGGATTCGAACCTACGATCATAGGTTTCTGGCGTGCCCAAGGGACGCAACTCTGCACAGTGAATCGTGGCGCCTTAGACGCCTGGGCTACCTGAGCCCCCGACAGTAACAAAGTGCTTACACAGATAAATACGGATGATGCAATCTTTATTAATATTCTAATGATGTTTTGGGGATTATCTTTTGCTTTGCTTGTTCTTTCAAGACACACTGAGCAATATTTCAGCTATATGACAGTGGTCTGTAAATAATCAAGTCTGTGATCCAGTGATTGACATCATGTACATCGATCTATGCAATTGGGTTACAATGCCATGCATCAACCAAGTCAGCGAGCCTGACTCTGTTTGTCGTGTCTTACGACAAGTATGAGTTGCTCAAGACCAGTTCTAACATAGATCTTTGAGGCTTACGTTAATGTTAGCAAGTATTGTCTGAGCAAATAATTAGAAGAGACATACACTGTAATAGGCTGTAACCAATTACAAAAAATGAATCCTAGCTAGGAGATGTTTAGGTTCATCAGGATCTATGAAATACTTTCATCACTAAATTTAAAAACTTGATTTTGTGCTGCTAGGTTACCTTGGTAACCCTGTAGTACCAGGCAACCTGGAGCCCCTGAAGCAAGACTCCCTCCCAGCCCATCTGGAGCCCCGGATTTACAAGTCAGAAATGGGTGTGGCCTCCAAGGCTGCCAGCTGTGTGGGGCGTGGCCCGGACAGCCCCGACATGATCAGTCTAGCCATCAAGATCAAACTAGATACAATCAACAACACCAAGGTGAGAGTCTGGTCAGAGACATCCCATACCCAGACTGTCATCACTTCCTCAGCATGGCTCCACATTATAAGGGGCTTGTCAGTTATGTTAGGCTAAAAAAAATAATAGCCTTGGTTCTCAGGCACCGCCTGCATCATCATGAAGTTGGCCACACGATTTGTTTTTATTTCCATTTTTAAAAAAATTAAAAAAATCCCTTCAATATTCCAAGTCCAGCGGTAGTGAAATACTGTATTCCAGAATTTTACTCATCAAGGAATACATTTTGTAGGGAGACCCTTTCCCAGGTTGATTGTACACAACTGTTTATATTTTGTACATACTAGTTTCAACAACAACAACAACAACAACAAAAGACAACGCCCACCCGCACTATATTTTAAAAAAACAATGCCCGTGAACCAACTCTTTTGTTTTTTAAGCCTTATGAAATATGTTTTTCTACAATGGGAATGAAAATACTTCCAAATATAATGATGCTACTTTGGGAGGACAGACCATTTCATATTCTAGTTATGGGGGAACAATTATTTTAGGGGGCACAGAACATATTTCCTGGACATTTACTTTTGTGAAAGTGAGGCAAAATAATTGTTCTCCAGCAGTGTCAGGAAAACATTATTTAAAAAAAAAACAACCCAACCAAGCCCCAGGTTTATGCATGAATTATATTGAACTATGATGCAACATTAGGTTTGATAATCTATGATTTGTCACATTTGTGCTGTTTATGTGCCAGGACTTCATTGTGTCGGTGAATGTGAGAGGGGGGACACTACGACACAAGATGGTTGCCAGTGGTGAAAGCTGGATCTCCCAGGTATGTTAACCCTTGCTGTCCCAGGTATGTAAACACTTGTAGCCCCAGGTATGTGAAAACACTTGTAGTCCCAGGTATGTTAACACTTGCTGTTCCAGGTATGTTAACACTTGCAGTCCCAGGTATGTTAACAAATGCAGTCTCAGGGTATGTTAACACATGCAGTCCCAGGTATGTTAACACATGCAGTCCCAGGTATGTTAACACTTGCTGTCCCAGGTATGTTAACACTTGTAGCCCCAGGTATGTTAACACATGCAGTCCCAGGTATGTTAACACTTGCAGTCCCAGGTATGTTAACACTTGTAGCCCTAGATATGTTAACACTTGCAGTCCAGGTATGTTAACACTTGCAGTCCCAGGTATGTTAACACTTGCAGTCTCAGGTATGTTAACACTTGTAGCCCTAGGTATGTTAACACTTGCAGTTCCAGGTATGTTAACACTTGCTGTCCCAGGTATGTTAACACTTGCAGTCCCAGGTATGTTAACACTTGCAGTCTCAGGTATGTTAACACTTGCAGTCCCAGGTATGTTAACACTTGCAGTTCCAGGTATGTTAACACTTGTAGCCCGAGGTATGTTAACACTTGTAGTCCCAGGTATGTTAACACTTGCAGTCCCAGGTATGTTAACACTTGCAGTCCCAGGTATGTTTACACATGCAGTCTCAGGTATGTTAACACTTGTAGCCCAAGGTATGTTAACACATGCAGTTCAAGGTATGTTAACACTTGTAGCCCCAGGTATGTTAACACTTGTAGTCCCAGGTATGTTATAACACTTGCAGTCCCAGGTATGTTAACACATGCAGTCCCAGGTATGTTAACACATGCAATCCCAGGTATGTTAACACTTGCAGTGTCAGCACATAACTAACAATCATTGGCTGATGGACACAACAGGGTAGCCTAATGGTAAAAGCACTCATCCTACAGATATTCCCAGTTTCTTTTCTTACATGGGTGTTATGTGTGAAGCAAGTTCCCCTGTAGTACTGTGAGTGGAAAACCCATCGAGGGACATTGCCATTTATGTCAACATATATGACTTTCTTCCTGCATGAAGGACTACCCTATCCCTGTGTCTCCCTATAGTACTGTGAGTGACATGCCCTCTGTGTTCCCCTACAGTACTGTGAGTGACATGCCCTCTGTGTTCCCCTATAGTACTGTGAGTGACATGCCCTCTGTGTTCCCCTATAGTACAGTGAGTGACATGCCCTCTGTGTTTCCCTATAGTACTGTGAGTGACATGCCCTCTGTGTTCCCCTACAGTACTGTGAGTGACATGCCCTCTGTGTTCCCCTACAGTACTGTGAGTGACATGCCCTCTGTGTTCCCCTACAGTACTGTGAGTGACATGCCCTCTGTGTTTCCCTATAGTACTGTGAGTGACATGCCCTCTGTGTTTCCCTATAGTACTGTGAGTGACATGCCCTCTGTGTTCCCCTACAGTACTGTGAGTGACATGCCCTCTGTGTTTCCCTACAGTACTGTGAGTGACATGCCCTCTGTGTTCCCCTATAGTACTGTGAGTGACATGCCCTCTGTGTTCCCCTACAGTACTGTGAGTGACATGCCCTCTGTGTTTCCCTACAGTACTGTGAGTGACATGCCTCTGTGTTCCCCTATAGTACTGTGAGTGACATGCCCTCTGTGTTCCCCTACAGTACTGTGAGTGACATGCCCTCTGTGTTCCCCTACAGTACTGTGAGTGACATGCCCTCTGTGTTCCCCTACAGTACTGTGAGTGACATGCCCTCTGTGTTCCCCTACAGTACTGTGAGTGACATGCCCTCTGTGTTCCCCTAAAGTACTGTGAGTGACGTGCCTCTGTGTTCCCCTAAAGTACAGTGAGTGACGTGCCTCTGTGTTCCCCTACAGTACTGTGAGTGACATGCCCTCTGTGTTCCCCTACAGTACTGTGAGTGACATGCCCTCTGTGTTCCCCTAAAGTACTGTGAGTGACGTGCCTCTGTGTTCCCCTAAAGTACAGTGAGTGACGTGCCTCTGTGTTCCCCTAAAGTACTGTGAGTGACGTGCCTCTGTGTTCCCCTAAAGTACTGTGAGTGACGTGCCTCTGTGTTCCCCTAAAGTACAGTGAGTGACATGCCCTCTGTGTTCCCCTAAAGTACTGTGAGTGACATGCCTCTGTGTTCCCCTAAAGTACAGTGAGTGATGTGCCTCTGTGTTCCCCTAAAGTACTGTGAGTGACATGCCCTCTGTGTTCCCCTAAAGTACTGTGAGTGACGTGCCTCTGTGTTCCCCTAAAGTACAGTGAGTGACGTGCCTCTGTGTTCCCCTAAAGTACAGTGAGTGACGTGCCTCTGTGTTCCCCTAAAGTACTGTGAGTGACGTGCCTCTGTGTTCCCCTAAAGTACAGTGAGTGACGTGCCTCTGTGTTCCCCTAAAGTACAGTGAGTGACGTGCCTCTGTGTTCCCCTACAGTACTGTGAGTGACATGCCCTCTGTGTTCCCCTAAAGTACTGTGAGTGACGTGCCTCTGTGTTCCCCTAAAGTACAGTGAGTGATGTGCCTCTGTGTTCCCCTACAGTACTGTGAGTGACATGCCCTCTGTGTTCACCTAAAGTACTGTGAGTGACGTGCCTCTGTGTTCCCCTAAAGTACAGTGAGTGACAGACCTCTGTGTTTCCCTACAGTACTGTGAGTGACGTGCCTCTGTGTTCCCCTATAGTACTGTGAGTGACATGCCCCCTGTGTTCCCCTATAGTACTGTGAGTTACATGCCCTCTGTGTTCCCCTATAGTACTGTGAGTGACGTGCCTCTGTGTTGACAGTGTCTGGACTTCCTGGATGTGAAGGACTACCCTATCCTGGGTTACATGGAGCCCAAGGTCATCACGGAGCTGCACGTTCATCTATGGAGTTGTGCTGTAGACTACAGGTCAGTGCCATAACTAGTGTCACTCAGTCCTTCATGTTTCACTACTTGCAGTCACAGGTTTTGTCTGGTGTGAGTGTCGTCCTTATTTGTGCCGATAGTTAGATTCTTCCAGTTCCTGCATGTCTGTATGCTGTACTCGGCATGTCGCTGTGACTTTTAGCAATGACAAGGGATTACACTGGCTTCCTCTCGGAGGATGTTCAAAATCTTCCATTATGATTAGGCTTTTCGTCTGTAATGCTGTGAGGTGTTTAAGGCTATCAGTCTTAATCTCAAACATCTTTTTTTTATCTTTTTTTTTTTATATATATACTCACTGCCAAAAGAAACCCAAACCATAGAAACATATAGAGAAGCATGTACAATAAGAAGAGATGTTTCCAATGTGTACCACTTAATGACAAACTGACAATCAGTTAAGTGTCTTTATACTTATGCACGTGATTTCCAAACTTTACACGCTAATCTTGTACAAGACAAATGGTGTATCTCAAGTCATGGATCTCTGGCGTCACATGTGATGCGTTCATAAGGGTCGGTTCACATAACATACCAGTGTGTCGTTTGTGCATGAAACTAATCTAATGTCCCTTGAATATGAGTAATTCGTCATATATTAAGCAACATGTATGGTATTCGCATTTCTTTGTCGGTGAGTATATATTATTGTGTTGGTTTTTTTTACTCCTTTATGCTTCAGTGGGTGGTGGGTCAGCTTTCTGTTTAAAATGATCCTTGGTAACAAAGAGACAGGGTTCAGTTCCACATCTAGCAAAAATGTGTGAAGCCCATTCTTGGTGTCCACATCCTTCATGTTGCTGAAGTTGCTCAATCAGCATAAAGCATACCAGAGCTCCAGATAGGTTTTTGAGCAATTGAGTTTTCACTCTAGGGGTTCTAATTTGATTCGGTTATTACATTTTTCATTGGGAAACCAATATTTTTTCACTCATCTATACATCACCATGATCACTTTATTTGGTTTTTCCCAAAATTTGCGAACATTTTAAGATTTAAAAAAAATGAAATAATGTTTTGGATGTATATAACTGTTTTAAATATAAAGGCTTGACTCGGAAAGTAAATTATCTCGTAGTTGTGTTTTGGAAATTAGATCCTTTGTACGCATGCTGAAAAAGCTTCAGTGGGTATATACGTGAGCTGTTTTTATACATTTGAGTTTTTCATTTAATGCAAGTAAATTAAAAGTAATTGGGTTTTGACTATTTTTGGGGGGTATTTTACGCTGTTTATCCGTAGCTCTGCGCATATTCACTTCCTCATTGCTGAAGCTTCAGTGTTACCAAATTGATTGAACCATGTTTTTACAAGATCTTTTGTTGTGATGAATTTAACCAATTGTCGTGCTGGAGTCTTTATATCAGCAGTAATGGTAATATTATGTTTGTGTGTACATACAGACCATTCCAAGATGAAGATGACTTGGTCACAGAGTAATGATTTTAACTTATTGCTTTCCCCTCGCTTTCCAGATCAGTGCATACCCTTTTTTCATTTCTTGAATTTGAGTCACAACATGGCTGAAATTCTGCCGACTTAACTTAAATTCTTTTGAACTCTTTCACTTTTAAATTTGATACACTTTGATCTGTCAATCCTCTGGAATTTGACATCCAGTGACTCATTATCTTGTGTGGTCTTATGATGTACATAGTTCTCTAGTTGACACTGACATCTTGCTCCCATTATTCCAGAGTCAGTCCCTCACTTGGCATGGCTGCACTGAAACCTTTCTTGCAATTGCTAGATACTGACTGCCTGCCCACACCATCCTCCATATCTCCAGGGCTCGCATTTCGCTAAACCTACTCAAACCCCTGAATCCATTCCTGTGGTTCCTGTCATCTCAAATTACCTGCCCTTGATTTTCATAGCCAATTTGATTTGCTGCGCTACTTAGTCTAATGGACCAATCAGAACGTGAGTTACAAACCCGCTTCAGTTTTAGGTTGGCGATATCAACAACAGGGTGGCCGGTCCCATTGATTATGATAAAGTTTGCGAGAAATTCAACATTGAAAAACTGGCAGTGGCTTTGGTTTCTAGGCAATAAGAGTAACCTCCCCTATCCATTTCCTTTTTCCTTATCTTGATGTTGATTGGTCAGTAAAATGTTAATGAAAATCAAGGGCGGGTAATTTTAGATCGCGAGAAGCATGGAAATGGATCAAGGGGTAAGTGTATGTTTTACCGAAATGCTAGCCCTGGAGATACAGAGGATGCCCTACCACACGAACACACATGTACACCAGCTTCTGTTGTGACCAATGCACTGATGTTATCCTTTCACCTCTTGAACATTGTTTATGCTTGGTATTTATTAAATATATATTTATCATCCAAATCTGGCTTCCACAGGAGATACAGCTTGGGTGAGATGAAGCAATATCTTCTTGGAGAATTCACTTCAATGAATTGCATCACAATGCTTTGCACATCATTGTTATGTCATTGGTTACCATGACCTCACAATGAAATGATATCACTTATCTCTCTGCCACAGGAGCTGGTTACGGTCTGCGACACCAGTCCAAAACCCCAGTCTAGTAAAATTCTGTGTGGTCCAGTCAGTTCTGCTAATAATAGTCCATATGACTGCTCAAAAATCTACTGATGCCAAGAGCCAAGTGTTAAAGCTCCTCGGCAAGCCACAAAAGTTTAAACATTTATGAACTCATGTTGATATATTTGATATTCAAAGATGCAAGATTTTCTATGTATCATTGATATTATATAACTGTACAAGACCAACTTTGTTTCTTGTTTCATGGATTCTCTTGGCAAAATGCCAAGCAGCATGAAGTCAAGGTGAAGGTAGGCTAATCAGTGAAGCAAGAAAATAAACTGATAGGTCTCAGAAATAAGAGCAGGGTCCTTATATTTGCTATTTGTGTGAGATTACTTGCATGATATTTGCTTTCCAGACCTGTTCATCTTGCTCAGCGTGCCATGTTGACAGCAGAAACCTTCAGTATATCCAGCAACATTGTAGCCCAATCTCCAACTACCCTACTCAGGTAAAAATGTTACTGCAACCCTTTCCAGATCAAACTTTCACTTCAACCCTTCTCAGCTAAAAATTTCACTTCAACCCTTCTCAGCTAAAAATTTCACTTCAACCCTTCTCAGCTAAAAATTTCACTTCAACCCTTCTCAGGTAAAAAATTCACTTCAACCCTTCTCAGCTAACAATTTCACTTCAACCCTTCTCAGCTAACAATTTCACTATGACCTTTCTCAGGTAAAACTTTCACTGCAACCCTTCTCAGTTAAATGGAAACTGTTTCTGTGTGGACCTGTACGGTTCTGTTTGGACTTGTGAGGACTTGTGTGGACATGTGAGGACCTGTGTGTACCTATGTGGACCTGTGTGTACCTGTGTGGACCTGTGTGGACCTGTGTGGTTCTGTGTGGACCTGTGTGGACCTGTGACAACCTCTGTGGTTCTGTGTGGACCTGTATGGTTCTGTGTGGACATGTGAGGACCTGTGTGTACCTATGTGGACCTGTGTGGTTCTGTGTGGTTCTGTGTGGACCTGTGTGGACCTGTGACAACCTCTGTGGTTCTGTGTGGCCCTGTATTGTTCTGTGTGCACCTGTGTGGACCTGTGTGGTTCTGTGTGGACATGTGAGGACCTGTGTGCACCTGTGTGGACCTGTATGGTTCTGTGTGGACATGTGAGGACCTGTGTGCACCTGTGTGGACCTGTGTGGACCTGTGTGGTTCTGTGTGGACATGTGAGGACCTGTGTGCACCTGTGTGGACCTGTGTGGACCTGTGTGGTTCTGTGTGGTTCTGTGTGGACATGTGAGGACCTGTGTGCACCTGTGTGTACCTGTGTGGTTCTGTGTGGACCTGTGTGGACCTGTGACAACCTCTGTGGTTCTGTGTGGACCTGTATGGTTCTGTGTGCACCTGTGTGGACCTGTGTGGTTCTGTGTGGACCTGTGTGCACCTGTGTGGACCTGTATGGTTCTGTGTGGACATGTGAGGACCTGTGTGCACCTGTGTGGACCTGTGTGGTTCTGTGTGGACATGTGAGGACCTGTGTGCACCTGTGTGCACCTGTGTGGACCTGTGTGGACCTGTATGGTTCTGTGTGGACATGTGAGGACCTGTGTGGACCTGTGTGGACCTGTGTGGTTCTGTGTGGACCTGTATGGTTCTGTGTGGACATGTGAGGACCTGTGTGCACCTGTGTGCACCTGTGTGGACCTGTGTGGACCTGTGTGGACCTGTGACAACCTGTGTGGTTCTGTGTGGACCTGTATGGTTCTGTGTGGACATGTGAGGACCTGTATGGTTCTGTGTGTACCTATGTGGACCTGTGTGCACCTGTGTGGATCTGTGTGGACCTGTGCATGACTTTACTCATGTTCTTGTTGCCCTACAGGTTCCACCTTGATGATGCTGCTCTATTTCTGTCCAACAAGAACTACATGGAGGTGAATCTTAGAAGAGGTAAGACACGCATACAGTGAAAACATGTACTTCAACACAACCAGACGTCTTCCCGAGGCAAGGGCGTTTACTGGCCATAAAATTCCAATCAGATGCTATCTCTCATATCACTTGCATTTGCTTCAAACAAAATGGTGGTGTCCAGCCAAGACAATCTGATCTGATGATCAAGCACCTTGATCAAAAACATGAAAAGATTTGCAAAATATGTGTCGACCCCCAGCTGGTGGTACACATGCCTTGCAAATCATGCAGTTGACCATAATCACTTTGCACTTTGAAATCCATGTTGTGTATGAACTGGATGTCTAGTTCGTTACACAATTTTGATAGAACTATGCAAAGGACTCATAAGTCCAGCCAAATGTAACTATGGAATTCCAGTCTAGTTCCAGCAAGGGTGAAAACTAGACTTGTATAGTCAGTTAACGCCCTTGCCTCAGGAAGATGACAACCAGAGTGCCAATAGTAGAGGTGAGGTGAGCTGAAGTTGGGTTTAACATCATGTTTAGAATTACTAAACTTGTGTAGCAGCGTGGGTGCACTTTAATGCCAAACACCAGGCATGGTAACAACAAGTACCATCATCTTCTTTTGGTATGACACAGCCAGTGATCGAACTACCGACCTTCTGCACCCCAGGCAGAAGCTACCAGTATGTCCACTAGACTACAGAGGCGGTTGCCCATTTTAAGGTGCTGATAAAGATACACACTTTAATGTTATGCTTAACAATTTTGCATAGGTCAAAATAACAAAACAATTATGGACCTGATAATTGTTTCCATTTTTGAATTCTGATTTAAAGTACAAAATATATACTATTTGTACAGTAAGATCCATGTATGGACATCTGACAGAAGACATTGTTCACTTCACTGGGAGTTTCCGGTGATCAGAGACTACATGTTAATAATGTTGGTTTTTTTTCCGATATTTATCGTTGTATCCTTTAATGTTTCTAGCCAATAACTGGTACAATGGTTGCTTATAAGAATATATTTTAATGATTTTGATTTCATTTTATGATTGTGTCTAGATAATTGGTTTCAATTAAATGCATATAAAATCATTGTATTCCTTAGTATTAAAGGCTCTATGTATGACTACATGGGCCTGTTTCACAAAGCGATTGTGGTGCTACGACGGTGGTAAGTGTATGTTAACGTATGGGAGTTAAGATTTTTCGTAGCGCTAAGATCACTTTGTAATCCATGCCCAGGACATCGTTCCACAAACCAATCTTAGCCCTAAGACAATCGCACCTCCCATACTGTAACATTGACTTATGACAATCGTAGCACTAAAATCGCTCTGTGAACTGTTCCCAGGTCCCTATGGTACGTAGTGTTGAGAGTTCTGCGTTGTGTTACAGACTATGTGTGTGTAGCGGACCTGGAGAGGTTTGAGCTGTCTTTGAGGACCAGCGATGGCAAGGACCAGGTAGGAACCGCTGCTAGGCTGGTGTATCTACAGTAGTAGATTGGTGTGTAGTTAGGTCTGGAAAATCAGGTGTGTGGCATTTTTTCAAAATTATTTCAAAGCTGTACCGAAACCAAATTTGACAACACCTCAGATTACAGTGAATTGAGACTGAGATTGAGAGGCAGACAGATAGGATGGCTATATGATGGATGATTTATATTGGCCTAATCCCCAAATGTACAAACTCACCTTTCAGCGCTGACATTTTGAGCTTAACATGTTCTGTGTTATATTACCTAATTCTTTGAATATATATATATATATATCATTTTTTTACTTATCCTATCTCACACTATGCATTTCTCCTTCTTTCAATCTTAGTGTGGAAGGCCCCAAAACAAAGTTTCCAGCTGCTAAAAACACTTCGCCCGAACACATTCCCGCATCACCATAGTCACTACCCAAACAAATGAGTCACACACTGTAATCCCGTGTGCCTTGACTCTACCTGGTTTGATCACCTGACTACCCCAGCCACATCATTCTCTCTCATCGCCAATATATAGGAACATGTTTTCAGTGGTAGAGAATTGATCTTTTTTAAAGAGTTTCCTCTTCCATTTTACCAACATTACGGCGAAATGGAACTGATAAGGATAAACAAGCCTGTAAAAAATGCAGATGTACTTATTCATAAACCGATCCACATTATCTTTGTTGTGATTGCCGTGGGCTTTGTAAACCGGCTCATCGCTGCTCACAATGTTCCCAGTTGTCCCAGAAAGTCTTTTGGAATTACCTATGCAAATGCCAGAAGCGTTTTGTTGATCGACGGTCAAATTCTAAAGATGTGGAACCTGGGGCTTCATCGTTCAAGAAACCCAAGCGTGTGACCAAGACAGCTTTTTCCACTACGGTCGTCAAACAACCTCCAGTGGCGACCTTGACCTCATTATCTGTTAAAGACGACATGGTTTGGACAGTTTTCTATGTGATGATGTTCCTGCCAAACCAAGACGTATGCGTTCATCTCTGGCGCACCTGCTATTATGTTTCCTCACAGTCATGATTGGCTTTGGCGAAGCATAAAAAAAGATGTCAAGCAGATTAACCTTACATCATGGAGGTGTGGAGGTCTGTCTTGTAGAGACCCTTTCCAGATTGGTTATTAGTTGCAGCTGAATAGACTCACTACTTCAAGCTATGTGGTCGTTTCTTTGTAACGATTTCCTATGTGAAAGTACATAACACGTGTTAAACCTGATTTCATGCTGTTATGTCTGATAAGCGTAAAGGGTTTCTGGGGCACGGGTGGCCCAGCCATCTAAGGCGCCGCGATTCGCTGTGCAGAGTTGCGTCCCTTGGGCACGCCAGAAACCAATGGTTGTGGGTTCGGATCCCAGTTCGCCCCGATTATGTTTCTAGGTTTGTCAGCACCATACCCGTGCTTGTGGGTTTCACCGAAGTGGTAAACATTTGAGACCTGCATCACTTGGGGCTTTCCTCCCTAATTAAGCTGACACGCCGCGATATAACTGGAATACCGTTAAAGGTGGTGTTAAAACCCAACTCACTCATTCACGTAAAGGGTTTCAGTCTTTGTTACCCACTCATGACTTCCTGTCTTTACAACACTAGACGATCTAACAATCTGGTGATTGAAGCACTGTTTAGAACAGGCTTCCTTGTGTATATCTCTCAGTTGTAGTCTAATACAGGCTAGGGTGTTGTTACCGTCAAGCCATGGGATAAATGCAAAGTGTGAGTTAGGATAAATTAAAAAATTTGGAAATGGTATATTTACATCTCACACGCTATATGCCCTCCCAACCATCACAGCTACGTTGGTCTCCACTCTAATAAGAATGGTGTGGCACAGGTAGTCAAGGCACATGGGATAACAGTACGTAACCCATTTGTTTGGGTGGTGACTATGGTAATGCTGAGAGCAAAGTGTTTTTAGAAACTGGAAACTTTGTTCTTGGGCGTTTCCACACCACAATCAAAAGAAGGAGAAATGCATAGTGTGAGATAGGATATGTATGTAAATATAACAATTACTGTACAATTTCCAATTTAAAATGTTGTGTAAGTCTGCCAATATTACAATGATCCTGGATCATATATTATACAGAAGTTTCCCAAGACTGACCTGAGAATATCCACCAATCGTGTGAACATCCGCACGTGTGCCGACTCGTGTAAAGCCCTGACAGAGTTGATACGCTACTTTGCCGATGACGGTGACCTCTTCCCCGCCGACAGCCCACCTCTGGAGGAGGCTCACCTTGTGTCCAGCAACCCGGTCAGTAAACCCAGCATCCCGGTCAGTTAACTCAGCAACCCGGTCAGTAAACTCGGCAACCCGGTCAGTAAACCCAGCATCCCGGTCAGTAAACTCTTAGGCCCCATGAAGATCTGGGTTAGAACTGGTCTTCAGCAACTCATGCTTGTCTTCAGAAGCGACTAACAGGATTGGTTGGTCAGAAACTTGTGTCCAGTGATGAACATCCCTAGAATGTCTCTGTCTCTTTTTCAGTCCCGGGAGTCTTCACTTGTACCTGAGACTGTCCCGGAAAGCTACCAGATGTCGGAGTCCCGCTTGGAGCATGTCAGCACCATGATGGTGGACGCCATGCAGGAGTCTGAGGCCTCCTCATCCAGCTCAGGTGGGTGTCCTGTTGAATGTACAGGTAGGGGTCATGCTGAATGTACAGGTGGGTTTCATGCTGAATGTACAGGTGGGAGCCATGTTGAATGTACAGGTGGGTGTCATGCTGAGTGTACAGGTGAGTGTCATGTTGAATGTACAGGTGGGTGTCATGTTGAATGTACAGGTGGGTGTCATGCTGAATGTACAGGTGAGTGTCATTCTGAATGTACTGGTGAATGCCATGCTGAATGTACAGGTGAGTGTCATGCTGAATGTACAGGTGGGTGTCATGTTGAATGTACAGGTGGGTGTCATGATGAATGTACAGGTATGTGTCATGCTGAATGTACCGATGAGTGTCATGCTGAATGTACAGGTAAGTGTCATGCTGAGTGTACAGGTGAATGCCATGCTAAATATACAGGTGGGTGTCATGTTGAATGTACAGGTAAGTGTCATGCTGAATGTACAGATAGGTGCCAAGCTGAATGTTCAGGTGGGTGCCATGTTGAATGTACAGGTGAGTGTCATGCTGGATGTACAGGTGAATGCCATGCTGAATGTACAGGTGGGTGTCATGCTGAATGTACAGGTGAATGCCGTGCTGAATATTCAAGTGAGTGTCATGATGAATGTACAGGTGGGTGTCATGATGAATGTACAGGTGGGTGTCATGATGAATGTACAGGTGAGTGCCATGTTGAATGTACAGGTGGGTATCATGCTGAATGTACAGGTGAGTGCCATGTTGAATGTACAGGTGGGTGTCATGTTGAATGTACAGGTGGGTGTCATGATGAATGTACAGGTGGGTGTCATGTTGAATGTACAGGTGAGTGCCATGTTGAATGTACAGGTGGGTGCCATGATGAATGTACAGGTGAGTGCCATGTTGAATGTACAGGTGGGTGCCATTGTGAATGTACATGTGAGTGTCATGTTGAATGTACTTGTGGGTGTCATGATGAATGTACAGGTGGGTGTCATGATGAATGTACAGGTGAGTGCCATGTTGAATGTACATGTGAGTGTCATGTTGAATGTACTTGTGGGTGTCATGATGAATGTACAGGTGGGTGTCATGATGAATGTACAGGTGAATGCCATGTTGAATTTACAGGTGGGTGTCATGATGAATGTACAGGTGGGTGCAATGTTGAATGTACAGGTGAATGCCATGTTGAATGTACAGGTGGGTGTCATGCTGAATGTACAGGTGTTTTATCTCAGGGTCTGTTGTGACTTAATGACACTGTATTGACTCAGCAACAACCAACAGAAAATATTGTATCCAGTAAATATTATGAAGCAAATGTAGACATTAAATATAATATGTCATGTCAAAATTGATTCAGTGGCTGTTTTTAAATCAAGATTTTATGGATTCTGCTCACCCCTTAAAAGAAACATGGAGCAAAGATAAATCTGAAAAGCACCACCTATATTTTTTATTCATCCAAATGCAAACTGACATGTTCGCCACAAAAAAATTATGTATTCAATAGACAGACTAATTGTTAAAGGATTAGACAAACTTAACTGACTATATATTCAGATAAATTTGTTCACAAAATAATATGAAAACCAAGATATTATAAGAATATTGCCTACTGTGCACATTATGGATGCTATTTAATTTATTTGAATGACTTTTCTGGAAGTGCTTCTCCTCCAGTAAAATAATTACACACTTTCTTTTATTACGATAAAACAAACTGCTACTTTTCCAGAATCTCCTGAAAGACAAGGTTCAGACAACAAGACTCAAGTTTTCTTCCTGCCAAATACTCAGACCCAAGGTCAAGGTCAGGTCCCTCCAGCCGGGCTGAGGCCGATCGTCATCTCAACCAGTGCAGAGTCTGTGACCAGTAGCACCTTGTCTGATCGCACCGAGAAGCTGAGTGATGATGAGGAATTCTGTATCATCGATGACCCGGGCTGGGGGATAGCTGTAAGTTAAGGAGTTATGAGTTGGGAATGTATCAATGATAACAAAAATTACAAATGTTCTTTGTAAAAAAAACAATGAGGTACTTCAGCATCATCTTATATTTTCAAGATGAAAATTAAATCATGGGAGACTATTATGACCATGATTGAACAAGCTTGGTAGCATGGTGGTTCAAGGGAGACTACTCTGATGGACCAGTAGAGGAAGTCCTCAGTGGATGAGGAACCTTCACCACCTTTATCATGCAAGGCTTTTCATTAGTTTTGGTTGGGGGGCTGATTCCTTTTAACTTGATACCAGTGAATGAAAATAATTTGTAACTGGATGTATATCACACATTATCAGGCTACATTTCAGCTTGAAAAAGTATTGAGCGTGACTTGCCTACATTTTTTTGAGGAAATGAAACGTAAAATAAAACACACAAAATTATATCTCATAACAATGTTAACAATAGAGTTTGGCAATGAAAATGTACAATTATAGGCTTGAATAGCTTCAAATGCCTTGGTTTAGGGTGACATATATCTGTATGAAGTCTGTTTTGACATGAAATTATGATAGTCTAACAATAATCCAGCATGACTTGTTCCCGATATTATGTGTGTAACTATGGTATTGTTTCCAGCCACGTGACGGTCAGCCAGTGGTACGTGTGCTGACCAAGGGTCCTGTCTGTATCAAGGACAACTACTTCAGTCAGCCCCTGGGGAAGACGGACCAGCTGAAGCCCCCGGAACACTTCCCCCCCGCAGAGTACCGCTACACCCTGAAGGAGCTCACCCTTGTGTGGTACATGTATGGGGGCATGGATTTCTCTGGGGAGAGGGCAGGTGAGGCCGGAGACTGTGCACGAGAGATTTTGTACCTAATCTGAAAAACAATATTACTTTAAGTAACAAGGGTTCAACTCTCCAACAATTGCCTGTCATAACTGTTCACTCTTTTAACATCAAGTTCGGTTTGAATGGGTGCTACCACTTAAATGACTCTTTTGGGATTTGTGACCTGGGTCCACTTGCACAAAGCGATCTTAGCGCTAAGATGATCTTAACTCCCATACTTTAACATAGGCTTACAATAGTCTTAGCGCTAAGATCGTTTTGTGCAAGTGGGCCCTGGTCTACAAAGGGACCTTAGTGCTAAGATGGTCATAACTCCCATACTTTAACATTGGCTTTGTGCTAAGAATGCTTTGTGGAACAAGACCCTGGTGCAGAATATGTCCCCAGCACCTCATGTTTGTCTCCCTGTGGGGTGTGGGGGTGTCCTCCTGACCTAGTGTGGGAACTCCAGGGCAGCCCACCCCCCCCACCCCCCAATATCTACAGTGGGGCTTCCTGGTTCAGAGGTGTCCCTGTTTTGACTTTTTTTTTCCTATTTCAGACATTTCGAGTGCATCTTCATCACCCAAGCACCCAAGGTAGGCTGGTTTCTGTCATCAAATAGACAGCCATGATATAAATAGTAAAGACAAGATGTATTATGGATGACAACTTATTATTATTATGGAACATTTCGGTATAGATCCGTATGTAATAGAATGAAGAAGTTGTCATCCATAAAATATTCTGTCTTTACTATTACTTACTTAACTTCTAAAAATTCCAAAACAGCAATCATATAAACTACTAATCTTGAAATTAACTAATTTTGTTTCATCTGATTCCTGTTATATTAAATACCCAAGGTAAGCTGATATTTGTCAACAATAGACAGCAATAATACAAACAAGTAGTAATGAATGTATGAATGCTTTTAAGCATTTGTTTCACCTGATTCCAGTTAAATCAAATTGCTTGAAACAAAATTTTGGCTGTAAAGTATGAGGGTGACTGTTTGTACTGACGCTCGGATGTTGCAACAGATTGCCGGGCCATGGTGGAGGTGGCGCCGTGAAGAAGCCCAGCAGACATCCCGCCAGCTGGCACTCCCGAGGAGGGCCGCAGCGAGATCTCAACACACTCATGGAGCTGCAGCTGACCAAGGTGGGTCCTGCAGCACACACAAACATTCAGTATTGACAGACTAGGGGGATGCCAGGTTAACATCGGTCCCCAGCAACCTATGCTGGGCGTACGAGGCGACCGCTTAGATCAGGTGATAAGGCTTGGTTACTGGGTTGATTGCATGTCCTTGTAACCCAATGTTGTGGGGTCGTTTCTCATAATATCGATCACTGGATTGTCTGGTCCAGATTTGATTATTTACAGGCCGCTGTCATGTGGCTGGAATATTGCAGAGTGTGGCATTAATCTTTCATGGATTTGACCAAATGTTTTAACTTATCCTATCTTACACATTTCTCCTTCTTTCGATCTTGTGGTTGAAACGTCCTAGAACAAGGTTCCAGCTTAAAAAAACATAACACTTGAACACACCCAACATCCCCATGGTCACTCCCTAAACAAATGAGTCATGCATTGTAAACCCGAGCAAAACACAAGCTAATGACCTGACTTCACCTGACATATCATTCTATTCCCAGTGTGGAGAAGTGTGTGAACATAGAGAACACATTTGGGGCTTTTTGTGAGCTTTCCCTCCAACTACATCATTATGTAGAGTTATGTGGGAACAGATGAAGACAAGTGCCTGGCTTGTAGAGAATGTTGTCATACCTTTTCCTCCTACGATCCGCATACGTTGTGCTGTGATTGACGTGGCCTCTGCCAACCTGCTCATCTTTGGCTCCAATGTGCTCCATTTTCGGTAGGAACTTTCAAGAATGATTTACCCAAGTGCCAGAAATGCACAGTTGATCGGCATTCTAAATATAGGGATTCAGAACATGGTGGATTATGAAGCTGAAGATCGACATTTATCGACCGTACATCCCATGGCTCCTTTCATCAAACAACCTACTAGCTACTGTCACTTCACTCTCAGTAGAGGACGGTGCTGTCTCAGATTCTTTCCTGCATGCCTGCGACTGGTTTTGGAAATGATGCCACACATATGGCAGGGCGTTGGTGTGTAGATGACCAGAATTTCTGCGTCAACAACTTTGTGCACAAGCGGTAGTGTTAGCCATGACACATTGTGTGCAGAGATCATACAAGCATCCTGACTGATGGATCAATTGAACAATACATCAGTTCTGTGGTACAAGATGGGATTGACGATATCCTCATTGCTACTACGAATGATGATCCAATTCTATGAACTGGTAGACTTTCAAGATCAAGCTATATGCATTCAGGGAATTAAGAATGTGATCACAGACAAGATCTCCTCCTCCAGTCTCACTCCCACCTACTGCGCCCATTGCCAGACACCCTCCATCTCGGTGTATGGTTCATCTCTAAAAGTCACTCGTAGCCAAGGGTTATTCAACAAGAGTAGCCAAGACCATCTCTGAAGCTCATCGCACCTCTTCCAAGGCCTTGTATGACCATAAATGGAAAGCTTTCGAAGTATAGTGTCTGGCACGTGACATCTCTACTCCGACCACGGCTCCCTAACACAATGACGGGTATTTGCAGCACCTAAGGCCTATCCAAAAACTTAAAGGTTCAACACTGGCTACATATCTTGTGGCAATCAACTCTGTTATTGCCGCTATGACTGGCTTAAAGATCTCCACAGTGGCAGAATTCCAGGCTCTAATTCTTTCGCACAAGTTAGCAGACCAATCGTCCCAGTTTCGTCAACCTACTTAGGACCCGAATGTCATCTTACATCATCTGACTTCAGAAGAGTATGACCACTTATAAGAGGAGGATTATGAGCATGTCACCCTGAAGCCAGTTTTTCTCCTGGTCCTGGTGACAGCTGTCTTAACACTGAGACAGTCACAACTCCCTTATAAGTCACACATATACCAAGGTTAAGAGTTTTTCTTGGTAAATTCTATTATTGAATATCAGCCATGTTAACCCTTTACCATCATAATGGTTAATACTGATGTGACAATTGTTAAAAAAATGCCTCTGTTCACCAAGCAGTCAGTGGGTACCCGGTAGGATGAGATGTGTTAACTTTCGAGCGCCTCACAGACAGCTTTGGTTATATACTCCCCAGGGAGCTGATCCATTGACTAGGGTAATGATAATTCAGCTTTGAGCATTCATTGCGTATGGAGTTATGCGCTTTACAAGCAGACATGTTTTTAAGATTATAATTATCATCTCGCACAGATGCAGTGACTGTTTGAGAACTGTTATGATAATGCGGTACACCCCTGGTACTTAGTTGCCTCCGAGTACATTTCATTACGTGAAGGATGGTTGTTTCCCCAGGTACGATGTCAACACGAGGTCTACCCAGTTCACACGAGGCAAGCCTCCAGACAGGTCCTCATCATTGCCGAGTTCGAAGTCCGAGACCGCCTGGCAACGTCCCAGATCAACAAGTTCCTCTACCAGTACACCTCGGAGAACATGCCCAAACAAACACATGCCAATATGGTAGGTGGAGCATCAACCTGTGTGATGAGTAGTTGACTGGAGATGTGGCAAGTGCTGAGTCTATGAACATTCATTGGAAATATTCCTTAGCATAGCTGGGATGTTTCAAGAGGACAACCAGATTGTATTTAGACATCATGAAATTAATGTTTTCAAAAGTTATATGTACATAAGCAGAATTGTGTCTTAAGACCAGGAAAGCTGTAGAATGTAAACTGCAGCCTTCTAAAGTGTTGGCCAAAATGTATGATGCGGGATGTTTAGAATAGGATAGGGAAATCATTATAATTAATACAAACCTGTTAAAAACATTTGTTACATTTAATCCCAGATGTCGCTCTCAAAAAAACATACTGGCGTTTTGAAAACCAAATCTATTAACATGACTAAATGTTCATTAAATCTGGTGCCCCAATGAGGGCAAGGTCCAGCGTTTGGGGAGCTAATATTTAATTACGTTTAGTCTCAGATTGGTAGTTCTCCTAAAAAAACATACTGGCAGTTTGAAACCTGAAAAATCATTACGTTTTTTCAATATGCTTTGGACATGGAAATGTTATATACAGGAAGGGAAGTCAGTGAAGACTGCCATTAATAGAGGTCTCGGCAAATATTCGTCCTCATTGTCATGCTGTGTTATTGTGATTCTACCTCTGAGGCATCGTGTTTCTGTGTCCGTGTGCTTCAGCTGGTGGTCAAGGCTCTCCACACCCGGCCGGAGTCGTCCCCCATCCAGCAGGAGTGTGCCCTGCGGGTGTCCCTCCTCCCCCTCAGACTCAACATTGACCAGGTGAGCACCAGCTAGTATACTCACTAACACAACAAGCAGGCAACATGCCAGTATGTCACTGGATCATTGTAGTCATTAGCACCAAACAGAAAGGATGGATTAAACACGGAAATTTGAAATCACAAAAAATGTGTGAAAAAAGGCCTCCATAGCCAATGTTTCCACGATAACAAATACAATAATGATGGTTTAAAATCATATTTATTTTGTATATAATTTTGTTACCGGAGCTAAATAGGTTAAATCACAAAAATATGGCTCCTGAAAACCAAATTAGCTCAAATAATTATATAAATAATAGTCTCTACAGTACACAGTTTGGAACCCTATTCAGTCGGTCAATGATTTACCCACAGGATGCGCTGTTCTTCTTGAGGAAGTTCTTCATTGATCTGTCCGGGGGGAGTGCACCCTCCCCTCACAGCAAGTCTGTGCCTGTCCCCGAGAGTCCAGTGGGCAGCCCTAAGCCCGGCACCGCCTCCTCCTCCACCCCCCCTGCTCCCCCCGCCCCCGTGATGGCCGTCAATCTGAGCCCCGAGGAGGAGTCGGAACAGGACCAACAGGACCTGCTCATCATGTTCGATGAGATGAACCTGGAGTCTAATGCTGGGCTAAACCAGGAACTGTCAGAGAGCACATCATCATCCACAGGATCGGACCATGGGTCTCAGCCGGTCTTCTTCAAGTTAGTGAGACTCAACATGCTCTAGTCATCAACAAATTCATTAACCTGTAGTTTACTTGAGATGTAGGGTGATTATTAGAATTACCATTCACATGAAAGTAAAAGTTTATCAGCGTTTCAAACTAACTAATTTGACTTTGTTACAGCTGATTTCATGTTGTGTGCAACTTTAATGCATCTAGAAATGACTGACTGTGGGATACTGGGGTAGATCAGAGCTGTACATGGGGGCAATGTGAGCAGCCCATGCCAACTACATAGGCCGAGATGAGCAGCATTATGCCTTTAATTCCTTCTTGCCTGGTTTACGGATCTGCCCACCTTAAAATATAAAATTTAAGAAAACATTTAAATCAGAATGACAAGGTTTTTTATAATGTCAAGGGTAAAGATCGCTTAACAATAGATATAATCCAAACAATTTTTACAACTATGAATCCTCATTTTTTTAGCACTTCATTCATCCAAGTCAATGTTCAAGGTGATTACAAACAACCTGTACAATGCATTCATTTATTATTATTTTTCAACCAACTGAACAACTTTTTCACTATCCCATCCATGACACCACACCCCAAGGTTTATCAGAAAAGTAAAATTTATTATATTTATTCGTTTTAAGAAATTGATTGTTTCCATCTCAGACTGTATTTACAGGCTTGATGTTTGAGGCTGGTTTTGTAGTTGTCACCTTCCTGTTCCAGGTCTTTCATATTTTCTCCCGATGTGCCAATACGGTTGGACTACCATGGCAAGAGAGTTGACATGGAGCAGGTGAGAGGGGCCCTTTAAGGCACCGTTTGTCATTGTCTACCTGTTTGTATAACATGCATGTCAATCAATCTTGTATAGAGAAAATTGAAACTCCTGCCTGCAATTCTAACAGTAAATATTTTAAACAGGGAACATTTGCTGGATTGTTGGTTGGCCTTGCTCAACTGAATTCGTCCGAGCTCAAATTGAAGCGTCTCAACTACAAGCATGGGTAAGCAAAATTTATTTGAAGATTATCATAAAATATGAAGTTTGAATTACAAAAACACTTTGTAAATCTCTTACTTATTACTATCCCGAATTTATGTTCTGAGCAATGTAATTGTAGTCCCCACTGAAACCAGACATACGGAATATGTTGTTTCTTGGTCCCATGTAGGTTAGCCAAGTGTTGTTTCAAATCAGGATGAGTGAGTGAATGTTGTTGCCTCAGTAAGCAATATTCTTACTTATATCACAGCTTCAAATTGACCAGTCATGTAATATTTTGGGGTGTGTGCGTGTGTGTATGTGTGTGTGTGTGCTTGTGTGTGTATATTGTGGCTTTTTGCTTGTGCCACAATATCTTACCTGTCATTTCTATGCAGTTGGTATATTATGACATGTATCAACAAGGTCAGCGAGTCCAGTCCAATCCAGTTAGTCATTTCTTACTACAAGCTTGGGCTACTTAAGACCAGTTGTTTTTTTCCAAGTATTTTCTGACATATATTATTCCAACTGGCAATAGCTACTTGTCGGTCCCTGGGTTGAATTCTCATAGGGTCCAGGTAGCCCATGTATCCTGATCCGGGTCCACTTACACATGGCGATCTTAGTGCTGCGACTATCGTAAGCCTATGTTGAAGTATGTGAATTACGTCTCAAAGTGCAAAAAGCCATTTGTGCAAATGGATACAGGTCAGTTACTTGAATTTGCTTCTCTCTTCAGCTGTGTCCACTAGCACATATTGAACTCAGGGCTGCGACTATTGTAAGTCTATGTTAAAGTTCGGGAGTTGCTACTGTCTAAGCACTAAGATGACTTTGTGCAGGTAGACACGGGTTAGTAACTTGAACTTCTCTCTGCAGCTTGCTGGGCATGGACAAACTGGCCAAGTATGCTGTGAGTGAGTGGCTGAATGACATCAAGAAGACACAGCTGCCCAGCATCCTGGGGGGAGTGGGGCCGATGTACTCCTTTGTGCAGATAGGTGAGTCATGACACTGTGTATTGGTAGATTAGCTGTGTCCTGGGGGGAGTGGGCCCGATGTACTCCTTTGTGCAGGTAGGTGAATCATGACACTGTGTATTGGTAGATTAGCTGTGTCCTGGGGGGAGTGGGGCCGATGTACTCCTTTGTGCAGATAGGTGAGTCATGACACTGTGTATTGGTAGATTAGCTGTGTCCTGGGGGGAGTGGGCCCGATGTACTCCTTTGTGCAGGTAGGTGAATCATGACACTGTGTATTGGTAGATTAGCTGTGTCCTGGGGGGAGTGGGCCCGATGTACTCCTTTGTGCAGATAGGTGAGTCATGACACTGTGTATTGGTAGAATAGCTGTGTCCTGGGGAAGTGGATGTACTCCTTTGTGCAGATAGGTGAGTCATGACACTGTGTATTGGTAGATTAGCTGTGTCCTGGGGGGGAGTGGGCCCGATGTACTCCTTTGTGCAGGTAGGTGAATCATGACACTGTGTATTGGTAGATTAGCTGTGTCCTGGGGAAGTGGATGTACTCCTTTGTGCAGATAGGTGAGTCATGACACTGTGTATTGGTAGATTAGCTGTGTCCTGGGGGGGAGTGGGCCCGATGTACTCCTTTGTGCAGGTAGGTGAATCATGACACTGTGTATTGGTAGAATAGCTGTGTCCTGGGGGGGAGTGGGGCCGATGTACTCCTTTGTGCAGATAGGTGAGTCATGACACTGTGTATTGGTAGAATAGCTGTGTCCTGGGGAAGTGGATGTACTCCTTTGTGCAGGTAGGTGAGTCATGACACTGTGTATTGGTAGAATAGCTGTGTCCTGGGGAAGTGGATGTACTCCTTTGTGCAGATAGGTGAGTCATGACACTGTGTATTGGTAGATTAACTGTGTCCTGGGGGGAGTGGGCCCGATGTACTCCTTTGTGCAGGTAGGTGAATCATGACACTGTGTATTGGTAGATTAGCTGTGTCCTGGGGAAGTGAATGTACTCCTTTGTGCAGATAGGTGAGTCATGACACTGTGTATTGGTAGAATAGCTGTGTCCTGGGGGGGAGTGGGCCCGATGTACTCCTTTGTGCAGATAGGTGAGTCTTGACACTGTGTATTGGTAGAATAGCTGTGTCCTGGGGAAGTGGATGTACTCCTTTGTGCAGATAGGTGAGTCATGACACTGTGTATTGGTAGAATAGCTGTGTCCTGGGGAAGTGGATGTACTCCTTTGTGCAGATAGGTGAGTCATGACACTGTGTATTGGTAGATTAGCTGTGTCCTGGGGGGAGTGGGCCCGATGTACTCCTTTGTGCAGGTAGGTGAATCATGACACTGTGTATTGGTAGAATAGCTGTGTCCTGGGGAAGTGAATGTACTCCTTTGTGCAGATAGGTGAGTCATGACACTGTGTATTGGTAGAATAGCTGTGTCCTGGGGGGGAGTGGGCCCGATGTACTCCTTTGTGCAGGTAGGTGAATCATGACACTGTGTATTGGTAGAATAGCTGTGTCCTGGGGAAGTGAATGTACTCCTTTGTGCAGATAGGTGAGTCATGACACTGTGTATTGGTAGAATAGCTGTGTCCTGGGGGGGAGTGGGCCCGATGTACTCCTTTGTGCAGATAGGTGAGTCATGAGTTCACCCGACACTGGCTTCAGACAAGTGACTAAATTCCCAGATTGATACTACGCTACTTGAGAATGCAGTGAGCAACAAGCAGTACTGATGCACTCTATGTGTCTCACCTCCAGTGCATGGCGTGAGGGATCTGTTCTGGCTGCCGGTGGAACAGTACCGCAAAGATGGCCGCATCGTCCGTGGGATCCAGCGAGGGGCAAGCTCCTTCACCACGTCCACCGCCATGGCTCTGCTGGAGCTCACCAACAAACTGGTGCAGTCCATTCAGGTGGGGACACGTTTGTTTTTTAGGAACTGCTTAGCATTGTTAGGGCCTTTATCTGGCCCAGGGAGGGTGGTCCAGAATCCCCATCGTCTATACTACTGATCAATCTCATTAAAATCAGACCTTAGTTCTCGGTACCGCTAAACAAAGATGTGAAGACATCCCATTACGGGTTACGTCAGAACGACCTTTCATCCGACCAATCAATGCGTCGCTTACCAGATTATGAAAGTGACAGTCCGAATGTGATTTCTAATCATGCAATCTCGAAAACTTTAACATGGGGTATTCCGAACGATAGTTATGGGTTTGACGACTGAATCCTTACAATCTAGACCATCTATTTGCAATTCCAGAATGTTTTTTTGTTCAGGTTTCAAATTTGTAATCGAGAATTTGTCAAAATATGTTTCGAAGTGTAGTCGCCCATCTGAAATTTGTGCCGTAAAGCACGAGAAAGCTGCCTTCTGATTGGTCATTCCATTGGTCGGTCAAAGTTCGCGCAAGGTCAGTCTGACGTGACCCATAATGGGATGTCCTCAGATCTTTGTTTAGCGGTAGCGAGAACTAAGATCTGATTTTAATGAGATTGTACTACTGATTGATGTACAGATTTCTTGATCCTAACCCTAGTCAGTTGTCAAACTAGAAACTGAAACAGCATGTAATCTTGAAGTGATCTATTGAAACCATGATCAGTTGGGAATAATGAAATTTATTGACATGTGTTTTTATATACATTTTATGTATTGACAAATTCTTGCTTGACAACGGTATAAGGATCTATACCGAAACATCTTGCTTGACAATGGTATAAGGATCTATACTGAAACGTCTTGCTTGACATCGGTATAAGGATCTGTACCAAAACGTCTTGCTTGACAACGGTATAAGAATTTATACCGAAACGTCAAGCTTGACAACGGTATAAGGATCTATACTGAAACGTCTTGCTTGACATCGTTATAAGGATCTATACCGAAACGTCAAGCTTGACAACGGTATAAGGATCTGTACCGAAACGTCTTGCTTGACAACAGTATAAGAATTTATACCGAAACGTCAAGCTTGACAACGGTATAAGGATCTGTACCGAAACGTCTTGCTTGACAACGGTATAAGGATCTATACCGAAACGTCTTGCTTGACAACGGAATAAGAATCTATACCGAAACGTCGCCTATACAGTAGTTAAAGAAGTTGTTATCCGTAAATTGTGTCTACTTCGTATTTATTAGTGGTGTAAGAAATAATGTCTGGTATCTGCTTGTTTTATTGAAATGTGCATTCCGATTCCCTCTGTACTCCAGTATGTGGCCGAGTTAACCTACGACATGTTGTCCCCGGGGCCAAGTGTTCGCAAGGCTGGCACACGACGCCCAAAGCAACATGTCCGCCGTGGTCAGCCATCAGACATGAGAGAAGGAATGACCAATGCCTACATTGTCATAAGAGAGGTAGGTTAGTTAATCACAGAATCACATAAACAGTTATTTGTAATTATGTTGATATAATTAAAGCAAATATGACAGGAAAGACAGTTATTTTCAACATCTTCTTAAGACATAATATGCAGATTTGAAGTCATAAAAGATAAAGCAATAAAAGTACTATTGTACACTTTCTACATGTTACTCTAATGCTATAGAGACTAGACACGACTAGTCTGCTTGCTGGAAGCCTGATTTTATAGTCATTGTCATTTGATCTAGAACAAAGATATTGATAAATTTGGAATAAAATGCCGCACTCAGCAATATTCCAGCTATATGATGACGTTCTGTAAATAATCATGTCTGGACCAGACAATCCAGTGATTGACAAAATGAGCATTGATCCACCTAATTGGGATACGATGGCATGCATCAACAAAGTAAGGGAGCCTGACCGACCGATCCCGTTAGTTGCCTCTTATGACAAGCAAATTTGCCTTCTACGGCAAGCATGGGTTGCTGAAGACCTATTCTACCTGTGATCTTTACGTATGGAGTTCAGTAATGATGCTGGTGTGATGTTGTGTCATCCAGGGTATCTCGGACACAGCCCAGAACCTGGTGCGGGCGGCAACAGAGGAGCAGGAACAGAAGGGGCTGACAGGGGTGGTAGGGGGCGTGCTCCGTCAGATTCCGCCCACCATTGTGCAGCCTGTCATCATCGCCTCAGAGGCCACCTCCAAGGTCCTAGGTGGGATGAGGAACCAGCTCCGCCCCGAGGCCAAGAAGGAGGATGAGGACAAGTGGAGAGAGGGAGACAAGAGTTGATGAGAGAGTCATGTCAGGGTGTGTGTATGTGTGGTCGTGTGGAAGGTGTGTGGAAGACCTCAGATTTCGGAAGAAATCTCAGCGATGTCAGATTTTAGTTGAAGTTTCGGATGGCTGATGTCATATGTGATGTTGGTTCTTCAGGCTGGTGTGTTGTAAGTAGAAGGGACTGTGGAATGATGATGGTTGTTTGAAGATTTCTGTCAGGTCTCTTGTTGGCTGTGAGAACCATCATGCTTTCTGGTTGTTGGGAAGGAGGTGACGGCAGTTGCTGGACAACTGGTATTACCTTGCAGGGTTGTTTTAAGACGGATGTCTTCCAGGAGTACTTGTTTGATGGTGATGATGATGATGATGATGATGATGAGGATGATGATGATGATGATTGTTGAAGGTGTAGTTGATCATTTCTACGTCATCACAGTCCCACAGTCCCACAGGAAGAGAGGCTGATGTTCATATGTGATATTGAACGTGTCATGATGTTCCTGGAACATTGTGAGATCAACAAACTAGTCTGTAATAGCTGAAGAATGGTGTGTAGTCACTACAGGAGATGCTTCAGCCAAACTGCTGTCGTGTGGATTTGATGTGTGATGGTATGAGATTGTGGGCATGTCTTTCTTGTGAGTGTCATTCACACTGGACTGTGGTTCCTAGAAACATGGCTACTAAATACCCCAGCAATGTACCTAAACAAAGCTATCACTGTATTATAGCTACTCTGTAGTGAGTCCATGCTGTGGTTCCTGGGAACATGGCTACTAAATACCCCAGCAATGTACCTAAACAAAGCTATCACTGTATTATAGCTACTCTGTAGTGAAGCCATGCTGTGGTTCCCGGGAACATGGCTACTAATTACCCCAGCAATGTACCTAGGTCAAGCTATCACTGTATTATAGCTACTCTGTAGTGAGTCCATGCTGTGGTTCCTGGGAACATGGCTACTAAATACCCCAGCAATGTACCTAAACAAAGCTATCACTGTATTATAGCTACTCTGTAGTGAAGCCATGCTGTTGTTCCCGGGAACATGGCTACTAATTACCCCAGCAATGTACCTAGGTCAAGCTATCACTGTATTATAGCTACTCTGTAGTGAGTCCATGCTGTGGTTCCTGGGAACATGGCTACTAAATACCCCAGCAATGTACCTAGGTCAAGCTATCACTGTATTATAGCTACTCTGTAGTGAGTCCATGCTGTGGTTCCTGGGAACATGGCTACTAAATACCCCAGCAATGTACCTAGGTCAAGCCATCACTGTATTATAGCTACTCTGTAGTGAAGCCATGCTGTGGTTCCTGGGAACATGGCTACTAATTACCCCAGCAATGTACCTAGGTCAAGCTATCACTGTATTATAGCTACTCTGTAGTGAAGCCATGCTGTGGTTCCCGGGAACATGGCTACTAATTACCCCAGCAATGTACCTAGGTCAAGCCATCACTGTATTATAGCTACTCTGTAGTGAGTCCATGCTGTGGTTCCTGGGAACATGGCTACTAATTACCCCAGCAATGTATCTAGGTCAAGCCATCACTGTATTATAGCTACTCTGTAGTAAAGCCATTGTGGTACCTGGGAACATGGCTACTAAATAGCCCACCCATGTTCCTAGGAAAAGCTATCACTGTGTCACAGATACTCTGTGATGAAGCTTTGGTGTAGTCTCGATGAACATGACTTCTAGATAGCCAAATTATGCACCAAGCTACTGCTGTGGTACCTAGGAATGCAGCTTTCACTCTCTCTGCACACACGTCAAACACCGCCAGCTGTCCCAAGTTGTCTAAGTAGTATTTGTGTGAAGACAACAAGGTGACATCTATACAAAGGTCATATTCATGTATTCGTCTTTCATTCACTCTCTGTGTTGTACATTTTATCAAAGGTCATATGAACTGGTATGTATTTATCTATCCCTTTCTGTGTGGTACAGTGTTGTAGAACCATGACCAATATATTACACTGTTACCCACTTGGGGTGGGATTGAAGCTCTCTGGTGCCAATATATGAATACAAGTAGGCCTCAAAATATTGGAAGCGTGTAAGAGGCTGGTTTTGTTTTAGTTAAAAGAAATATAATCCCATTGTATTAGGAAATGCATGTGTATCTTAATACAGCAATACAATTCTTCCATGTTGAGATACGTAGGCTAGTGCATGCATGTAGGCATCTTCCTTAAGCAAGGGAGTTAACAGACTATAAAAGTCCAGTTTCCACCCTTGCCACTAGGCTGGAATTATTTGAGTTAAATTTTGATTTGGGCTGGACTAATGAGTCTATGCATAGTCCAGTCAAAATCGCGTAACAAAATTGACAACAGGTTCATGAACAACATGGCAACTGCTGTGAACATTTTGGTTGATTCCAGTATTTGCAAAGCATGTGTACCGTCAACTAGGCATTGACAGATATTTTTCAAATGTTTGGATGGCATGTATGATGTAGGATACTGTGTATGGGACATACAGGACTGACTTCTATTTCAGTGGAAGTATGGGTGGGCAGTGTTCTTTGACACTGCAATTCACTGTACACCCCTTAACCTGCCAGATCTGTGGCCTGTTTCACAAAGAGTTTGTAGTGCTATGACTGTCGTAAGTCTATGTGTAGGAGTTACGATAGCCATAATGCTACGACTACTTTGTGGAAGGAAGACCTGATAAGCTTGGGTTTGAACCCTCGATTAGCCCTATTTATTATCCTTGGTCTGGTATCACCATACCTGTGCCAGCAGAAACCCCAAAGTGGTAAATGTCTACGGCATATATAACTTGGACTTTTCCCTAAGTTTAATCTGATACTGGTCAAGGCAGCATTAAACCTCTCACCAATTCACTTCTTTTATGGGCACAATGGAGATGTATGGTTTCTTGTTTCAATGACAGTACAATGACAATGAATACACAAGGTAATCTTAATCCCTGCATGTAAAACAATGTCTAGCAGAACATAAAATACAATTTAAACGGTAAATCAACGTGTCTGGTGATTTTTTATCTAAAATTTCAAATTTATGCTGACCTCTTATCACCCATTCGTTTTCCGGAATTCGCTGAAGGGGTAGAGTGTAATTATTTTCGGCGCATAATATTAAAAAAAAAAAAAATTCTCAAATACCGAATCCGCTAGAGGGGGAGTGCGTTCTACTTTGGTGCACACTATACACATACGGTATATATTAGTGGAGTACTGAAAGCTGATGTCTATGCCATCTATACTAGTTCAGACCTTCAAGATGTTTAATGCTGGGGCAGTTTGCTGCAATGGTTAAAGGCTTGGGACTAGAATGTGTATTGTGGAACTGTCTGACCAGATGGCCCATGCATATATTTGTTAGCTCACAAGTATGTACCGCACATTGTCTGTAATAAACTTGTACTTTTTCAGCAGTTTGAAACCACAGGGCCTTTAACCCATTTAATGCTGAAATTTAGCAGACAGCTTCCAACACAGTATTCACAGCAGCCATACACAGAAAGAGGATCAGATGTTCAATATGATAACAAGTGTCTCTATTTTAGATATAAGTACTGTGCATATTTCTTAGCCATTTCTGAATGTTTTGGGGGTGTGGTTTGACGTGTAATGTGTGTAAAACTCAACATATATGATACTTTATTTTTTATCCTGTTATAGCCTTTCATGGGATGAACCACAAGTTTTATTTTTTCAAGATGATTCCGAACAATATAGGTGAGCTACAGTGACTTTGGGTTCTTTTTTCTCATATTAATCATCAGGTTTTATCATTGATGTTTTAAGTGTTTCTGCTTTCTTTGTTTTCTTAAACAATGTACAGTGTATAGAAATTTGTTTTGATTTTCTACTTATCTATAATGGTGAAATTATGTACATCTTCAAATGTCCATCATAATTTCAGTCATAATAGGCTAAAGAGTCTCTCACAGGACCTTATTGATGCAGAAATTCAAATAACAAACTTGTTGATGCAAGATATATAGAGACAGCAAGTAAATATGTATGTGTACTACTCCACTTTTGATAGGGATGTTTTTTATCTCCCCATGATGCACAAGGCTGAGGGGCGGTCGGGTAGCCTGGTGGTTAAAGCGTTCGCTCGTCACGCCGAAGACCCGGGTTCGATTCCCGACATGGGTACAATGTGTGAAGCCCATTTCTGGTGTCCCCCGCCGTGATATTGCTGGAATATTGCTAAAAGCGGCGTAAAACCATACTCACTCACTCACTCACTCACAAGGCTGAATTTCATGTGTCAAGTGTATGTTTAATTAGAATGGCATATCCCAGTATCTCTATCAAAGGTTGAGTAGTATAGTCAGAAGTGGATTTAGTTCACATTCACTTTACAAATGCTTCTGAAAGTCTAGAATTTCTTTTGCATCAATTTTTGCTTTTGTTTATTTTAATATATCATTTTCTATGTAGCCTTAATATTACTGATTTATCAAGAAAGGTGTGTTCTTGGCCTTGATTGTCTGTATTGTTTTGTTATCAGTAAATCACAGCCATGCTACTGTCTGAACTGTGATATCCACCATGCTGTCACATCATTTTGATTCTGTAGTCTCTTTCAACAACGCAAGGGGCACAGGTGGCCAAGTGGTCTAAGGAGCTGTAACTCACTGTGCAGAGTTGCGTCCCTTAGCAGTGCAAGGATCTGCTTGTCATGGGTTGGAAAACCAAGATTTGACTCAGTTATGATCCTTGATCTGTCGGCACAATACATATGTTTGTTGCTATCGATGTTGACTTGACATGATGTGATTAAAATAGTGTTCCAAGATGAAACCTCTACTCATGAGTCCGAGCTGGTATACAGATTATAGAAAAAGTCTTCTGACACCTTCTGTATAAATGTTAATGTATTACTTGAGTGAGCAGTTGTTGTGTACCATGTATCGCTGACTTCTTTACAATGTTGCATAATAGCTGCTATGCTGTTATATGTTGCATCTGCTGCTGCAGTCAGTGATAGTCACCTGGGACGTCTCTCAAGTCTAGAATTGAGGAGGCTTTATTAAATAATCACTGTACTAGAACTTACATCTACACAATACTTTGATTCCCTACAGAAAATGACAAATTGTGATACTGAAAATGATCAGTCAGCTCCAATGTTACATCAGCTTGCTTCTCAGCAATATTATAATATTGAAAAGCAAAAAAAAGGGGCAATAAAGAAGAATTTCATGAATTACAATAATGGCATTTTGGCAGAAATCATCATGCTTCCTTCCAGAATGGCCCAGTCCTCCATGTCATGCCTGGCTGTTGTGGAGTTGTCTGCCCTTTGTCCTGTGTATATCTGCTGTGTGTGAACTGTTGACAGGCTTACCATTGTTAGAACACATGAACCAGTAGTGTAGATGTATTACATGTTCCTGCCTCTAGAGAAAAATATTCCTGTTAGTAAACATTCCTGGTCGTAAGTTGATTATAGGACGTAATATGACCTGTGTGTATCTGTGTTCGTATCGGAACATCCTCCAATCCTTCGTCACAAGCACCTGCTGTTTCTTTTCAATCTCATTAAAATCAGATGTTGGTGCTTGCTATTTCGCCAAGATCTGATCTTGGTGCTTGCTAGTACACTAAGATCTGATCTTGATGCTTGCTTGTACACTAAGATCTGATCTTGGTGCTTGCTATTACGCTAAGATCTGATCTTGGTGCTTGCTATTACGCTAAGATCAGATCTTGGTACTTGATATTACGCTAAGATCTGATCTTGGTGCTTGCTATTACGCTAAGATCTGATCTTGGTGCTTGCTATTACGCTAAGATCTGATCTTTGTGCTTGCTATTACGCTTATTTAAAGATCTGATCTTGGTGCTTGCTATTACGCTAAGATCTGATCTTGGTGCTTGCTATTACGCTAAGATCTGATTTTAATGAGATTGGTTTCCTTTATGAATGCTGCCTTTGGTTTAGTCCTTGACAGGTGTATGTTTGATTGTATATCCCACACGGATCTAGATAAGCTGCTGCCTTGTATTACTGTATACCTGATCGGATCATTTGAAAGGGGCCCACATCCATGTGTATGATTGTATGGAAAGTTATTTTAATAACAATTTTCTTGCTCACCCTTTACATCTTGAAATGGATATTACATTTGAATTATTTTCATGTGTTTTTTTGCATTTGTGTTGAGGTGATGTTAGGAAATATGTTCACAATAACACAACATTCAGTGATAGTGTTTCATAGCTAGCTGCATTTGTGGATCTTTTCACCTCTTTTATTGAGTAACTTGTCATGCCACTAACATTGAATATAAAAAATCTTGAAGTTGAATATTAGCATGAGCAGTGGGTTTTGCGAGCTGGTCCATTATAAACAGGTCTCTCTGTATCTGACTCGTATGTATGGACTAGATAATGTTTACTGGTGTGTTAGGGTCTCTGTAGAGGACTGATAAATAAACACATTTTGTGATTACCCAGTAGTTAGTTACTGAAACTGCAATAATGGAATTGGTTATGTTAAGCAGGTATGCATGTTCCTACTTATCGATGCTTCAACATAGTACTGTATCCAACAGGTTCATGTACCGACTCCCACTTGTGATGAGAGACATGAGTAATGTGTGTTTCTTCGCCATGTCTAGAGAGGCGTATCCAAACCTTGCCATTTTAGCATGTCAACAAATGTCCTAGTGTGAGTGATGGCAGGACCAGTGACCATGACTGTCTTTCAGAATGAAACCACATTTAGTATAGATTTGTCAGGTAGATGATGGACCTTGTTACGCACAGTTAATTATAGGTGTTTAGAATATGTTTCCGAACAGTTGATAAATATTCTCTAAATTTAATGATGGACACTGAGTCAACCTCAAACCATTTTGTGTTTGCGTTCTATTCAAGCTTCTTTATTCAAGGATTCTATGTTGTACCGAAAATTGTTCTGTCATGTTTGTGATAATTTGAATAATTGTACAAAAAATAAATAGAGTTACTTATTAGAGAGGCCTCTGCCGAAATATGAAACCTTGGGCCTGGAGACATCCTGGAGACATATCTACATAGTTCTACAGGGGCACATGGAGGTTCTGCAGTGGGATTTTGAATTCATGACGAGTGGATGTATTTTCTTGTCAAAGTTTGCAAGGACACTTCAGGTTGTTGTTGTTGATTTTTGTTTGTGAGTAAAGATGGACGTACAGTGTCTGGTTGTACAGAAAGGCATGTGCAATGTTCAGTGATACTCGACTGGAGTCACGGAAGGTGGATATTTATGCATACACATCTGTACATAAAATATTTATTCAACAAAAATAAGCTATTTGTAAATGGTATGCATATATGAAGTGATTGAAATGAATGTGAATAATAATATCATGAAGTAAACAGCTGCTTTTTTTGAAAAACATGTTGTTTTTTTATCTTTTACACCACAGTGGTGTGAGCAAATGCCTTATTCTGCAATCAAGAATATTCCAGGTAGAAGCAGGTAAAAGTGAAGACTTGGCCAGGCAATCAAGCTGTTGATGCGTGATCAAGGATCCACTTTGTAACCATCAGATGCTGTGTTCGTATGTAGTGTGTAGTGTGTTGGCAATTGGTAGCCTAGTGGCTAACAGGATCACTCGTTGGGTCAAGCCCATCCTAGCCATAGCTAGGTCAAGGATCCCACACTTGGCTAGGTCACAGATCCCACACATGGCAAGGTCAAGGGTCCCACACATGGCAAGGTCACAGATCCCACACATGGCAAGGTCACAGATCCCACACATGGCAAGGTCAAGGATCCCATGCATGGCAAGGTCAAGGATCCCACACTTGGCTAGATCACAGATCCCAAACATGGCAAGATCACAGATCCCACACATGGCTAGATCACAGATCCCACACATGACTAGGTCACTGATCCCACACATGGCGAGATCACAGATTCCACACATGGTGAGATCACAGATCTGACAAATGGCTAGATCACAGATCCCACACATGGTGAGATCACAGTTCCCACACATGGCGAGATCACAATTCCCACTCATGGCTAGATCTCAGATACCACACATGGCGAGATCACACAGTATGAGTAAAGTTGTTCTTCAGACTTACGTTAATACATGCAATTCTTACAAGGTTTCCAAATTGAAAGCCAAGGGTTAAACCAGTAATAGGTTCGTACAGAGCTAAATTGTTCAGACAGTAAATGACCAGACAAGATAAATAGTCAAAACAGTATAGTGAAACCCTGTTAAGTAAGTGGCAGCATCATAAATCTGTGCCCTCATAAATGTCCACAATTGTCGAATGTCTTGAAAGAGGCCCGTGCTCAGTTCTGGAATCCATCTTCCCGAGGCAAGGGATTTAATTAACTCTGAAAAATCTACCGGTAGTTTCCAGCCTCGATCGAAGCGCCACCATTGGCTATTACGAGTTACGAGTTACGTCCCTTCTATGCTCCTCCTATTGACAAATCAGATTCCATCTCTCATATTAATTGCATTCTTTCAAACAAACGATGATCAAGATATATATTGTAATAAAGCCGCGCGAAGTGCATCAAATCACTTGAGCACCTTGATTAAAAGCATGAAAAGATTTGGAAAATAGCTGTCGACGGCCGGTTGATGGCACACATCTTTTGCAAATCTTGCCAGTTGACCGAAATCTGCGTTGAAATCAGTGTTGTTTACGACCGGATGTCAATTCCGTTACGCGATTTTGATTGGACTATGCATAGACTCGTTGGTCCAACAAAAAAACTGGAAACTGGACTTTTACAGTCAGTCAACTCCCTTGCCTCGGGAAGATGTCTTGAATCCGGAATAGCTTCGGATGCTTGCAGGAATTCTGCGTTTTCAAATGGGTATAACGTCTGCGTTTGACAAGCAAATTAAAGGCCGATAATCGCCCTTGTGTCACTCATATAGAGGTACATACAGCCATCTAGAAACTCCCACCCTGAGCTCGAACTGTCACGCCTGCTCACAAACGAGGTAAAAGTCTCACTTTCCGTGCAGATTGACTGCTTTAGACTGTATCTCATGATTTTTTAAATGAACATTATGCGAACTTGATATACATTTGACTGATGCCTCAAAGGATTCAGCCTTGGATCTAACTGTTGGGGCATATTGGACTTCCGGGTGGGGAAGGGGGCGGGTTTCATCTCAAGTGTGTTCGGGCTAAATGACCATCAATGGTTCACGAAGTGACATTGTTTATGAAATATTAATGCTGGATACATTTTTAACTTAAAGCTCATGTTGGGCTGCATGGAAATGAGGTAGCATCAAACTTGCGAAACCTGGCTTGCAAAATTCTGAGATAACGATATCGGAATTCAGACCCCAACCAAACGATTTCGACTCCATGTTGGTAAAGTCTCAAGCTGGCAACAGTTGTGGGATGCTGGCATTACTGGCCGACACGTGAACACAGTTTATCCTTCTGTAAAATTAAATTAGACAATTCGTCGACGAAAGAAACGTGAGGCAGTCATAATTACTTCGTCTTGGACACTGTGGATTAAATGCTTACCGCAGTGTCATAGACACTCCCTGTATGTTGGTAGGTCTTCCCTGTATGTACGCACTGTGATGAAAATAATTCAGAGACAGTGAAACATTATTGAATTGAATGCCCAGGCCACAATCATATCAGACTAAATATAAGGAGTGCAGTATTTGAGAAGGAAAGTTCATTTTCCCCAATTACACCCTTTGGGCCCTAAAATAGTTTATGCTTCAATACAGCGGGCAATTTAAGACTTCATAACTGAAGCTGGAAATTTGATATATCATAAAAATCTATCATATACATAGATTTGTATTGACTTTTAAACCATTTTAGCTGTGTTTTTTTCGTTGTTTTTTTTCTTGCTACAGCACTCGATATTTTACGAGCGCCTCGGAGATTTGCTGCCACTGACCATCACTGGAAATGAACCCACATCGATCTGCTGCCACATTCCACAATGCGGTTATCTCTGCTGTCACATGTTGTCAAACGACCGGTCCAAAGTATGATATTGTTGTGCTGTTTGTAGTCTATCGAGAATGAGCTGTGTGGGGTACGGGAATCCACAACGATCTGCTGCCACATATCACAACACGCGATGACAATGAATATTGAAGTGAGGGTATCTTAGAATGATTAACCTCTGTTCATTCCTCTATTAACCAAGACAGTTTGGGTGTACTTCGTGAAAATTGACCCATCCATAGCCAGTCAGCCATTTTAAAGCATTGATTCACTCTGTTTGTATTCGTATAGTTGCAAACTCAACTTATGAAAAAGTTTGTGGGTATAAAAAGTTGCCGAAGAGACTTAAAATATCCATTACATTTCTCTTACGGTTGGTGGCTATCTCTGTCTCTGTTTGAGACACTGGAGCATATTTTATAAAACATTGATCCCAATATCACCTTTGTCCGCATTTCGCAAAGTGTAAGTACATGCCTGTAAGTATATTATTGTGAATACTATTTACATGACTGGGGCAGCAAATACAATAGCACAGACTTATGACAGCGCTTGATCGATGTGTGGAACGAGATCCAGATAGAGCATGCTTGCTGCACTCATAGGCGGATGCAGAGGGGTGGAAACCAATTGTAGTATGTTGTAAGCAGTAAAAATATCTGAGAGAGAATTGATATGTTGGACCTCTCCCTTTTAAAAATGCTCGATCAGCCCTTGCTCGAACCAAATAAGGATTGCACTAGGTTTAGGTGCTCAACAAATGTCCTTCCTGGTCAGACTCGCGCACTCTACGCCACTCATTCACAGAAGTCTAATCTTGGCTTGAACCAGGCCCCTTGAATCTGCCAAGGGTGGTGGTAGGTTTAGGGGCACAGCAATCGTCCTCCCAAGTCACGCACTCTACCCTGTGTCACTCGTATACAGAAGTCTGATCTTGGCTTGAACCAGGCCCCTTGAACCTGCCAAGGGTGGTGGTAGGTTTAGGGGCACAGCAATCGTCCTCCCAAGTCACGCACTCTACCCTGTGTCACTCGTATACAGAAGTCTGATCTTGGCTTGAACCAGGCCCCTTGAACCTGCCAAGGGTGGTGGTAGGTTTAGGGGCACAGCAATCGTTCTCCCAAGTCACGCACTCTACCCTGTGTCACTCGTACACAGAAGTCTGATCTGGAACCAGCATCTGCCCTCATTCATGGAGCATGCTCTATGGTGGAATCTGTGATGGTAACATCCCGATAGTCGACACGGTGATGAGCCATGGAAGAAGATTATGCGTTCATGTATCGGTCCATATCGATGTCCAACGCCATGTCCCTGTCCTAAATACACTAGTGGCAACGTATAGTATCAGTGTCGATGTTGTGAAAGGTCCTGCGTTGTCCGGTCTTTTGTTCACATTCATCATGTTCATCCATATACAAGTGGAAATGGCTACCCATAACTCGAGTGAATGAGTGTGTTAATAATATACCGCCCTGCAGTTACATGGCTTACAGCCAAATATATGTAGAAGTGGAACTAACTTCGTCGACCATTAACCTTAAAGCGTAATCTCGTCACAACAGGGTTGGATTCCCCACACCTGTACAATGTGTGAAGCCCATTTTCCGGTGTCCCCCGTCATGATATTGCCGGGATATTGCTAAAAGCGACGTAAAACCACACTCACTCACTCACTCACTCACAAGTTTCAACAATACAAGCTTCACAAAAAGTAGGAACTTGAAAACTTTCCAGCTTTGAAGCTGTCAATATGTGGGAAAGGGCCTAGGAACGGCGTATATTAGGTATAAGTTGGTTCTGGGTTTAAAACAAAGAATTTGAGTAGTAGAAACCCTTTGAACTATACAGATGTCTCGTTCATTATTCGCGTCACGTAATGTGTAATTGAGGTTGTATACTCCCCAGGGAGGTGAGAATGAAGATCGAGTGCATACAGATCCATCGACCAGGGTAGTAGTAGTAGTAATAGTAGTAATAGTAGTAGTAGTAGTAGTAGTAGTGGTAGTAGTGGTAGTAGTAGTGGTAGTGGTAGTGGTAGTAGTAATAGTAGTAGTGGTAGTGGTAGTTGTAGTGGTTGTGGTAGTCGTAGTCGTAGTCGTAGTAGTAGTAGTAGTAGTAGTAGTAGTAGTAGTAGTCAATGCATTGTGTTAAGCCCATTTCCTAGGCTAACCCTGATCATAAAGTGGTACACATGAACATTTATGAACATTTATGAATTTCTGAACGGAAAATGTATTTATACAAGGTGTCTGTTACATTTATCGAAACTATCGATACAACTGCGTCGTATCGATTTCAACTTGCCATCGATGGTCCAGAAACAATTTCAATGCATCGATAGCAATCGATTCACATCTAGTGGCTGTAGCAATAAAACAGAGACGATTTGGATTTGTATATTTTATGTTATAAAATATATAATTGAATATATACAACACAAGGCCGTGGTGGAAAATAACAACACGGTAGTAGAGGTAGGTGGCGGTGAGATCAGAAGTGATTGGACGATACACATTCACACACATATACTCTTCGGCAAATTCTTTGGCATTCCATTCACGCACAATATACATATTCATATTTCCCAGTTGGGTTATAACTGGGTGTAGGAGGACGGGTGAACACTAGAGTCACTTGAGCTCTGATTGGCCCAGGAGACCGATGACGTTGCATTGAAGTAGGGGTTGCTTAGCGACGAGATGACCAATGGCTGGTAGGGTTCATCTGAATACGACGGAGGTTGGTAGTGAAGCTGTGGTCTGTAAGGGTCAGAATGTCGGATGGACGACAGCATCACTGGAGGGTCAGCGATAAACGGGAACGGGAACACACGATTTAATCCAAGCGCACTCTGGGTAGAGGGAGCATGTGTTTCTGAAAGATTGTTCTCAGGGCTACGACTAGAAACTGTTGAGCATTGGGAGGGTAGATGAGACTGAGACAATGAATGCTCCCTCTGGCGCGAGGCTTCAACGTGAGACCTGTAACCGAGGAGATCTGCTAGAACGGGTATACTGTCATATAACGAATGATTGCCCGTGGGCGGTAGACTCTGTGGCACAGTGGTATTGGGAGGGTTGATATAGTCATTGGGTAGCACAGTTATACTGCTGGCAGACGCGGGGTGGGGCATCCCCATCAAGAACGGGGATTGTCCTGGGAGCATCATATGCCCCGGCAAACGGGGGTTACGGGGGTTGTGGAAAGCGGATGCACTCTTGGAGTGGTTAAACCTGTTGGGCACGGTGTTCAGGAAGGCTGCTGTCGGCGTGACCTTGTTGGGCGGTGAGATCATGTCGTAGCTCTGGAACATGGGCTGAGGAGGTTTAGGTCCTACTGCAGGGGCTGGAGCAGGGCGCTTCCTCGACTTCTTCTTATTCTTCTTGTTCTTCAGAGGGTCGTTCTCGAACCTCATCAGTTCGGCGATGACGCTTTTCATGACGAGAGGGGGGAGTACTTTCTCATCTATGTCGTCTGTTGCTGCATCGTCGTCAGCGACGTCAGATGATTCCTTTGTCGCGGTTTCAGCACTACCACTCTCACTTTTGGGGCTCTCGGCCTTCTCCTCGCCGCCATCTTTCTTATCCCCGGGTTTCCGCCCCACAACATCCTTGCGGCGGCGATTTTGAAACCAGATCTGAACAGAGAAGAACAGGTTCAATGTCTATTCATAAGTTACAAGAATACAGTAAACTACGTTTATAACGAACACGCTTATAACGAACTGGTTTTTAGGTTCCTGTCATTTGCTGTATATACATGCTGTATATATGCTTATAACGAACTACGGTTATAACGAGCTAAAATTTGTGGTCCCTTTGAGTTCGCTATAGCCGTAGTTTACTGTAGCATAATACGAAATTAATTCAGCAATAATATTAGGAGTTTGAAGAGGAATTAACATACTAGTTATTCACAAATATGTATGTGTGTATGGATGCAAAATGGCGCTCAGAAATGAAACCTTTATATGTCTGTATTTTGGGCCATTGGCCTCTATACTGAATAAAATTGTTTGTCTTGTCTTGTCTATTCACAAATACTTCTGAATATGTCTGATTGATATTGAATATATTCATGTTATTTATGCATGTGTGCGGACGTATGTGTGTGTGGGTGTTTAACAAAATTCCAGCGATGTGACGCGGCATTTAAACAATCCCAGTGATTGATATTATGATCACATTTCAACAAGGCTATCAACCAGGTCGCTGAGCCTGATCACCCGATCCATTTGGTCACCTCTTACGAGGAGCATGGGTTTCTGGGAACCTCACGGGGTTTGTTTAAACGTGTATCGTAGACATGACGCATCGTCCTCACCTTCACTTGGTCACGTGTGATGCCGACTCTCTTTGCAATCAGCTGCTTCTGGGTGCTGTTGGGGTATTTCACCCTGGAGTAGATGGCGTTAAGTAGCTCCAGCTGATAGCGCGTGTAGCTGAGCCTCTCACGTGGAGGTGGGGGCGTGAAGGGACGGTATTCTGGAAAAAATAATGAATTCATGATTCAAATGCCGACTTGTTTCAACATCGAGCAACGGTTGCTGAACGTTGTTTTATTTCAATTACAAAGGATCATAAATGTGTTTTATCATTTCTACTAGCCTCGCTGTGAGTTGCGCCAAATATATTTAAGAGTTTCCAAATTTTCCAAAAACACCTTGATACATAAGACTTGCAGACATGACTTTCAAACTATATTGCAAGCTCAATTTTTATCCATGTATAAAGGAGTATTTAACGAACTGCATTGGTATCAATCACTAAATATATTACATTAACACAAGCAAATTTTTAATTAATGAGAAACAACAAATATATTATGTATGTTTCAAACTCGTATATGTGTCTTTTATTTGGACACGGGAGGCAGACATTATATTCGTAATATTACTGATGTAAATAGTTGATAATCTCTCAAATCAAATGGTAGTGTACATTGTTTCATAGTCATAAATAACAGCAACAGTTGTCCTATATGTCACGTGCATATGCCAATCAGCTGATCGGCATTGTAATCAAGCACCTGTCAAGTGTCATCAGCTTGTTCATTTCACGTGGTCGACATGCGAGGCAATTTACAACTGTCCTTGTCATTTTCACTCATTAATCTCCGGGCTGGATTAACTCATTATAATTACTTATTGTGGGAAGGTAGCCCAGGGCTTTTAAGAATGATTACTATATATTGTCTGAATATCCAACGACGTAATTTAGCTGCAATGTTCCACATATAGCAGGGGTACTTCCTCAAAACATTTGTACAAAAAATATTAATTATATATATGAATGAATTTTCTTTTTCATTTTCCAAACAAAAATAACCTTTGGAACGGTCCTTTAATCTTTATAAAACAAAGTGACCTCTTTTCATTACCGCATGCAGAACTATCTAAACTAAGACCACCTATTAAAATCGGATCTTAGAATGCAGATAACCTTTAAAAATATTAATTATATATATGATTATGAATGAATTTTTTGTTTCATTTTCCAAACAAAAATGATAAGACTGATAACCTTTAGAACGGTCCTTTAAATATTTTATATGAGATCAAAGTGACCACTATTCATTACCGCATGCAGAACCATCTAAACTACGACCACCTATTAAAATCGGATCTGAGAAAGCGGGTAACCTTAAAAGCATTTGGACAATGAAAAAAATAGCCTTTATCGTATGAATACAACTGTAATCACAGAGCCCCGCTGTTAGCTATTGGTGCAGCCTGAGACCCCTGAGAGGGGATAATTGCCCCTAACCCCCCACCAAGTCCCCTTTTACAGTGACCATTAGTGCAGAGGGAGTCGTGTAACCGATACCCTGCCGGCCAGTGGACAGCGAGTCTGGCCGGACACCACTACCTGGTCACTGTGTAATAAACATTTAGTTAATTAATTATGTTAATTAATGTTGTTTTAGCATGCATTAGGTGAGGTTACATTACAAATTAACAAATGTAACCTACACGCGTCATGCTCACAATTCAATTTATTATTACACCTCACTTACAACAATATTCTTAAGCAATCACATTTATTTTCTATAACATAAATATATATGATATATCTTCATACCAAGGAATTCCTTGGATACGAGAATCGATGCATTAGAAATAAATGTGTACCACCCACCATCGTCATCATCTGATCCTTCAGCCCCGGGGTATGTTGCCGCACCCTGCGTCCAGGGGATCATCCCATTGTTCCTGCTATCCCCGGGGGGTGGGGCTGTTGGTACGGGGTGGTAGGCCGTGCTGCCGGGGGAGGATATGGCAGAGCTGTTGGAATCGGAGGACTCAAAACTCTGCCTCGACAGACCTAGAAGCGGAAAGTCACACATGAACACAGAATTCATCAGAAAACAATGTCATCGCGTCCAGTCACGCTGCATCAACAAGAAATTAATGTCAAAACGTATCTTGTATCATTCTTTGGATCTCTGGACCGCTATTTTGACTTGATTACTTAAGAAACACGGTGTATAAATATGATATTAAATAAAGGACATTGTGGAACAGCTTTGTGTCACAATATTAGCACAGAACCTTATCAATTTGCTTGAGAAGGGTTGTGTAGGCGCCGAGAGGCTTCAGATGAGATAACTCTCGGTAATGTCTACAAACAAACTCTACAGAAAGAAGTTCATGTTTGGTTTAGAAGTAATAAGTTACTCAAGGGAGGTTTACCCTGGAACGAGAGTCAACAGCTGATTCTAAGTAAGATATTATTTATCTGTTTGTGTATGGAATCTGTCAATAGCCGTCAAAGCTATTACATAATACATACATACATCGTTTGCACGTCTTTCGACAAGATAACGGATAAACTTTGTAATTCGACATTTTTCGCGTTGACACTTGTTATATTTTACGCAATAGTAAACTTATAGTTTGTGAGAACTATTCTGCGGAGTATGCATAATGTCCCTATTCTGGTTGTCATGTTGCATGTATGTTCCTGAAAATGACACAAATGAAATATAATAAAATGCTTATTATAAAAAAAATAAACTTACCCTGCTGGCCAAGCGAGTTTCTGAGGCTGTCAATCTGAATCATGTTGATATTCCAATAAAATCCCGAAATTCAAACTGCAAATTATTTCCTTTACACTTGAATATCACAGATAAATATATTCCAGTAATTTCCACCGTTTCGTAAATGTAGACAGCACATAAATCCCTCTCGAGTCTTGAGCTATTTCACGGTGTCAGCTGTGATGTCGATGGTCAGAACACTGCAGGTGGATGTACTTGCCCAACATGGTGGGTCTGGGATGATATAGCTACATACAAGTAATAGTAAGCTGGTGAAATGAATCTCCCTCAAGTCCAAGGTGATGGCACTAACGTTAGGTTGTTCCCGATTGCCACCTCCTTCCCTCGTGGTTGTCCCTGCAACTTGTCCGCAGTATTGCTAAACAAACTAGGGCTAAATGCATCCCCTTGCCTGCCTCCACTCAGGTGTCAACGCCGAACGGCGGAGGGCAGCGTGAACGCGTCCGCTCAATCAGTCTCGCGAGAGTAAACTGTTATCTTTCTCCATAGTTACATAGACATCGTAGATAAAAGTCATTTTTCGATTGGAGCCAACTTTTCAAGCGCAAACTTTTAACAACCTGATCATATTTACCGAGCTCTCGCACACAAACAGCGGCAGTGGAGGATTGAGAAGGACTTAAGTAAATGCGCTAACGGGCCATTTCCTCCTTAGGGCTGTCAACATAACCTATTGTCTCTTTTGTATTAACTAATCCCGCCCCAATGGCCACTCAACCAGTTAAATCATTAACCTACACTCGTTTCCCAGAGTGCATTGTTGCGTAAATCCCCATTTTGTTTTGTTTTCATGCACCGCCCTCCTCTTGTTGGAGGGTTTAGGTGTATAGATTCGGTTTCACATTGGTCAGAGAGGTAGACATCACACTGTACAGCGAGCCCCTTTGTACGCCACTCCACGAGCCATCACGTCACTCAGTGGTAGCCATTGATGACGTTGAGCCCCCAGCTCTACAACTTTCAGTCATATACGTGATTTTGTACTTCACTTCAAAAACGAGAGATGTAAACTTTATTTATTTCACGTTTGTAATTTTATGTACCATACTAAATGGTACAGGTCATCATAAGAAACATTATCAAAATATTAAATAATATTACAAGACGTGACACAGTAACACGATGCCTCCCTTATGTATGTTGTACCCTTATTTCGCGTGAAATAAGTTTGAGATTATTATTATTTGTAAATACATATATTTCAAATAAAGAAACGTTTTTAAATTCAGTGTTTCGCGACTGTTTTCAGTCCAGTAACGTTTTCATAACTTTTGTACTTTCCAGTTTTCAAGTGTATATATCAGTTTATATTTTGTAGTTGTTTTCTATAAGACATTGTTGTATATTTTGTTTTAAACCCAGGCGTCTATATAACTACTTGTAAAGTACTTAGGCTAAAGTCAGTTGATTCCTGTAGAGCCTTGTAACAAGGCCTATCAGATGTCGTGTATAGTGACTGAGCAATGCTTCTGGTACTATCTGCACCTTATCGAGCCTCACAGCCGTATCGGGCCTGGTAATTGCTCTCCCCACAAAGTTACATCCCCTATTCTCTCCATATCTCGGCTTATAGCGGATTACGAGGAAAATTACGGGTGAAGAATGGAACTTGTTGCTAGAACTCACTCCGCACTTTGGTGCTGGGTTTGTTGATAGAATTAGCTATTGTAAGCTGGTTAAGTCGACCATACTCGATAATTAAAAGAAAAACTCCATCCAAAAATCTCTTAATTTGTTACTTTAACTGTTAGCTACTGCATGTACTGCGGCAGGTTGGCGAGGCCCTGTGATTTGGGGGAGTGTTTCATGCCTGGGGTAGGACAGGAGAGAATGTGAAAGGCTTCTTCTCAATATACCTTGAGGTTATATTGGTTTAGACTTTCAACGTACCAAAATATAGCTACAGCTTTAATCAAGCAAATATTGAAAAAATCAAGCAATGGATATATATTATAGAAGAAGCCACAACAAACTCTGTAAATAACCAAGGCGTTTATGAAGACATGGACAACAATATATTGGTTATTTGGCCTTTCAAGGCTGCTTTTTCTGGCAAACGGTCATGAGGCGGGTTTCATAAAATTTCAGTTGTATCACGATGTGGCAACTCAGTGGGAGGCGAGACCGAAGTGATGCTGATGGCACAGTCGTGAAGGGTCGTATAAAGAAACATATCATGTTTTCCTGTTCTATCAATTCTAAATACACATTTAATAGAAGGGTGTACGTGTATGATTGTTTTTTTTATAGCTTTTGGTTAATTGGTGATAAAGTCAGTGAGTATACAGTCGTGCATACCGTATACGAGACATTGTGGTCTCCCAACATAGAGATGGAGTAGGAGAGTGGGGTTAGGACTGAGCATTTTAGTCAACAATATCGTTTATACCTCACACTATTCTACAAATTTTATTTTCTTATAATTTTTGGTTTCGACGTGAGTACAAGGTCTTTTCAAATGATTAAAAATATACATTTAAACATTTACATGTTACTTGTTGAATAAATAAAGCTTTACTAGCGTACACAAAGGTACGCTTTAGGCCTTTATGTTTTCTTCTGGAAGGGAATCATTCTAGTGTACTAGTACATGGGGAGAATACCTAGCGACGAAACCGATGTTTGCTATACGTTGTTTACTCAGAACATATACTGTTTTGTTTGAATTTACTGTATTTTAATAGGAAAAGTATACAGAACCACTTACTCTCTTCTCGCTTAATTGACTTTATTTTATTTTTTTGAAATAGGGATTTGGTACACGTACCATAGAACTACCTACACATATGTATGTAGTGATACACATTTCATAAGAGCAACATGTGAAATACGAGTATGGAGTGTATGTCCTCGGTAGTATGAAATATACATCTTTCATTACTTTGAAAACCTTTCAAAATTCTTCATAATTTTGTTTGATTGTTGTTTAACGCCACACTCAGCAATAATCTACTTATACTATGGCGGTCTGTAAGTATTTGATTTTGACCAGACAATCCAGTGATTAAAATAATGAGGCTTCGATCTACGCAACTGGTGTTTGATGACATAGAGTTTGATCAACAAAGTGAGGTGAGGTGAGGTTTAACGTCGCGTCCAAGATTATTGCACTTATAGAGCGACGTGCATGCACGTGTGTGTGTGGCTGCTTGTACTAGTCCGGACTGATGCCGATTTATAGTGCTAGCCCACTGAGATACCATGTCGCAGTTTAACATGAATACACCACTCAGACACAGTATACTGACTCCGAGCCGACCAGTCCTTGTTTTAGCCCCTTAATGATTAATGCTTAATGCCGAGCGCCAGACAAGGTAACAACACTACCATGTTTTAACGTCTTTTGGTATGACGCGGCCGGGGATGGAACCCCGGACCTTCCTCTCCCCGGGCGGACGCTCTTCCTCCAGACCACGGAGGCGGTCGTTTCTTTACGAAACCGTTTGCATAATGAAATAGTTGTACTAAACAAACAACTATTCAAGGCTTGTCTCTTTCGTAGTTGTCCAGGATGGGGCGCGTGTGATGAAAGTCAAACCACTGGTTTAAAAACTAACATCATAAAAATATATTACCAGGCACGTATAGCGTCTGTGTGAAACAATGACATAACACACGTTGATTGCTGTACGTCAAGCAGGATTTGAAAGCACAGTATACACCCGACGTGCGGATGATGTATATATGATGTATAAATGTGTAATAATATATTTATTGGGTGTTTTAGAATCTCATAAGCCGATTTATGACTGGATGTCATTATTCTTACTTTAAAGGTACCTGTACAATGTATTGTATTTGACTTCTTCCTTTTTATTTTGCTTATTCTACCACGCTTTTTACAACCCTGTACAATACCACGTGGACAGGCTTATCATGGAGTATTGTTTCCATGTCAAAAGTACATTAAATAATACTATTTGACATCAAGAACTATGTTTAGTTTGGATGCAATGGGTGGTTCAGTAATATGTAGTTAATAACAAATATTTTCGGATTATATTTAAATGAAACTAATTTCCAGCCACTTTACACCTGTATATAACACATTTAGCTAACAACAACATGACATTGACTGACCTTACACCCTCATTTGTAAAGCTTTTAGAGGTTTGAGTTATTAAAATGGCTTGTTTCGTTTCGCCCACGTTAGTGTTTTGACTTATTTACCGTTCCACAATACTGACCAGACCGTACTGTTAATACGGAACAACTGGTTTATTAAAACCTAAACCGCAATATTATCCCCGATGCTTGAGCGGAGAAAACATTAAAATTTCGCTGTTATCGCAAGTAAAATTTAATTTTAACCACGGGAATCTATATTTTAATCTACCTAGGTATCTTGTTTATCATGCATATTTGTATATATGCTGTGTTGTGTATCTCAAAGACCATATGGCCAGACAGTTTATTCCTTTTATGAATATTTTGATTGCAATTCTCTATTGCCATACTTGCATTTCACAATGTGTGACACTAATAATTTTCTTCTTATATTTTGACGTCATCTTTCTGTTTCCTCCGTGAGATGAACAGGTGCTGTAACACCCGGAAGGATATTAATAGAACATAAATTTAACACTCAGGGGCATATCATATTTATATTGGATAATTATATTGTTTGACAAATGAATTTGTCAGGGACGGGCTAATGATATTAAATACTAGTAGGTGCTGATAATTAGTGAGTTGGGTTTAACCCCGCTTTTTAACAGTAGTCCAGTTATCTCGCGGCCTGTCAGCTAAATGTGGGAGGAAAGCCCGAAGTGATGCAGGTCTCAGATGTTTACCACTTCGGTGAAACCCATGAGCACGGGTATGGTGCTGACAAACCTAGAAAGACAATCGGGGCGAACCGGGATTCGAACCCTATCTGGACGCAACTCTGCACAGCGAATCGCGGCGCCTTAGACGACTGAGCCACCCGGGCCTCCGGTGATATTTAGACAAAGCCGTAACTATCTTATTTATAGCATTGTTTTTTTAATTCTCAATGGAGACAATTATTGTTTTGAAAACAAACATTAATCAAATCAAACAACAACAAATATGGCTTAATGTCTCAATCTAATCGTGTGGATCATAGCATAATTGTCTTGCATATGTATTTCAAGCATAAAAGGAAGGTTGGTAGCATAGGTGAGGTGAGGTTAGGTGAAATGGGGTTTAACACCAAGATTATTGCACTTATATAGCGACGTGCATGCACGTGTGTGTGGCTGATTTATAGTGCTAGCACACTGAGATACCATGCCGCAGTTTAACATGAATACCCAACTCAGACACAGTGTACTAACTCCGAGCCGACCAGTCCTTGTTTTAGCCCCTTAATGCCGAGCGCTAGACAGGGTAACAACAAGTACCATCTTTTAACGTCTTTTGGTATGACGCGGCTGGGGATCGAACCCCGGACCTTCCGCTCTCTGAGCGGACGCTCTACCATTAGACCACGGAGGCGGTCTGGTAGCATAGTGGCTAAGGCATTCACTCCGAAGACCCGGGCTCGATTCCCAGTTTTGATCAGTTTTTGGACCCTATTTTTTATTTCCTCCATTGTAAAACCATACTCGCTCACTCACTCACTC